ATTACATTTATATGACGTGCCAAGCATTATGTTAGGTGATAACTATGCAAGTATGCTGGTTTAAAAAGGGAGAGATTGATTAGTGCAACAGATTAGGTATATGACATACAGAAGCAAACATCTCTAGTACCCTCCCAGTACTTGATAAACACAAATACCCCAACTACTGCACAAGTATTTACTATATGACAAAAACCTCTGGGAAAATTGGACAGCAGTATGGAAGAAATTAGGTTTATACCAACATCTCACATCTTATGTCAAGATAAATTTCAAATGGACCTTAGATGTGAAGGTTATATTATAAACATATTAGAGAAATATGGAAGAAATTGCCTATCATACTTAGTGATTAAAGAAAAGTTCCTTGAATAAACAAGGAATATAGAGGATCACAAAAGATAAAATGGATAATTAATAACAAAGTAGAAAAGATTTTGCATAAACAAATCCAATAAAGCTAAGATTAATAGGGAAAAAACTGGAGAAAAAATCTTTGCAGCAAGTTTCTCTGATAAAGATCTCATTTCCAAGATATATAAAGAACTAATTCAAAATTATCAGAAAAAGAGCCATTCCCCAATTGTGAACAAGTAGTTCCCAAGGGAAAAACTCGAGACTACCTATAGCCATATGAAAAAAAAAATGCTCCAAATCACTACTAATTAGAGAAATGCAAATTAAAACAATTCTGAAATTGTAGCCATGATGTAGCAAAGATGATAAAAAAGGGAAATGATAAATATTAGAGGGGCTGTGGGAAAACAGGCGCTTTAACACATTATTGGTGTGGGTATAGCAACTCTGGAGAGTAATTTGGAATTAAACCCAAGAAGTTACTAATCTATGCAAGTCCTTTGATCCAGATGTACCACTGCTAGGCCTTTATTCAAAAGTGATCAAAGAAAAAGGAAGGTCCTCTATACACAAAAATATTAACAGAAGCTCTTTTTGTGGTGACAAAAAAAAAACCTGGAAACAAAAGAGATGCCCATCAATTGAGGATTGGTTGAATAAGATGCGGTCTATGAATGGTATGGAATACAATTGTGCTATAAGAAATGATGAAATAGATGATTTTATAAAAACATGGAAAGACATATGAAGTGATGCAGAACAGAATCTGGAGAACAATTTATATCATAACATTAATATTATAAAAATGAAAATTTTTGAAGACTTTTATAAACTAATGAAGAATAAAATAAGCAGAATCGAAAAAATTTTATTTATATAGTAGCAACACTGTGAAGTCAAACAACTTGAAAAGCTGAAAGAACAATTATTAACAGAATGAGAATCCATGATTCCAGAGGACTAATGATGAAACATACTATCCACCTCCTGATTATTTAGGATGCAGAATGAGACATATATTTTTGCACATAACCAATGAGGGAAATTGTTTTTGCTTAACTGTGCCTATTTATTACAAGGAAATTGGTTTTTTTTTTATTTTTTTCAATAATGTGGAGAAGGGCAAAATAGGTTTCTGTTCACTAAAAAATAATTCTAAATATAGAGAATTGGGGGTATGTAGATGTGGCAGATAAAATATATAGAGCATTTACTATGTGCTAAGCATTAGGAAATCAAATACTACAAGCAAAACGACCATGCCTACCCTCAGGCGGAGAAGGTGCTTGTGCCAGGGGAAGGTAGAGAAATCCAAAGAATCAGAAGCAGAGCCTGGAAAGAAGTGAGCCTTAATTGGAGTGGGTACTTGCTCAAATGAAGGTTTCAGGTAGAAAGGTGTAGAAGTACCTCCTGAGTGAGAAGTCAGCTAGGCTAGAGGTGGAAGAGTCCAGATAATCAGGAGCTGAGGCAAGAAAGAAGGGAGCCATGGTGGAGCTAGACACTTCTTCAAATGGAGGTGACCAATCCACCTCTCTGATGATATCTTTCAACCATTTCTCTTGTACAATCTTTCATTGGTAATGTGGTACAACTTATTCAGACCAATCATGCTCTTCTTTCTCCATTGACATCAGTGTGATTGACTCTTCAATTCTTCAAAGATTGCGGTAGTTCATGACTTGAAGTCATACAGCACTAAGTGGAAGAATATGGAGGCAAAAAGATGGGCCTTTGTTTCAGAGAGAAGCTTGGGGTTATTTGAAGCCCTTCCCAGAGTGGTCCCACCCCTCTGTTCATGGCCAATTTCTATCCAAAATCCATGTACTAATGAATCAAATATATGGATTGCCCAACCAACTGCCTATCATAATCTGGACAATAAGCATTCATCATCAACTTGATTTTTCCTGTGGAAAGCGTGAGACTGAACTCTATTCAGTGTTTATGGGTCTCAATCAAGAGGCTTTACAGTGGCTTAGGGGCTGATGCAACCAATACAAAATCTGAAACCAGGAGCACCTGGAGGACCTCACCATCTAGAAAATCCTTCTTCAATTTGGATTCTCTGATGGATAGAAAATACCTTCAGTGGCCCTCTCTCTCCCTCTTTCATATCTTGTTTAAATGTAATCATCAGAGGGTAAATGAGCAGTTATTTCGATCTTTAAAAGTTTCCTAGAATTTAGTATGATTTCAACATATGCAGGAGAAACCGCTTGTTAGAAGAGAGCCTTTAAGGTGATATTGTGCTCTATTGAATCAATTTGTTGTTTTGTTTTGTTTTTTAATATTCAGTAAGCAATGAGGACAGTGAGATAAAGACCCTATTCTCTATACTGTTGAGTCAATTGTATGACCATAAATGTTATTTGTTGTAGCTTGTTTGTGGAATCTTGCTTATTTTCTTCTCACATCTTTGTCAAGGATACCCTTAAAACAAATATAGATTATTCTTATAAAAATTTTTATATTGTTGAACAAGTAGGCCTATGAATCAGTAAGTATTAATATTCTCTTGGCCACCTTTTTGTGGGTTAGCAATAAAGTCTGAGTTTTCCCCCCCAAACTTTTGGCATCTTCCTCTCTTTCGTATACATTATAAATGAACGAATGAGGGAGTGAAGGTAAAGCATTTATTAAATGTTTAATAACTACTGTGCAGAACACTGAGGATATAAATACCAAAGTAAGACTCCACTGCTTAAATTCCGTCCTGAATTTTTCTGCTTCCTTTCCTGTTGTATTTCCCAGCAAACCCTTTTTAAAATGTCTCTGGCGTTTCTTTCAGCAGAATATATGCTACTCAAGTTGGAACAATACAAAGATTAGCCAGAGCCTTTGTACAAGGATGCATTGATGGTGTGCCCCATATTTTAACAAAAAAAATTTTTAGTACCTCCAAAAGATCATGTTCTATTTTCTGGGAGCAAGAGTAAATAACCTGTGTGTCCACCTCTCTACCATGCTCGGGTTTGGATAAACCAAAAAAAAAAAAAAAAAGAAACAAGGGCTCAGATTCTTGAAATCTAGCCACTGCTCAGATTCTTACAATTCGGCCACTAGCTCACTATTGTTCAGACCCCTTAAGAGCCTGCCCAATATGACAGATGTTCTAATACACCTTGTCTTTGGCTGGAAGAAAAAAGAAAGAAAGAAGGTGATGGCACAAAGATACCAGGAGGGAGCACCATTGAGCCAAGTTGTGGGCTTGCTGTTAAAAGGGAAGAAAAACAGAGTGGGGTTGGCAGGTGCTGGTAGAGACTCAGGTGCTATGCGGCAAAAAGCTCTAGACTTGGAAGTGAGAGACCCTAGGTTCTGCGGCTTGCTAAATGTCTAGAGCGGGTCATCTGCCGTTTTGTGTATTTGTATGCCCTCAGTACCCACCTTTTGGTGCTTAATAAAAGTTTGTTGAAAAAAATAAAAATAAACTAATCAATTTTTAAAAAACAGGAAAAAAAAAACAAAAGTTTGTTGAACAGAACTCAAGGAACGTTGAATTGCATCATGGCAGAGCTGAGAGCCAGTTTGGTGTAACGGATATCTCTATCCCTGATGGCCCTGATCAGGCAGGGACCCTACCTCTGATCTACGGGGGCTGTGGGACCCTGGGCTGGGCAACGTTCTAAGACTCTGAGTGACAGAGGAGGTGCCCGTCCACTTTGGGAGAGTTAATTTCCCCGCTGAGAGATCAATAAAGTCACAGATTCAGTTCAAAATACCTCATAGAACACAGGCCTTGGAGTCTGACCCCCTGGCTCTGTAGCTTATGAGAGCTGTCACCTTAGTGGGCAAGGCAAGTCACTTTCCCTCTGGGGATCTATCTCAGTTCCTCCGTTTATAAAACGAGGAGGTTGGAATAGATTATCTCTAAGGTCTCCGCCCGCTCTAGAGTCTATGGACGTGATAGGTGCTTAGTAAAAGTTTCTTAGTCTAGACTGGAGTTTTCATCTGGGTGGGGAAATCCCAGCATGGAAACTATCTTCACGGGTACAGATTGGCACCTCTTCTGGACCAATGGATTTGAGAGCTGAATAGGCACTGGGGTGATTTGCACTAATAATAATGTTGCACTTTTAAGGTTTACAAAGTGTTTAACGTAAGTTGCGTCATTTGAGAGTCACAACAGCCCTGGAAAGTAAGACGGAGTTCTTATCCGTGTTTTACAGATGAGGAAACTGAGGCTCCCAGCGATTTGCCCAGGATCCCTCACTAGACAATGTCTCAGGCTGCATTTGAATTCGCTCTTCCCGACTCCAAAGCCAGCTCTTCATTCGCTGCGCCACCTAGCGGTCGTTAACACTGGGAGATTAATCAGTCAACGCTCGTTAATTGATTGATTAGTAAGGGACTAGGGTGCTGTTTTGCGGGGATGGATTGACAGCTGACAGTGGGCGTACGCCGTTTTAAGAGCGAAGGCGCCGCGGCCGCTCCGGGCTCGCGTAACCCCGCGCAAGGCTCGTCACGTGAACGTGGGGTCACGTGGCCGGGCCGTCACGTGAGGCGGGGGTGGGGCCGGCACTGCGGCTCCCAGAGGCTGGTCTCGGGGCTCGCGCTCGGGAGCAGAGGAGACGCCGCGGGAGCCGGGCCGGTGTCTGAGGGGAGGAGGTCGAGGCGGAGGCCGGCCGGGCGCCCCCCGTCCCTGGCACAGATGAACGGGCCGGAGCCGGAACCGGGGCCCGGGCCCGGGCCCGTGTGGGAGCGGCCCTGGTCCTTGGAGGAGATCCGCAAGAACAGCCAGAGCTGGTCCCTGGCTGCGGACGCGGGCGTGAGTGGGGCTGGGTCGGGTCACGCGGGCGGGGGCGGGACTCGAACCTCGGGCCGAGCCGGAAGAAGCGGCAGCCCGCGGGTCACCCGATTTGTGTGGGGTTTTTCCCTGTCTCCCCTTCCCCCAAACCGAACACCAGAAGCACTCCGGCCAGACGTGAAGTTAAAGAGCGTTTATTAAGCACCTACTATATACAGGGCACTGGGCTGAGCGCTGCGGGTGCGGTGAAAGTTGAGGCAGCCCCTGCCCCCGTGGGGCCCTCAGTCCAATGAGGGAGACAACAAGCCTCTAGCCAGGGATGTAATTAGCAGGGGGAAGGGAAAGACTTCCGGGAGAAAGTGGGATTTTGGCTAGGACTTGAAGGAAGCCGGGGGACAGAGGTGAGAAGGGACGGCATTCCAGTCGTGGGGGTCAGCCAGTGCCGGTGCGTGGAGTCTGGAGATGGGATGTCATGTGCAGAGACCCGAGTCTCTGGTAGTGGAGTGAGAGAGGGGGGATGGGGAGAAAGAAGACTGGAAAGGTAGGAAGGCCTTTAAAATCTCCATTTTGGCTTTAACCTGCTTTCTGCACCATTTAAAACTATGGTTTGACTTGAGGGAAAAGGTTTCTTGAGATGAGTAAATGTCTTCTCCCTTTCTTTGTCTCTCTGTGTTTAGCACAGCGCCTGGCACATAGTAGGTGTTATGACTGATCCATTGATGAGGGAAGGGGAGAGGCAGGGAAGCCTAGAGAAAATTTTTTGTTCTTTTCGTCCTCGTCAGCCTGCCCTCAAGGTTGTCACAAAGACAGTAGCTTAGACATTGACCCACTTATCCTAGAGAACTCTATTTCCAAGGCTTCACTTCGGACTCTCCATGATTGGAACACTGGGAGCTGTCCGCAGTTGATTATTGAATCCTTTAGGGGGAACAAGATAGGATCTCATCAGTTTAAATAGTTTTAAGCTCAAAATCCACATCTTTTAGCCCATTTTGTTCTTTTGCTTCTGTTTTTCAATCTTAACATTTATCTCTGTTCCATGACCAGCTAACTAGTGAAAATTTCAACCAAAAATGATTTTACGGCACTGAAATGTTGACAAAGGGTGATTTGTTGGATGTTGCTTTAGTTTTTACCCAATGCTTTTCATCACCTTTCTTGATGGTGAATATGCTAGCCCTAACCCTCCTTCCTTGTGTCACTCACAAAAGGAAAGGAGCCCTCCCCAATGAGATGTTGATTTCACAATTGACATACTGGGGGAGGAGGGAGGAAGAAACAGATGCTGAAACTTACTTCTCCAGTCAAAATTTAAGCTTAAAAGATTGTTGCTGTGTCTTTTGAAAATAGCTTTTACAGTTTCTTCAGGAGTTCTCACAGCAGACCATCTCTAGGACACATGAAATCAAGAAACAAGTGGATGGATTGATTCATGAAACAAAAGCTACAGATTGTCGCCTTCACAATGTCTTCAACGACTTCCTCATGCTGTCTAATACCCAGTTCATTGAGAATGTGAGTTCCTCAGATACTAATGTCAAATTTGACATTTTTGTTTCTATAGCTGATCTGGTATGAATTTTTAAAAAAACAACTTTATATAGTACTTTAAGATTAACAAAGCATGTTCCTCATAACAACCCTGTGAGGTGCCTCGCATAATTATTCCCATATTGTAGATGAAGAAACTGAAGTTTTGAGTATGACACATCTCTGGTCATGAGTGAAATCTGGCTTGAATTTTAGAGTGACCACCTATTAGGGTAATGGAATCATATTCAGAGGTCTCAGAAGTCAACTCGTCGAACTCACTTCTTTTACAGATGAGAAAACTGAGGCCCAGAGAGATTAAGTGACTTACTGATAGTTTACTTTTATATAGCACTTTGGGATTTGCAGTGGGCTTAATACACTTTTTATAATGTGATTCTCAAACACCTCTGGGAGGTTATGGCTGTTGTTTTTCCAATATTACAGATGAGGAAACTAAGGTACAGAGAGGTTAAGTGATTTGCCCAGGGTCACACCTGGCATCAAATCTAGCATTCTACCCACTTACCATGGTGACCCTCACAGAGTAGTAAGTAGTAGGTATGAACCCAATTCCTCTGACTCCAAAACCAGTAGTCTTTCTAGTGTGGAATTCGGTGTTTGAAACTCTGGCACATCAACCAAAGCACACCATTTCTTTGCCCCGGCTTCTCAAAGGCCACAGGTGAAATATGTTACTGTCAGGTGCCCTAAAGCTGAAACAGCTTTGAGAAGAGACCTGCCGTGCACTGTGTCATCAGTCATTCGTGCATCAGCTTAGCTAAATTCAGAAAGGCTTGTCACCTTTAGGCTAAACCACAGCTCGTGAAAGTACCAACTGAGGCATTGGGCTTTATTGAAGCCAGAGTAATCATGGACTTTTCAGAGTGTTGAGGAAGCAACTTGACAGAAATGTATTAGAACTTTAGCTTAATAAATGCTTGTTGAGTGATTGTCTATACAAAAGAAATTGTTACTAGTGAGGTTTTGTATTTCTTTTTCAAGAATTTAGTATTATATGTCATCTTTCTATAATTCAGATGATGAGAAATAGTTGGCAAGGTTCATGTGGCAAATATAAGTTGATTTGAAATTCCAAGGAGTTTATTTGATGACTGAATACCCAAATTTCCTTATTTTTGAAGTAAAGATTATGATACTGACTGAATTCACTAGAATGCCTAGATGTAACTTAAATATACACTGATTTTGCAAGACTGCAAAAGTAAGAGTCTTTGAAAGTATTTCATATAATTTGAGGGAAGAATTTAAGTCATAGTTTTCAGTTTGAAATTGTCTATTGTATAGTCATAAGGATGTAGCCATGTATACATTTGATGGGAAAAGAGGAAAGGGGGGGCAGAGGGAGATAGAAGCATTAATAGCTCCATCTTCATGCGTATGCGTTAGACAGTTTCACAATTGAATATATGTGTATTATATATGCACATAGATATGTACTAGTTTATGCTTCTTTTAACAGTTCTAGGGAATAGAAATAGAAAATACTATAAAAAACTTCTTTTGGGGTATGTGAAATTGATCTCACATACTTACTGGTTTTTCTTCATTGTTGGATATAGCGACAATTTTTTAAAATCCTTAGGATCTGTGAAGAATGTTATTTTATAATAAAATGCTCTAATTTGTTCTTGATCTCTCAAAGTATGATTTTCTGTGACTAACTTCAGTGCTCTGTTTTGCTGCTGTCCACACTCTTGCTTCTTACAATCCAGTTGCTGCTCCAAGTAGCTGAAATGTTTACAGCTGAACAAATAATCCATCATTTCTATGGTCTGTGACACAATGTCCCTTAATTCATGTATGTGATTGAGAATAGAGAACATGTGTTTATGCTGGACAAAGAAAATTCCTTTTGAACATTTTTTTTCAGTTACCATGCTCAGAAGCTAGATTGACTGAAAGTAACATAGTTATTATAGTAGCCATGTCAAATTTGTTTTGTTACAGCCTTTGAGAGAATGACTATTCCAAGATTGCCATTCTCTGCCTCTGGCACTTGTTCATCCGACAACAGAGAAGGTGCCAGAGTTCAGAACAGGCAACTCCTGGTCGTGCTCAGTGCTGAAATGGAAGCTTCTTTGTCATAATAGGGAGGCTATAGAGTCTAGTGGGAAAGGTCCTGGACTGAAAGTCAGGAGAGATCTAGACTCGGCATCACTGACCATCTTTGTGATCTTGGGCAAGTCCTTTAATCTCTGAGCCTCAAACAAGAAGGCCAGTAGTACCTACCTCCCAGGGTTGTTTTAAGTAGCAAATGAGATCGTGTGTAAAGCATTTTGCAAATCTTGGAAAAACTAGATTAACATCAGCTGTTACTATTAGTTTATGGCTAGTGACATGGTTCATCTTGTTCATACATCTTGAAAGGAGGAAGCCTTCAGACTGTCTGACCTTGCAGGTGCCCTTACTGCTTTTATTTTCTTCCGTCCTTCTAGTCACCCAAGTACTTGATCTGTGATTCGTCTTCAGCATTTCCCATGACCTCGGTCCCTGCATTTATCCAGTTATTTGCCAGGTCTGTCCATTTTCCCTTCATGGCACCTCTCGTGTCTGTGCCCTTCTCTTCACTCACATGGCCACAACCCAAGGTCAGGCCTTTACCACTCTTTGATGAGACTGTTGGAATAGCCACCTGATTGGTCTCTCCGTTTCCACAATCCATCCTTCATATAACTGCCAAAATTATTTCCCTGAAGCACAAATGATCTGACCCTGTCATTCCTCTGTTCAAGAAACTCTCCCTCTTAAGGACTTCACAGTCTGACTCCAGCCTACCTTTGTAGCCTCACTTCACATTTCTTCTTTTCACTTTGTACTTTGTGTTCTAGCCGTCCTGGCCCATTGGCTGTCCCTCAGCTCACCGCTCCATCTCCCACCCTCCGTGTCCAGCCTCATCTGTTCCCCATGCCTGGAGCCCACTCAGACAGACTGCATTTGAAAGTTGAAATGAGCTTCTGTAGCCACCTGCAAAGTAATACCTACATTAACACTCCCAAGAAGTGGTCAGCCTGGCTCTGCATGGATATCTCCGACCCTTCTTCCCTCCTTCCCTTCCTTCCTTCCTTCCTCCCTCTCTTCTTCCCTTTCTCCTCTGCTTCTTAGAATTATTAGCTTCCTTCAGAGTGCTTAGTAAATATTTTATGCATTCATTTCAGGTTTGGCTCAGAAAGCATTTCTTGGCGCCCCCAATTGTTAGTGCTTTTTCCTTCTTTAAAAAGTCTCTTTTCTTGATTTATCTATGTACATGTTGTATCTTTCCAGTACACCATCAACTCCTTGAAGGCAGGGGCTTGAATCTCATTTTGTCTTTGAATGCCCCATGTCTTTTACAGTGCCCTGCATGCAGTAGACATTTAATAAGTGCTCGGTGAATTAAAACTAAATTAGTATACTTCAGGGCATAAGCTGGGCTCTTACCCCTCTCGTCGGCTTCCCACACTATCGTTCCAGAAAGGGCAGGGAAAGGATTTGAAAAGCTGTATCGCTACATAATACTACCGGTTAGGGTTTATTGCTTGTTTTCTGACTCTCCATCTTTAGGATGGCTATTTCCCTTCTCATCGACAGAAGGTTGGCCACCAAGTAACGAAATGTTTAGCTGTGGCTACTGATGGCAGGGACAAACATAAAATGCCCCCTCTGCTTCTGGCGATGATGGAAAAAATGGGCAGAGGTCATGAAGACTCTGAAACCTTAGGCTCTCTACAAATACTCTTTAACTGTTATTGTTCTCAGTGGGAAATCTCAATGACCAGTGAACTAAATCACATGAAAATAAGTTACTCCAGGATATTGGGTAGCTCCTCTGTGAAGGATTTATGGAAAATTGAGGGGAGGAAGTTAAAGGGACAAGTAAGTGAGAGTGACTATCCATACTGATAAAATCACAACTGAGCCAAAGCAGGACTTGAAATTCACTTTGTATTTTTCTTTTTTTTTTTTGGTTTTTAGGCAATTGGGGTTAAGTGACTTGCCCAGGGTCACACAGCTAGTAAGTGTCAAGTGTTTGGTCTGAGGCCGGATTTGAACTCGGGTCCTCCTGACTTCAGGGCTGGTGCTCTATCCACTGCACCACCTAGCTGCCCCTCACCTTGTATTTTTCATGTTTTCTTGGTGGCACATCCATTTTTATGCTTACCTAGTTGTGTGTGATGTTTTAGGAACAGAAATGGGTTTCTGAATTTGGATAGTTGGAAGGTCAAGAGCTATTTTGCATGAACCACTATTCTGTATAGGTCTAATGAAAGAGAATCACAGAATGTTAACAATGAAATGGACCCACAGAAGTCATGTGGCCCATCCTTGTTTTTCAGGTGAGAAAACTGAGGCCCAAGAAGTTACAGTCGTAGCTCAGCTCACAAAATCAGTGGGTTCTAGAGTCAGGACTCTCTGACCCCCCAGGTCAGTGGTCTGGGCACTGTGCCAGGTCATATCAAAAGGGCACCTGGTATTCAGAGTGGCTAGTTGAACAGCAGGACTGCCCCTAGTAGGAGTTCTGCTTCCCAAGGGAGACAAGAAGTGAAGGCTTGAGAGGGAAATTTCTTTTTTTTTTTCCAATTTCTTTTTTTATTTTTAGACAGTTTGGGGTTAAGTGACTTGCCCAGGGTCACACAGCTAGTAAGTGTCAAGTGTTTGGTCTGAGGCCGGATTTGATCGGATCCTCCTGACTTCAGGGCTGGTGCTCTATCCACTGCGCCACCTAGCGGTTTGTTCTGAGGAAGCAGAAATGCTGATTACTATTGCTTGACACCATCCTGGAGTGTAAGGGGGTGACACACTGGGCTCCTGAGAGAGCCTTGCTGATATGGAGCTGAAGCCGTTTGCCAGGGGAAAAGTGGAGTCTTTGGGCAAAGACATGGCCAGGGTAAAAGAGAGATGATTTTCCTAGCAATTACAAGGTGCTTGTTGTCAGGGCCCTTTTACTTCTGAAGGCTGTTTACTTTCGTTTGATTTATACTCACTATTCCTCTTTCAAATGAGCATTATTATCCTGAGGAAGACTGATACTGCCAACAAAGACAGCAAATCAGGAAGTAGAGATCAGAGCCAAAGTCATCTTCGTGGAAAACACGAACCCCTGATAAAGGCTGGTGTCCACTGAGAATGACCTGTGGACAGCTCCCCTCACTGGCGAGGTCAAGACTAGGTCAGTCCTTACCTGCCTCATCCATCATAAGCTTTTTGAGTGTGAGTTGTGTTTGTGTTTGGTGACAAAAGGCAGGAGGGACCAAGATTTAGGCAGGAAGCACTCATTTTAATGACAATGATCTGTTGCTGTTTCTGCTGGAAAGATAATTTTCTTTTATTTTATATTTCAACTCTGGATCCAGCCTCTTCTTCATATCTTTAGCTTTTGGCGTAGTACAGTACAGACTTTTTCTCATTTAGACAGGGTGATCCAAAAGTCTTAGAGTGGTTTGTTTTTGGTTGTTTTTTTTTTTTTTTTTTAATTTTCTTTTTGGTGAGGCAGTCAGGGTTAAGTGACTTGTCCACAGTCACACAGCTAGTCAGTGTCAAACATCTGAGGCTGAATTTGAACTCAGGTCCTCCTGACTCCAAGGCCGGAGCTTTATCTACTGAGCCACCTAGCTGCCCCTTTAGTGTGGTTTTTAAGCTTTAATAAAACTGCACTAAGACTTTCGGACTACTCTGTATAAGGGACTCATTTTCTCTCTTTAAAACTCCCCTGTACATAATAATATCTGTACCTTATCATTTTTTTTGTTGCCTTAATTAAAATATAATAGGAATGTTAAGTGTACTTGCATCCCCTAGAACTGACAACAAAATTACCTTTACAGAGTAACCCATCTGCAAAACTTGGAGGTCTCAATTCATATTTTTTTTTACTATTTAGGGCTAACTTTGAAACAGTCTTTTAAGGAGTAATTATGTCTACTTGACTAGATAAGTAACCTTGCTGATGGTTGCTGCCAGGTGGATTTTTGAATTGCATTTTAATTAATTTGCTTCTTTCTCTAGCGTGTATATGATGAAGAAGTGGAGGAGCCGGTTCCCAAGGCTGAAGCTGAAAAAACTGAACAGGTATCAGAGACCACCAATCATTTATGAATCTCCAGTCTAGTTAGTAGGCTGGAACAGGCGTGGCAGACAGTTTTTAATGTGGACCCATCAGCGATTGTTAAGTGATCCTTGGTCTTGCTTCTGCTACATTTAGTGTAGTTAGTATCACATGAGCTAAGTTCCTGAATGCTCCAGTGGTGCTTGAGGATTAGAGGTGGACTTCTTTTAGATCAGCTTTTCAGAACCAGAGGTGTAATTTAGTAACTGTCAGCTCACATGTGTGATGCCTCCACATCTGTTCTTAGTAACTATCCTAGATGATCCAGTCTCCTTATCTTGTTCCTGGATTCTGAAAATTCCAGGTGGAGAATGGTAAGGACCTGGCCCTGGGTGTTCTTTCACAGAACCATGATTGATAGTTTCTTGGATTGGGTCATCAAGACAAAGTGCTCACTCAGACTTGGGCAGATACTCGAGCACTGGCACAAACATTGCCTTCTGAATTCAAAGCATTGTGCTTAGCACTGGGGGCCCAAGATAGGCTCTTCATCCTCAAGAACCTTCCTCTGCTTAGCAGCCTAGGACATAGGCTTAAAAAAAGGAGTAAAAGCACTGAATGTGATAGCAGGTCAGAGGAAGGAGGGAGACCAGAGGCAGTGGCTTCATGGAGGTGGAGTTTGAACTGGGCCATAAAGGAATCTGCAGAGGAGAGGGCCTGCTTTAGACAGGAAGAAGACGATAGGAAGGTACAGTGTTGTATTGAGATAACAGTGAAAAGTCCAGTTAAGCTGGAACTAAGGCGGGGGGGAGGTTTGGAGTAGGGGATAGAGTGATGAGATAAGTGTAAAGAGATAGAAGGGCGTGAGTTTGTGGTGGGGCTTGAGTGTCAGGCTAAGAAGTTGGAATCCTGTGAATAATAGAGAGCTTTTGAAGCTTTTTGAACAGGTTGATGTCTTTAAAGCAGGGTTTTAAGATTATCTGGCAGACATGCAGAATGAATTGGAGAAATGCTGGAGGCTGGAAGACTAGTTGCATACCTATTAACGTGAACCTAGTTCATGCCTTTCACTGCAGTTTCAAACAAGATCTTTTTGCTCTATTCCCATACATCTGACTATCCATTTCTAACATTGCCTAAGGGGCCATTAACGCCGGGCAGAAGGGAGAAGAAAACATCAGGGGATGACAGTGGAAGCCAGCATCATGACAGATGCCATGTACCCATATCTCATCAAAGGAAAAACAAAAGTCAGTCTGTGGGGTCTGGGTTTTGACAACTCAACTCATTTTCCCTAAGATTTTGTCACTCTAGACTCAGATTTTTTTTAATGAATTAATTTATTTTTAGTTTTCAACATTCACTTCCATAAGATTTTGAGTTCTAAATTTTCTCCCTCTCCTCCTCCTTCCCAAGACAGCGTGTAATCTAATATAGGCTCTACATACACATTCACATTAAACATATTTTCACATTAGTTTAGACTCAGATTTTAAAGTGTATTTTGGCATCCCATTGGGACACATTCACCACGTTCACCATTCCTACTGTGCTTTTGTCGTCGTTTATCATTTTATCACAACATCCCAGAAGAGAAATGTAATAGACCTTTTTTGTTTGTTTGTTTACAGGAGAAAACCCGGGAACAAAAAGAAGCAGATCTGATTCCCAAAGTCCAGGAAGCTGTCAACTATGGGTTGCTGGTATTGGACAGTGCGTTTGAACAACTTGATATAAAAGCTGGAAATTCAGACTCTGAAGAAGAAGAAGCAAATGAAAGAGTAGAACTTATCCTTGAGCCAAAGGTGAAGGCCCCCTGACCCTTGGTCAGACTGGCAGGGTCTTTGGGTAGCTGATCTTATTTCCCTTTGTGTTTGAATGGCTCCAAATCTTTCAGTTGAAATGCGATGTGGCCCCAGAGGACTAGGTATAGCAGTAAATATCACAAGCCTGTATGTTTATAAAACCAAATTTATGTGATTCTGATATTTACTTTAATGTGGAGGTAAAATTGGACTGAATTTCCCTTCATTCTCTTTTTTGCTTTGACTTCTGTCATTTCCCCAAATGATCATTTTCAAGTTTTGAAACCTGCCTTTTCTGTTCTGAACCCCTGTTCATTTACAACGTTAGAGAAAGTAAACATTAAACTTGCTTGATCTTAGCAAATGTTTTTCAAAAAAACGGTAATGCAGCCATGAAAACTAGCATAGGCTCACAATGGAAAGACATTGTCTTATGGGGAAGTGTTTGAATCAGAATTACAGTTTTGAACTTGGCATTTGTGCCGTGCTTCCACATGCTTACCTACCATCTGATACCTCCTTATTAAGATCACTTTGGTGGCAAGAACTGGCTTACTGTAGCCTGGCTTCTTCCTTAATTTTGCCCTTCGTAGCTTTAACTGTGATGCCTCATACTAATCCCAGACATGCATCCTCATTCTGTAATACTTTGGACTATAAAGTGTTCAGTTATTGCTGCATTTATTTAAAATGCAAGTGGGGAAGAGGGATTAAGGAAGCAAGATCTTGGATGGGAAAGTGGCATTGCTTATTTCTAAGTCTCTCTGAAGGAGTCCACCTTTAAAGCTGTAACTTGGTTGGTTCTTTGCAGGATCTCTATATAGATCGCCCCTTGCCCTACTTGATTGGTTCCCAGTTGTTCATGGAGCAGGAAGATGTTGGTCTTGGAGATCTTTCGAGTGAGGGTATGTTTGACATCGGTTCCTAACTTGTTAGAGCCTCTGGTGGTGCTAGTCAAGGGGTTTGTGACTACGAGGCGGGATTCTCAAGTTAATTTTGGTTTCCTGTGGTGCATTTTAACAAGGCTTCTCTGTTCCCTAAATAGAAGGCTCTTTAAACAGTGATCCAGATAGTGTCTTGGATAGTGAAGAGGAGAAAGATGAAGAGGTAAGTTCCGTGGAGGGCTCCATGATGGGGATTATGAGCTTTTTGTCATATAGTGGGTGACGTGCTACAGCTTTCAGCAAAGATAAAGGTCACACCCTGAAGAGAGGGTTGGGACTGAAGATGTTGCCAATGGGAGATGTAGTACGGAAAATAGCTTTATTCTTCTTCCCCTCAATCATCTGAGCAGCTTCAGAGCTTCATATAACTGTGCCTCTGCTAGAACTTTTATGCTAACTTACTAAGGAGCTCTCTAATGTCATTCAAAGTAAGAGGAAGAGCCCTGGAGTGGGGGTCACAGGGATTGGGTTCACTCCTGGCTCTGACCCCATGAGGTGGGTTACTCCAGACTCTCACAGGACAACCAGATTGAGCGTTCTGTCTCTGACAGAGCCTCATGGCCGACTGCGTACAAAAGCGTGACTTAGGTGAAGAACTGGGTTCGGAAAAAGCAGGTGCAGGAAGTGGGGAAAGCCAGTGTGGGCACCAGAGGACTCCATTCAAGGCATGATTCTGCCCCTTAAGGCCTATGTGATTGGGAGCAAGGCTTCACCCTGCTCTGAGCCGAAGCCCCACATCAGTAAAAGGCAGGCATTACGTCTATCTCCCAAGTCCATGGTTACACAACTAGTAGATATGAAAGGTAGGGTTTCTACCCAGGTCTCTCCTAATTCCAAGTTCATGCTCTTTCCACTACTCCACAAGCCAGCTGCCGCAAGTCAGTTCACCTTTCTAGGTCCTTTCTGAGATATGCAATCCATACATTTAATGCCAAATATTACAATAAGGAAAATTTTAAAGCGGCCTTTTCACCCTTTTGGCCAAAAACTCATCTGCTCAACTATAATATTAAAACACACTTCATCCCTTTATTTCACTTCCACATCTGAAACTCTGCATTTCTATTAATCAGTTTTCTGGTCCTTTTTACTCTTAAGAATTTTTATTATGGAAAGAAGCTTAAAGGGCTTACTGTCCATTTGTTGTTGTTCTTCATTCCTTTCAGCTGTGTCCAACTCTTCCTGACTCCATTTGGGGTTTTCTTGGCAAAGACACTAGAGTGGTTTGCCATTTCCTTCTCCAGCTCATTTTACAGATGAGGAAACTGAGGCAAACGGGGTTAAGTGACTTGCCCAGGGTCACACAGCTCATAAGTGTCTGAGGCCGTATTTGAACATAGGTAGATGAGTCTTCCTGACTCCAGGTACAGCGCTCTATCCACTGTCCCCTGCTGTCTATTAGATGCTTGTTATTCACTGACAGCTTCACAACAAGGGGATTGGCTTTTGCCCTAGTGGTAGTTTGAGCAGAGCTATTATAACCTGATGACATTAAAGGAACTATACAGTACGTAAGGCACCAATATGCCCTGCTGGGTAGAGAAGTTAGTAATGGCAAAAGGACTACAACCCAGATTTCTAAAAATAGAAGCTTTATCATAACACAGCCATCCTAGGCAGGGGAAACCTACTGTGTGCTACTAGTTCTCCAGTAACTTACCCATGGATACGTATTTTGAAAATAAATTTTACTGACATATTTTGTTTTTACACGTTGACCAGATTTTGCCTGTGTTTTCCCTCCCAGAGAGCTGTCATATATTTTAAAAGAATGTTTTGGGGTTGTTTGTTTTTTGTTCTTTTTTTCTTAAAGAAGAGTATAAGCAGTAAAAGTGATCAATACATCAGGAAAGTCTGAAAGTGTATGCCTCGTTCTATGCTCATGAATTTCTCACATACACAAAGGAAAAAGGGAAGAATTGTCTTCTTTGGGACCAAGCTTATTCTTTGTCATTTTCTATCATTCACTTTAGATTGTTTTGTGGTAGTGGTTCTTTCCATTTATTGTAGTCATATATTGTTGTCTTGGCTCCACATAATTCACATTACATAAGTTCATATAAGTCTTTCTGTGCTTTCCTGTATTCATTCTTTTTGTTTCTTAGACGCAATGATATTTCATTACATTGATGCACCACGTTTTAGTTAATCGTTCCTCAGTCGATCGGTATCTACTTTGTTTCCAGTTCTTTGCTGCAACAAATAAATTGTAGTCTATAGAGCCTTTTCATCAATGACCTTCTTGGGTCATATACCTAGTAGTGGAATCTCTGGGTGAAAGGGTATTTTTATTTTAACAACTTTAATTGCCTAATTCCAAATTGCTTTCCAAATGGGCCTACTAATTCACAGTTCCACCAACAATGTACTAGTGTTGTCTTTTCACAACCCCTCCAACCTTGACCATTCACATCTTTTGTCATCTTTGCCAGGTTACTGGGTTGGAGCATTTTTTCATATGATTATTGTTTCTTCTTTTGAGAACTTTTTGTTCATATCCTTTGGTTGCTTCTCTGTTGGAAAATGTCTTTTAGCAAATGAGTTAGGGTTTGTTTGTTTTAGTAAAATTATCAGATAATTTGAATCTTTTCATTAGTATTTAGTATCAGTTTTTTCTCCAACTTCTATAAAAGACTGGGAAGAATCAGAGAAATGAGTTAGTTGGATTTCCTTCTAGATAGTGAAACTGTGCAGTTGGAACAAGCTAAACTCGTGTATGTACTTAACTAAATCCGGCATTCTTTAGCCACAAAATATATAAGATTGATAATACAGCTTGACAGAAATCAATAGCCATTTGTGAAAGGGATTTTAAAAATCAACTCTTTAAAACTCCATGGGAAAAAATTTTTAAATATTGGCAGCACATCCAGCTAGAAATCTTTCTGTAGGTCTCTAGTATGTTGGGAGCATATGAAGTCATAAGTAGACTACAAAAATGGAGTAGTCACTTGAATTTACAAATTAACCTGCCTCAGAAACCTAAAATTTGAAAGTATGTGACATAGAAAGTTTGTACTAACAAAAATTGGCTTGTTTCTATTGAAGGAATCAGATGATGACTTCGGCAATCAGAGTGAAAATGACCAAAAACGGGTAAGGTTACTACCTTGAAATAACTCAGTTCATTTCTGGCTTATGAGAGAAGTCAGGACTTAACCACATTGAATGTATCCTCCACCAATAGAGTTAACCATTGGTTAACTTGGTTATGAGGTCAAAAACTCCTTTGTGTTGCTTTCTCTTGGTATCCCACCTTAGAGAATTCCCTTTTAGGAAAAGTTTTTTGAAATGAACTTTCCAACTGTTAAATGAACCATAAAACCAGGAAGTGTGTGTTAAGCCTCTTCTGACTGTCATTTAAAGCTCTTCTTAGTATTTGACCTTTTTTAAAAAAAACCATCCTCTATTTGTATTTCCTATCAATGAGTCATAAATTTAATAATGAAAGAAATAGTAATAATAGTTACTATTTGGTGCTTTAAGGTTTTGCAAAATACGTTACATATGTTATTTCAGTTTAGTTTGGATTCATTAATTGCACCTTCATTAAGAAGCTCTGTTTACTTCAGTGCCTACTGTCTAACAGATAGTAAGATTAAAAAAAAACTTTTCAAGCCAATTCTGAACAGGATGTGGGGAGATAATCTGTTTATAAATTAGTACGGTGTAGAGCTTTCAGTAGTGAAAAGGCTTTATCCCAAAGGTGTGCATTCTATGTGCTTAATACTCGTGTGATGCAATAAGGGGAAGCATTTAGTGGGCTCCTTTTTTCCCTTTTAGTTGAGAACATGTTTCATTTTAGAGAGAAGACCCTAAAGCTTTAAATTGGCAGTGTCTGTTGCCTTAACTGTGCCTGAGCACCGTTGCCAGTAGAGGTTAAGTTTTAATCTGTAATGTTCTAATATTGCTCATCAGCACATAACACTGATAAGTGATGAAGAAGAGGAGGAAGATGGTTGTGATCTCTTTGGTGATTCTGAAAAGGAGGAGGAAGAGGGAGAAGAGTTCGATGGAGAAAATGCTAGACCCGTAAGAGAACTCCTGCTTATTCTGGGTCCAGGGCAAGGAAGAAGCATTTCTTCCTCTATTTATTCATCTCTCTTATTGTCCTGTAGTTTAGAGTTAACATTTGTGCAGTATTTTTAGAAAACAGTATCGTATTTGGTTCTCCAGAGGTAGTTTAAACATCAGACCATTTGACAAACATTGTCTCACCATCCCAGTTTTGAAAGTTGCATCATCAAGTGTTTGTTGCCATGCCAGGAACTTAAGGCATAAGATGTTTCCTCTCCTACAGAAAAGGTTTCCTTCCAAGAAGTGCCCTTGTCTATAGATCTGGGCAGTAACATAGAAGAGCAGAGGAGAACTAGAAACTTACTGTGCGTGGTAATACCTTACAGGTTGTGCTTCCCAACTTGGTGGTCTGCCCAGGGTATATTGATCTAGTTCTATGTTTATGTCCCATTTATACCCCTCTCATTTTAATTTCTAGTCAAAGCTTTTAGTAAATATCCTGTTTAGAAGTGAACTGAAAGCTATCAGTTGTTTTCAGTACATTGCAAAGAAGTTACTCATCCCTCACTCTTATACCTATAGAAGAGAAATCGACCTACTTCGTTTGCTGATGAGCTGGCAGCAAGAATCAAAGGAGATGTGACAAGCCGAACGTATGAGGGACAGACAAGTAAGCCCTGGCATTTACTATTTGAAATTTCCTTCTTCCCCTCTCCAGAAAGTAAAAGGACTAGATTGCTCTCCCTAGACTTTATCAGGGGCAGTATTTTTCACTTTTATTCATTGATAGAATAGGACAGCCTATAAGGCTTTATTTAAAATAAATCCTCTTCCAATTTGTGGACACTGTTAAAATGGCTAGAGAATGTGTGACTGTGATGACTTCTGAATTAATAACTATACCATACAATGCATTTCAGTTGCATGTCAGAGCAAAAAATACTAAAATTAGATTTTGGTTTTGACCTAATTTTATTTACTATTCAGTCTTCTCTTGCACTGGAATAAGATAAAAACCTTCTATGGAATAGTCTTTGTATAAATTCTGAAATTTTCTTTTCAAGTTACAACTTCAGGGGAAGCAAAAACTAAGAGAACAACAAAAGAGAAGAAGGATGTCAGGAAAGTTCCATCTGATGGTAAGCCTTTCTCTGTAACAATTATAGGCCTTGTGGCCCAGAATGTCACCCATAAAGTGTTCAAAGTAGCCTTTGCATCTGTTTGTAAACAGCTGACTTTGCTTGCTTGGTTAGGATATCCGAAAGAGAGTACCTGTGCCCCGTGGGCATGTCTCGATTTTAGGCATAAATAAATCAGGGGCACCAGAGAGTCAGTGTCAGACCCTCTTCAAGTTAAGCCTCTGATGCCCAGAGGACCCTGCAAGGTAAGACAACCAGTACCAGAGAAAGGGGAAGCATCAGAAGTTTGGATGTGCCAAATGTCTTCATTTTCAAAATGGGGAAAAGATATATCTTGGAAACTATAGACTGGTCATTTTGATCCTGCTCCCTGGCCAGATTTTAGAACATCTGGGGTTTGAACATTTAGAAATACCTTCTGACTTTCAATCTAGATTTTAGAGATGGAAAATTCTTAATATACTATCAACTTAGAAGAAACAGTTGAAAATGCATCCTGTAGAATGTTTAGAAGATAGACGTTTCAATTTCAACTTCAGCCAACAGTAATCTTAACTTTTTTTTGCATTCCGTTTTAAACAATATCTCCTATTATAGTTCCCTGTTCTGACTCAGAACCTTGATAGCCTTTTCTTTATGCATGAAATGTCCATCCATTCTTTAGCTTGGTGTGAGACGTGTCAGAACTAGAATGCAGCATTTTAAGGGGTGGAAAAAAAGAAATAGAAGTGATGTTTGGAGAAACCCTCCTAGCCAGATGAAGATTATGGATCATTTTCTCTATTCCTGTTTGGAGATTGACTATGGTCATGTCAGGGACTTGAGCCATCTATCCTTACTTTTGCTCAAAGCCCAGCTCTGCTAAATTTAAAGAACCTTGATAGGAAGGGGAAACAGAAGAACCCCCATTATGACGAACGAGAAAGAACTGCTTTGCATTATAGAAGTGCTGAGAACTTTGAAAGTTACCATATCATCCTAAATTTGTTATAGGAAGGGAGAAAAACCAGCTTCTAATAAAAATTGAACTTGAAGAAAGATTTTTTTATTTATTTTTAAATTCAGAGGGGGAAAATAGGTAGGTGAAAAGTTCCATGGCTGAGATTCTGGAAGAAAATGGTTTGCAAGGGAGGGATATTCTGGGAAATAAAATTCTGGCTAGGCAGTTTCAAATAATCCCAACAGGAAAGAAAAGTGGAAAAAATTAAAGAAGTCACAGTGGCTTGGTAGGGAGCTTTCTGAGCTCATAAGGGGGCAAGTGCAGAAGAGGATAGGGCCATGTAAATAACAAAGACAAATAGAGAGATGTTGCACGAATCTCCAAGTGTGATGTCAAAAAGGTTAAAGCGCAGAATTATCTGAGTCCTGCAAAAAACAAGCAAAGATCACGAAAGTCTTTTGGGGGCTATATATGGAAACTAAGTACAAATAAGCAAGAGAGTCACTTGCTCGAGAGATCCTAATAGTGACTAAAGAGGATGGGCAGCTACTCAACCACAGTTTTACTTGGAGGAGGAATATCTTCAAATTGGAAAGGGTAAATACGGGATGTGAGGAAGGAGTTTGGCCCAGGTTTAGGTAAGGAGGTAATAAGAAGAATAGCAGAATTTGAAGATTTGCAAAATAGTTCACATACTTATTTGATCCTCACCACCATAAAATAAGCATTGTAGATTTTATCCCTATTTTATAACTGAGGGAACTGAGGTTTGGAGAAGTGGTGACCTGCCCATAATCACACAGATGGAGTGTTTGATGCTGGATCCAAACTCTGATCTCTCTTAATGCCAAGTTCAGCCCTCTTCCTCCTTTACTGTCCTACCTCTAGTAAGGGAATATGGCACTTTCATTTTTTTGTTTTGTTTTGCTTTTATGTCATTTCAGGATGTATCTCTTCTCCCCCACTACCCGGTAGGCCATCCACTTAATGAAAAAAAGAAAGGAATGGGGGGGGGGGGGGAGTCGTGGAAATCAGCTGAACCAAAACTACCTAACATATCAGCTTTATATTCCTAGTCTCCCATCTCTTCAAAAAAGGAAAGGAGCATGTAGCTATTTTAAATGATTATTATGTTGAAGGAATTTACTGCTATATTCAGAGAGTCACTGTAGGATTGAAAAATTCAGAAAAGCTCCAGAAGGCCATGTCCCCAATTTTAAAAGGGAGGGGGGAAGGTGATTATTCATTTTAAGGTTGATCCTCAGCGAAATTTTAGAATAGGTTACCAATAGGTGGTTTACAGATGTTTCTAATATAATGCAATGTTATATGAGTTAATGGGGATTCAGTAAGAATCCATTCCAGTCAAGTCTTTCCAAACTATAGTAACTTCATATACTTTGGTTTGTTTTGGGTTGTTTTTTTGTTTTGTTTTGTTTTGCTTTGTTTTTGGGTTTGTTTTTTGTTTTTGTTTTTTGTCTTTTGGTTTTTTTGGCTAGGCCGTGGGGTTAAGTGACTTGCCCAGGGTCACCCAGCTAGTAAGTGTCGAGTGCCTTAGACTGGATTTGAACTCGGGTCCTCCTGACTCCAGGGCTGATGCTCTATCCACTGTACCACCTAGCTGCTCCAACTTCACATACTTTGATGATATGGTTACTGGATTGTTCAATCAGGAATGCATTGCATTTACTATATTTGGATTTCTAGAAAACATTAAACAAAAACTCTCTTGAGTTCCATGGAGATAAAGTGGTAAAACAGGGATTTTGTGTTAGTATGATGTTTGAAAATGGTTGAAGGTAGTTTAGTAATGGTGCCCAGAAAATATTGATATATCTGTCAACATGAAAGGGAAGGCCTCTGCTGGCATGTCACAGGACTCTGTAATTGACTATGTCCTTGGGGGCAGCTAGGTAGCACAATACATAGAGCACTGGCCCTGGAGTCAGGAAGACCTGAGTTCAAATCTAGCCTCAGACACTTGACACTTAACTACCTGTGTGACTCTTGGCAACTCATTTAACTCCATTGCCTAGCCCTACCCCCCTCCCAAAAAAAAAAATAAATTTGACTATATCTTTCTCTACCTTTTTGTAAATGACTTGGATTAAGGTATGTTTATCATGTTTCCAAATGACAGAAGACTTTAAAAGATAGCTTGTATAGATTTCGGAATCAAGATTCAGAGTGATCTCGGCAGTCTGAAGTGCGAAGCTAAAACCAAGATGGAATTCATCAGAGATAAATATCACGTCTTTCACTGAGGTTCAAAAAATCAATTGTATAAGCAGTTGTGGAGACCTAGTTTGACAGCAATATATGTGGGGAAAAAGACCAGATTTTAGTCATTCATAAGCTTAATAAGGGCTAGTCCTCTGCTCATAGAAATTTAATGGTCCAGTCTACAAGAAGTAAAAGTATCACTGTATTTTTGTCAGTCCCTATCTGACCTAAGTGTGCTACCTGAAACACTCTTCCCCTTTCCTCAGCCCACACCTTCCCAGCCCAGCCAGTTCTTCTCTGTTAAATTTCACCCCACATTTCAAGGCTCATCTCAGATGCTGCCTTTTCTCCCTCAGTCTTGAACTCTAGCTGTAAGTGGAATGTCTTGTTTATACACTTAGCACTATTTTGCATTATGTTTATTTGTGTGTGTCTTTATCTTCCCTATTAGATTGTAAGCTCCTTAAGGGCAGGTTTCCTTGTATTTCTTTCAGTGCCTAGCACAGTGTCTACAAGTAGTTGCTTAATTACTTGTTGAATGAAAGAATTAGTACTGGGTCCTTCATTTTATGACACTAATACACTGAAATTAAGAGGAGGACAGGGTGGTGAGGGGTCTGGAAATCACATTTTATGAAGAATAGTCCAGAAACTGAGTATGTTTAACCTGGAGAAAAAGACTAACAAGAAACATAATGGCTACTTTCAAATATCTGAAGGGCTGCCAAGTTGAAGAAGAAGAGGCATATTTTGTGCCTTTCAGCAGACCAAATTAGGGTGAAGAGCTGAAGCTTTTAGTCAGATCTAAGCTCACTATGAGGGTAAACAACCAGCTGCTCAAAAGTAGAATTAGGTGACTGAGGGGAAGTGAGCTCTCTCGTAGGCAGCGTCAGAAACTAGGTGATCTCTAAGGTTCTGTCCAGTCTGAAATACTTTTCATTCAGGGCTGATTTCTTTTTTCAGAGATCTTTGTAAATTCTACCTTCACAAAATTTTCCCTGACTAAAAAGGGAAGTAACCAAACAAGGGACCACCCTCTTCACAAAATCATCTGCTGTACTGGAGGTCACAGCCTCACCTGCCAATCCCATACCTTTTCTAAATGGAAATAAACTTGGAGCATGTGACTCCTCTTCTCTTCAACATTCCTAAAACCTATTGGCTTCTAATCCTTGTATGTAATAGAAGCATTTTAGCAGAATTTAACCAATTAAGTTCTGCATATCTTTTCAATATAGATTTCCTATTGACATTTGGTTTTATACCAAATTCCCAGAGGGCAAAAACAATGTCATTTAATTGTGCTTTCGTATAGGACCACGCAGAGCACCTTAAACAGATTGCTTTGATGTTTTGGAAAATGTTGCCGTTCATGTGGAAGTAGATGCTGCTAGATTTTGAATTCAGGGCTTAGCCATCCTCATCTTGCATTCCTGCTGAAAATTTTGCAGAGACGGCTGCAAAGTAAGGACTCTGCGTTTACTTCCATTTCTTAGAATTGTGGTGTTCTTTTTCACCAGATGAAGAAGACGACATGTTCAAACCACCCAAATTGACAGACGAAGACTTCTCACCATTTGGCTCTCGAGGGGGCCTGTTTAGTGGAGGAAGGGGACTCTTTGATGATGATGATGAGGTCAGTTGGGGATGAGAGGCAGAAAAGAAATGATCTGTTCCCCCTTTTACCTAAATGATTCTCTACCTTGGGTAGTCCCTGTTCCTTTTCATGCTTTGTTGGCTATCCTGACATCCTTTGATATGTAAAGGAGAGTCATTTGCAATTTCTCAGACCAGAAGACTGTACCATGATGCTTCCTAGGTGATACTCCTGATTTACAGGCATTAACTCCTGGGGTAGACTGGGATTTTTCAAGTTCTCGATTGTTCAACAGCCTTAATTCAGGAGGTCAAACTGTATCCAGATTAGTCAGAGCACCCTGGACTTTGCAAGGGTTCTTTTCTTTTTCTTTTTTTTTTTTTCAAGGCAGTTGGGGTTAAGTGACTTGCCAGGGTCATACAGATAGTGAGTGTCAAATTTTTGGTCTGAGGCCAGATTTGAACTCAGGTCCTCCTGACTTCAGGGCAGGTACTCTATCCACTGTGCCACCTAGCTGCCCTGTAAAGCCCATAAAGGTTCTTTTCTCCACAGAGGAGGAAAAGGCTTAGTTCTCTGTAGTTACAAAGAAATCTCAGTGTTTAATCCTTTTTTTTTTTTTTTTTACTCGTTTGATTTCCATGTCATAATCAATCAGAGTGACCTCTTTTCGGAAGCTCCTAAAGACAATGAAAGTCAAGCCCCAGTTAACAAAGGTAAGGATGGATGAGGTCTGAGTTTATTTGTATTACTGAGGGAAGAGATTTTCAAGGTTCTTTTTTAACATATTTTAAGGCTTTAAATTCTCTTTAGTTTGTTGTCAGGAATTATTTTTTTAGGGATAATTCTGTTAATCCTTTAAAAGCAATCCAATTCAGATATTTCATATCACTGTAAGGGGGAAAAAAAGCATTGTTTTTAGACCTTGTATTCAAACCTAACCCATCAGGGTGAGCACCTTGAGAGTGTTCTCTAATCTGACTTCTCAATCTTACAAAAACTGACAAGAAAAGTGACTTATAATACATATTGGATATAGGTAGAACCAGACGTATTCTAAAGGAGTATTTCTGAGGTTTTGTTTGTATATACAGAGTTGATCAATAATGATAACTTGTACTTAGCCTTCTAAGATTCGTTAAGTACCTTTTTCAGAATAACTTTGTAAGGAAGACAGCACAAGGATTATTCTCCCCATCAACAAATAAGGAGACTGAGTAATCAGAATAGGCAATTCATATTACCCTTGCTAGAAGGTGGAATGGTGGTTTCTAAATAAGTATTCTGTGGCTGTTATCCACACATTTCCTTCCTGCAGTTCTTAATCTAGCTGCTCCTTCTCCAGAATGAAGAGACTATTGGAAAGTGCTTTAAGGATGGATTGTACCCACCATAGCTTTATCCATCAACAAGCCTACAGGGCCTTCTGACCTCTAGAATAGCAAGAAATGACTACTAATATCAAAGCTATTATCCTATTAAGAGATCACTGTAACTTAAGGTTTATAATTTGGGTGGAGTTAAAATCCTATTGCATTATTTTAATCTCACTTTAAATGTGTCCTTAAATCATGTAGTGTTGAGTTAAAAAAAATTAAACTGTGAATTTAAAAGTAGCACATGTAGGATCAATTAATTTCAGCCACCAAAAAAAAAAATTCTCTAATTTGACTTTGCAGAACGGTGAATTTAATGATTTATTTCCTTGTTCCAGAGATTTCATCATCCAAACCTGGGAAAAAGATACCAGCAGGAGCTGTATCATTGTTCTTAGGTACGTCCATTCTTAGGGTTTCGTCTTTTTATTTTTATCTTTTTTTTTTTCTTTTTGGTGAGGTGATCGGGGTTAAGTGACCTGCCCAGGGTCACACAACTAGTAAGAGTTAAGTGTCTGAGGCTGGATTTGAACTCAGGTTCTCCTGACTCCAAGGCCAGTGCTCTATTCACTGCACCACCTAGCTGCCCCCTACTTTTATCATTTTTAACACATCTTTTTTTTTTTTTTTTTTAAATGTTAAATTCAGAGATCTGGCTGGCATGTAGTGGACTACTTGGAATTTCAAAGGTCTCATTAAGGGAGCCAATTTGTTTATTAGGCCAACTGTTATACACATTGTTGCCTGCAACAACAAACCTTAACATACAGGCTTGTGCCTGGGAAAAAATGGATTTCCAAAGAATAGATGATTTGTATTGGAGGAATTTATCTGAACTGTCCTTACTCTTACCTAGGCTTATTTAGCAGCTCTAGCATTTTATTGCTGCAGGGGAAGTATTTCTGAAAAAGCTGAAATTTTAATGACTTCTGGAGAAAATTAGTACCTTTTATGGAGTGGTGAGGTACACAGTACCTGACTACTATTGGTTTCACCTTTGTCTGATTGTAGGGGATCCTGATGTGTTCAGTGTTTCTTCAGTGCAATCACCAAAGGAGCCCCAGAAGCCTCCACAGGCAACACAAGGGAAAACGCCTCAGAGTCCTGCACCTGTCGGCCTCTTTGATAATGATGATGATGACTTTTTTGTTGCGGCTAACAGCAAACCCTTACATGCAGGTGTGTGTTGCCTCTCTCTGTTTTCATGGCAATTATTTGAAATGACTTTTAAACAGGCACGGTGAAGGCTAAGGCAAGCCTCTGCTAATTATTCTGAGCCATTTAGGTCCCAGAGAGATTTATTCAGAACTGCCTGGTTGTTGCCCTAGTTTATACCATCTAGGGAGCAGACAGTCCTCAGCAGCTTGAACGATGGCGCCTGCCAACGTCAGGAGCCTAGTCGTGGTTCACCTCTTGGCGCAGTTGATCACTCAAAACCTAAGGTTCGAATAATCAATTCATTTAATAAAAATATATGCAGATACCCCAAGGGAAAAGCAATTCCTGAGGCAGTTAAGAAGCAATCCACAAAAAGTTAAAGCTGCCAGTGAAAAAATTAAAAACAGTGGCCGGGGAGTTTCCCTAGGGCTTCAGCTTCTCTCTGTTGAAGGTCTGAAGGCCACTGTTATATTCTTCTTATCCAAGGGGCCCTCAGTTGGATTCCAGATTAGTCTGCCTGTTAACTCAGACTATCCCAGGTCTTCAGTCCTGGCTAATTTTGCCGGGGTGAGAAGGATTCATTTGTGCCTCCTCCCCAGTTTCCTTAGTTCCCTTCGAGAGTGCCCTTCAACATGAGAAGCAGACAGCTAGATTCTTCTCACACGTAATGGGGGATCACTGCATTTACAGTCACAAGCCCTGGGTTTAAATCTTGGCTGTGTGATTACACTATCCGTGTAATCTTGGATGGCCATTTCGTACTCCAGAGCCTCAGTTTCCTCATCTGTATAATAAGACAGTTAGCTTAGATGACCTGTAAGTTGCCTTTGAGCTCTTAAGTCCTATGATCTCTTACTGTGGTCGAATTAAAGTAGGAGTGAGAAGATGAGAGGGAACAAAATGATTCTGCCTGGACACACGAGAAGAGCGCAAACTTAATTCATTACACGTGTAAGGCTCAGTGAATTAAAGCAGAAAAACGAAAGACAATGCTACTGATGCCTGAAAATGGCAGCTTACGTGGTAGTCAGAAAATGGAGGTTCCTTTTTAAGCTGGCGTAGCTCTTGAATAGCTGTCCCTTCCGGCCTTTGAGTAACTTGAGGGAAAAGCCCACCTCCTCCACGATTCCCTTGTTGTTAGCTTCCTTCTCTTCTTGGTGATTTAATGTTTTTGTAAATATTAAATGAAGCCTCATTCCTGCAGAGTTCGGTTCACCTAATCAAAGCTCAGTGTAAAAGACTACCAAGGCTTCTACTTTTGTCTCGGCATTGACCTGGTGGGGGAGCCGTTCATCTTGTTTGTTTAAAGTGTTTTGCTTTTTTTTTTTTTTCCCCCTTTAAAAAATAACAAAAGCACTATTTTCAATGTTTGGTGAGTTTTTCAAGACAACTTTTTTTTCTTTCAATCAAAGCCAAGCCAACTGTTGATCTGTTTGATGAGGAGGAAGAGGAAGAAGATCTCTTCAAAAAGAAAGCAGCCCCTTGTTCCACTGATTCTCTCAGTTCTGAAGCCAAGGAGGCAGCTGAGAAGGTGATGGAGGAGGGGATGGATGTGCACACTGATGTTTTTCTTGGGGTAGCTTATACTTAGTTCACCTTGAACCAAATTAAAATGAGTTGAACTGTATTATGAAATAGGTTTAACATTAAATTAAGAGAATGTTCATCAAGCACCTTTCATGGGCGATGCACCGAGCTGGGCAGGTAAAGAAATGCAAAGATAGAAAAGATACAATCTGGGCAGGGAGACAAGAGCCTTACAGTTCTAACACAAGAAAAACACAGGTGCAAACCGTGTGGTTTGTGCCTCAGTCATCCAGCTCTTGAGGCCCACCCGGGCCTGCTCATCCCCTCCACAGCCCTGAGCATCTCTTCATTCTGAATCTTCCCTATATCCTCTGCTGGCATAAGCTTCTAAAGGAGAGAGACCATGTTGTCATCTAAGCTTTCCCTCCCCCCACCCCCCCAGGGTCTAGTGCACACCGCAGGTACTTGATAACTGTTGGCTGAACTGAACTTCCGTAGAGCATTATTGCATATCCTCCCATTCACTAAACCTGGGCATTTCCCTAAGTATTCCATGTTTCCACATCAGACACAGCTGCTTTTTCTATCATTCCCCCAGTTGCATCTGGCCAGGAGGAATGGTGCCTCGGACCGAAAGCCAGGAGATGAGGTCAGCTGTAAGCTGCCAATCAGCAAGGGAAGGGAAGAGCTGAGAACATAATGAGTGGAAGGGTTAGGGAATTAACTAGCTCCAAGGAAGAATGTATTCTCTCCTAAGTGCATTTCCATTTGGAAGGCGGTGGACAGATCTCAGGCAGCGAGTATTTGTGAAGTGCCTCCTCTTTGGAGCACTGCTGGGTATGCAAGTAGAAGTAGAAAATCCTTGCGCTCCTAAGAAGCCGAAGCAGAGGGGTGGGAGGGGCAGAAGAAGGCTGGGCTGCAGCCCAGAGAGGACCGAGACAGGCTGTTAATGGGTCCTGGTTTTGTGGTCCCTGCAGTTACCAGAGCAGAGGGATGGACTGGAGAGTAAATGGAGAATTCTGATCGCTCTATTTCTTACCAAAATCCCAATTATCTTTCACGTTTAGGATTCCAAGCGTGCCAGGGTCTGACCATCCATTAATCCTTGCTGAATTTCTGTTCCTTTTTGATGCCTGTACCATGTACACTTTGGATAAAGCTTACTATTCAGGGACAAACAACCTGGAGTAAAAACTCGATCTTAGAAGTCGGTCTCTTGGTAGGGGCTTGACATCTTTCTTTTCTTTCTTCTATCAGTTCTTCCTTTATACCGTGTTGTTCTGTCCCCCTGTAGAAAAATGATGATAATGATTTATTCATAATCAAACTTCCACATGCATTTTGACTTAGAAGCATACATGAGAGCACATAGTAACACTCTTTCTACCTAATGCTCATGGGAGAGAGCATCCTGCTAAAATTCCACTTTAGTTCCAAAGGTCTTCGGCATTAACAGTTGGCAGGCAATTTAGATTCTCTAGCTTCAGAAAGTTCAGGCAGAACTTGACAGATTCACAGCGCTACCCAGTTCAGAAGGCTTTGCTTCCCCGTAGGAAGTTACAGTCCCAGTTCTTGAAGACAGCTTTTTGTAGAGTCCAATCCTGTATATACATTCAGGTTTTATCATTTTAAAACAATGCAACCAATCTTCTTTTAAGCAGTTCTATATTCAATGCTCTTGGAAAGGTTGTTTTCTCTTTTGAGGCAGCTAGGTGGGGCCATAGTAGAGTGCCAGGTCTGGAGTCAAAAGACCCGAGTTTAAATGCAGCCTCAGACATTTACTAGCTGTGTGACTCTGGCCAAGTCACTTAACTTCTGCCCACTTCAGTTTCCTCAACTGTAAAATGGGGTAATAATAGCACCTGCTTCGAGAATCAAACGAGAGAATATTTGTAAAGCACTCAACACAGTGTCTGGTAGATAGTGGGCTCTCTATGTAAAGTATTATTGTTATAATTTTTTCCTAAATTTTAAGAAATCAGACATAATTTTCAGATATCAGTACTACATGTGTGTTTATTTACTTAGATTTAAGATATTACTATTTAATGAAAGTCATTGTGTCTAAGATGGTTCCCCCAATTGTTGTGTTTTCTTTTGTTTTGACAAAGGTTACGCCACCTTCCAGCAAAAATCTCAAGGCCTTGTCAGAAGAAGTTTCCAAGAAACAAAAAGGTTTATTCTCAGATGAGGAGGACTCAGAGGTGAGGTGTTCATATATTTCTGGGTGCTCTTCCTCGGAAACTCGATTGTGTTCACTAGCTTGAAAATTTGGAAAAAACCTGTATCTGGGCATTTTCTTTAGAGGCACCTCCTGCTCCTTTGCTGTTGACAGCCTATGAGAATAAATGATGTTAGTTTTTTGGTTATCTGGAATTTATTACTGTGAGGTTTAGAAGCTACTGGGTTTGGTCCCATCCTTAGATATCAGCATCTTCATTGCAGTGTCTGCTGCTTTGTTCTGGGTCATTTATATCCAGCTCTCATGTGTGGGGTGTGAGGCACAGACCCTCCAGCCACAACTGGCTTTTGGCTAACTAGGGGCCAAGGATGGTGACCTTGTAGAGGGGCTTGTTTGGTTTTCATTATTTTGGGGGCTGGGGAGGGGTGGGTGATGGGGTTAAGTGACTTGCCCAAGGTCACACAGCTAGTAAGTGTTATGTGTCTGAGGCCGAATTTGAACTCAGGTCCTCCTGACTCCAAGGCTGGAGCTTATCCACCTCACCACCTAGCTGCCCCTGTTTGTTTTTCATTAAAAAGGAACAAGGAGGCATTAAAAGAAAGATTCAAGAAAATGTGTTTATGAAGAGAAAAGTTGACTGCACAAGAAGTTTCAGGAATCTTTCTCTTGTTTGCATGTGTTCAGCTTTGGCACCTCAGAGTGTGCTCTTTTAGGGAACTGAGCTTTTCTAAATCCCTGTTGGGTGATCACCTTTTAAAAGTGTTTGTTTTCCACTTGGGGACAGAGTACAAATCCCTGGGAATAAGAGTTCTTAGCTCTCTATTCCTTTGGAGTAAGTATTAGTAGCCAGGGTACTGGTATCGTAGTTGTGGATCTTAGCCCACTGAGTCTCAGGGATTGATATCAGGGGTTCTGTTAAGAGCTCTAGTTTACTTTGTTTCTTAACCATACTTGAAGTCAAAGAATATTATCACTGTCCTTGTTCCTTTGGGTCTCTGGATTAGTGAATGGATCTAGTATTGCCCTTCTTTCTTTCTCTTGTCTCTTAATCTGTTGTATCTAGCTTGATAGTTTGATTTAACCAATTTTTACCTTCATTCTCTATTCATACTAGAGTGGTTTGTCCTTTTCTTGTCCAGCTCATTTTACAGATGAGGAAACTGAGGCAAATAGGATCAAGTGACTTGCTTGGGAGTCACATAGCTATTAAGTGTCTTGAGGCCAAATTTGAACTCAGGTCATCCTGACTTCAGGCCCAGTGCTCTATGCACTATGGCGCCCCCTACCTGCCCTAATAAGTGGATAGTAATGGTCATCTTGGGACAGATGTCAAAAGACTCTCTTAATCTTATGCTAGATACCCACCTCGGAAGACAGCATGCTTATCAGCATGTTGGTTTCCAGGAGATTCTCCCACACATGCACATTTTATGCTGAGAAGTTGTTCTTTAATACAACTGAAACACAAACATAAATAATGCCCTTCGTGTTGGATGCAGAAATAGTCTCCTTGGCTTCTGTTCTTGCTGAGCCTGAGAACCTCAGTTCGTAGGGGCTCCTGCTGCTAAGTGCTACCCCTTATTGGCAACACTTGGACCCTGGGGGGAGGGCAGCAATGGGGGCAGGCCAAGGGAGGAAGGAAAAATGATTTTCAGGTGACTTTTAGGAGATTCTTGCACAAGAGAGTCTTATGTGGAAATTGTTTCCAAATTTTTCCCATTCTCTCTTACTTCTTGGCCTGGTGATCAGAAACTGGCTGTTTGTATTTTGCCCCTTTGTTGTGCCATCATCTTCATTTTGGACATGCTGTCATGTGCTTTAAATCTAAATGACACAGATATTTACTGAGCACCACAGCACAGATCACTGTGCTAAGTACTGTATAAAGACAAATAAGCCATGATCCCTTCCCTGAAGGAACATCCAGTCTAGCATAGGAATTAAGATACATGTACACAAGTAAATGAGATACAGAATAGAATCTTAAGTGCATATGAAAGGTGCAAAGTTAGTTATGTGAACTTCAAAGAAGAAAAGACCATTTGACCAGGAATGGAGATTGAAGAAGGCTTTAGGGAATGGTGTTATTTGATCTGAGTCTTGAAAGAAGGGTAGAATTTCATTGGAGAGAAGATGAGGTTCTAAGCATTTAGAGTGGTGTGAAGAAGGGACCAAAGGTCAGGTTATGTTTTGGGTTAGGTGAATAAGAGAGGGCACATGGAACTAAGTAAGTTTGGGGAAAATAGAGCGGTACCAGGTCACAGAGGGCCTTAAATGCCAGGGTCAAGAGTTAAAACTTTGCTTAGGGGGCAATAGGGAGCTCTTTAAGGGTTTTGGTTTTTTGTTTTGTTTTGTTTTTGTTGTTGAGCAGAAGAATCACCTTATCAGTTTTATGCTTAGGGAAACAACAGTATGAAGAATGGATTGAAATGGGAGGGAGACTGGAGGTAGGGAAATTAGTCTGGAGGCTATTACTATCATCCAAGCAGTGAATTAATTAATAAAAGAATAAAAAAGCATTTAAGCACTTGTTGTGCCCAGGACTAGGGATATGAAAAGGAAAGTAAGTCAGTCCCTGCTCTCAGGGAGCACACGTTATAAAAGGGTAGATAACACATAGAAGAGCCCTCGGCTCTAAGTCAGAAGATTCTTGGGACCGCAGGTGTACCAAGCCTTCTTTATATCATTCCCAGTGATAAAACCATATCTTTTTCTGATGTTGTGCTATTTCACAGTGGCCAAGAACCTTGGTGAGAGAGAACGTTCTTCTTAAGTCTTAAGAAGTTATGGCTGCAAGAGTTGATGGATACCTGTACTAAGGTAGTTAGAGTGGAAAGGAGGAAATATATGTGGGAGATATTTCAGTTGTAGAAACTAATTTGAATGTAGGAGAGAAGAGTCAAACCAGCACAGCTAGAAGAATAATGGTTGGTCTGTCAACAAAAATAGGAAAGTGAAGGACAGATTTTTGGGGAGAACACAGTAAGTTCATTTAGGGCTACGTTCAATTTCAGATGCTGGTGAGATAGTTAAATGATGTCCATCCAGTAGGCAGCTGGAAATTGACTCTGGAGCATGGTAGAGAAGTCATGAAGAAAGACGGACACTGGAGAGTCTAAAATAAAGTTTGGTGTTGGTTTTTTTTTTTTTAATAAGAATAAATTAATAACAAGTTCTATATTTGGTGAGGATAGGTCCAAAGCAAAGAAACGGTCCAAGGGGGCCTTGTAAAATATTTCCCTTTGCTGAATAAATGTGCCACCTACATTTAGGTTTCTCCCTCTAGGGCACAGTTGTCCTAGTTATGTTTCGAGTACGTGCCATTCACAGAGCTTAGTGGCTGTTTCTGTGCCATAGCCTGGCTTTTTATGGCTATTCGAAAACAGTTTAACATCTTTCCAACAGAATGATTAACACTCCAGAGTATCTGCATTTATCTCAATGTGGTATCTCCAAATTATCAAAACAGTATCCAATTCACTTAAATTTTTAAAATATAAGCAACTTAACACTTTAAGGGGGACCTGAGTTATTATACTATGAAATAGTGTAACTCCATTTAGTTTGATAATCATTATTCTGACCTCTTTAATTTTCTGTAGTTCATTTTGTTCATGCCTTTCACTTTCCCTTTTAATCTATTATTTAGGGAAACTTAATCATTCCCTTTTAGCAGCATCATTTTGTAACTTCATTCTCTGGACCTCAGTTTCTATATCTGTAAAAGGAAGTGTTTGTAGTAGGTGATCTCTAAAATCTCATTCAGATTTGAATCCTGTAGTCCCATGTTTTAGAACAATAGAAACAGTGACCTGGAAGGGACCTCTGGAAGATATTTATTTCATCCTCTCTAACATTAACTGAAATCATCCAAGTAGAATGTGGAGACAACTAGCAGGTTGTACTGGTTTTACAAGGACAAGCTATACCTAGAACCATTAAGAGCTACTTTCTTTCTGTACAGTGTCTGTTAGTGAGTTGGCCACTACAGATCCACACAGAGCCCTTTGCACATCTCAGAACCAGGACTTTAATTCATATGCCAGATTCTGCGGCCATTACCAGGCAGAAACTGGTAGCCATAAGGTTTGAGCTTTTAACAGAAACCTATGCGCGCTGTTCTCAGGAGACAGGAGATGGAGTCTTGTGTCTACTTTGTCTGGAAAGATAGGTTGGAGCCAGATTGGGAATGCTTCCAGATGACCAGCAGGAGTTTGTATTTCATTCTGGAGACAGTAGGGGTGGATAATGATTGATGGTGGGGATGGGGAGAGGGGGTGGGCATAAAAATAAGATCTAAATTTTCCCCACACCTTCAGTATCTTCCTCTTTTTCAGATACCTTAATCCCTTAGCACCTGAAAATGGTTTTACCTCTGGCATGGGCTTCTTCATTGTGTTATTGAATCTAATCCAGCAGATTTTCCTCTCTGTTTTCTGCAGTACTATTTCTGCTTCCTCATCCAGCACACCAAAGGTGCTTCCGAATCCTTCCAGCCCCTTCCTTTACTTTTCAGATGAAAAAAACAGAGGCCCAGCCAGATTGAGTCCCACAAGAGAAATCATTAGAAGTAGGATTTGAACCCAAGTTCTGTGACGCCTTCAGAATCTGTGCTCATTCCAGCTTACCTCACTGCTTCCACGTGTAACACTATGATAAAGGCTCCACTTTCCTTATAATGGTGAAGAGAGTTTGATATAAAAGTCTTTATAGACCTTGCCCTTTTTCATCTATTAATTATCCTTCAGGTTTCGTTTTTAAATAGACTTCAAGATGATTTTGCTTAAATGGGACTCAACTAAGTTTTCTTTAAACTTGTTTTCCCTCCCCTGCTTTTCACTGAGCCTAAGAGGCAATACTACTTAGAATCTTTTATCATCCTTTTCCATAAGATTTCGTGGTCAATTTTATATTTTAAAGTGGTGCTGTTCATAACTACCATGTATGTCTACATAACATAGAGGTCAGGTGTTCCCTGGGTGAAACGACTTCTCTGTTTTTTGGTCTCCTTTTTATGGCAATTGGTTTGCATTAGTTAAGCTATTATAGGAAATTGTTGCAATGCATATAAATATCCATTTCACCTTTTTTCATTTTTCACCATCAATAGCTTATTTAAACTGGTCCTCAGAAAGCAAGTATAGTTTTTTTTTCTTTTTCTTTTATATTAATCTATTTTGATTTTATCAACAATCACTTCCATAAGCTTTTGAGTTTTAAATTTTTCTTCCTCTCCCTTTCCCCCTCCCTCTCCAAGACAGTGCGCAATCTGATATAGGATACACATATACAGTCTATTAAACATATTTCCACATTAGTGATGCTGTAAGGAAGAATTAGAACCAATAGGAGGAACCACAAGAAAGAGGTAACAAAAGAAAACAGAAGAAAAAAATAGCAAATAGTATGCTTTGATCTGCATTCAAACTCCATAGTTCTTTCTTTGGATGTGGATGGCATTTTCCATCATGAAACTTTTGGAGACGTCTTAGATCCTGGCATTGCTGAGAAGGGCTAATTTTATCAAAGTTAGTCATTGCACAACCTGGCTATTACTGTCTGTGTACAACATTCTCCTGGTTCTGCTCACTTCATTCAGCATTAGTCCATACAAGTCTTTCCAGGTTTTTCTGAAGTCTGCCTGCTCATCATTTCTTTTTTTTTTTTTTTTTTTTTTGCATTTTAGCATTTGCTGTATTTATTGAACAAATTTTTTTTTTTAAACATGTGTTTTTAAAACTTTGGGTTCCAAATTTTCTGCCTTCCTCCCTCCCCACCCACCTTCATTGAAAAGGCAAGCTATACATGTGCAGTTATGCAAAACACTTCCATAGTAGACATGCTGTGAAAAACTAACTCTATTTCCCTTAATCCTATCCCACCCGCCCCACATTTATTCTATTCTTGCTTTTGACCCTGTCCCTCCTCAGAAGTATTTGCTTCTGATTACCCCCTTTCCCAGTCTGCCCTCCTCTCTATCATCCCCCTACTCTCTTGTCCCCTTCCCCTCCTATTTTCCTGTAGAGTAAGATAGATTTCCATACTCCATTGTGTATGTTATTCCCTCCTTAAGTCAAATCCTATGAGAATAAGATTCACTCATTCCCTCTCACCTTCCCCATTTCAAACCCCTCCACTGTAAGAGCATTTTCTTTTCTGGTTTTTTTTGTGAGATAATTTATCCCATTCTACCTTTCCCTTTCTCCTTCTCCTAGTATAATCCTCTCTCACCCCTTAATTTTATTCTCCAGATATGACCCCTTCATCTTCAACTCACCCTGTGCCATCTATCTATCTATCTATCCATCCATCCATCCATCCGTCCATCTATCTATCTATATATATATATATATATATACATACATATAATTTTTTCCCTCCAACTACCCTAATACTGACAAAGGTCTCATGAGTTACAAATATCATCTTTCCATGCAGGAATGTAAACAGTTCAGCCTTAATAAGTCTTTTATGATTTCTCTTTCCTGTTTACCTCTTCATGTTCCATTGAGTGTTGCATTGGAAAGTCAAATTTTCTATTCAGCTCTGGTCTTTTCCTCAAGAATGCTTGAAAGTCCTCCATTTCACTGAATGACCATTTTTTCCCCTGAAGAATCATACTCAGTTTTGCTGGGTACGTGATTCTTGGTTGTAATCCTATCTCCTTTGCCCTCCGGAATATTATATTCCATGCCCTGCAGTCCCTTAATGAAGAAGCTGCTAAATCTTGTGTTATCCTGATTGTGTTTCCACAATACTTGAATTGTTTCATTTGGCTACAATATTCCTAGGAGTTTTCCTTTGGGGATCTCTTTCAGGAGATCGGTGGATTCTTTCAATTTCTATTTTGCCTTCTGGTTCTAAAATATCAGGGCAGTTTTCCTTGATCATTTCTTGAAAGATGATGTCTAGGCTCTTTTTTTTGATCGTGGCTTTCAGATAATCCAATAATTTTTAAATTCTCTCTCCTGGATCTATTTTCCAGGTCAGTTGTTTTTCCAATGAGATATTTCACATTGTTTTCTATTTTTCATTCTTTTAGATTTGTTTTACAGTGTCTTGATTTCTCATAAAGTCACTAGCTTCCAATTGCTCTATTCTAATTTTTAGGGAAGCATTTTCTTCAGTAATCTTTTGGACTTCCTTTTCCATTTGTCCAATTTTGCTCTTTAGGGCATTCTTCTCTTCATTGGCTTTTTGGACCTCTTTTGCCATTTTGGGTTAGACTATTTTTTAAGGCATTATTTTCTTCAGTATTTTTTTGGGTCTCCTTTAGCAAGCTGTTAACTTGCTTTTCATGATTTTCTTGCATCACTCTCATTTCTCTTCCCAGTTTTTCCTCTACTTATCTTACTTCCTTCTCAGAATCCCTTTTGAGCTCTTCCAAGGCCTGGGACTGATTCATATTTTTCTTGGAAGTTTTGGATGTAGGAGCTTTGGGTTCGTTCTCTTCTTCTGGTTGTATGTTTTGATCTTCTTTGTCACCAAAGTAAGATAATATAGTCTGACTCTTTTTTGTGCTGCTTGCTCATGATCCCAACCAATTACTTGAGTTTTAAACTCTTTGTTAAGGTAAGAGTCTGTTCCAATGTGGAGAATGTACTGTCCCAAGCTTCAGGGGTTTGTGCAACTGTTTTCAGAGATACTTCTAGGGACATGAAAAGTGTCAGTTCTTCCAAGGTGCTATGATAAGGGGCGAGGTGTTTCCTCCCCACCACCACAACAAGCTCCACCACCTCCTTACCCCAGGACCACCTCTCAGAACTGTGACTCAGATCCAAGCACTGGCAAAGCAAGAGATTTCTGCCTCAATCCTGGCAAAGAGATCCTTGCAATCCCCCTCTGATCAGCCACTCAGTTCCCCCTCAGTCTGTGGGCCGGAAGCTCAGGACGCAGCCGTTGCCCTAAGGGCACGCTCTGGACTTGCGGCTGAGACCTAGCTTCTTCTCTCACAACAGTCACAGACTTTTCCCACTAATCTTCTAAGTTGTCTTTGGCGTTCGTGGATTGAGAAGTCTGGAAACTGCCACAGCTGCCCGAGATTCAGCCCTCTGAGGCCTGCTCCAGGGTCGCTGCGGCCTGTGCACCCACGCCAAACTGCGCTCCTCTCCCAGCCTGGCGCAATATACCTTTCCGATCAGCCATCCAGGTTGTCTTGGGCTGGAAATTTGTTTTACTCTGGTTTTTTTTGTGGGTTCTGCTGCTTTAGAGTTTGTTTAGAGCCATTTTTTTTATAGGTATTTGGAGGGGTTTGGGGGAGAGCTCTAGCAAGTCACTGCTTTCCTTCCGCCATCTTGGTTCCGGCCCCCCCCCCCCCAGTATAGTTTTTGCCAAGATTGTATCCAAAGCCTTTACAGAATGGTAGATTAGGTCCAAGCTTTGTGTTCTGCTTTCTACCCTTCAGGGCCCAGAGGTTACCTCCGTACAATGAGGAGGCATCAGAGAGTAGTCTTTGTAGCGATAACTGTAACAAGATAAACTCATTTTTTCAACTGCTTGTCTTATTTGTTGCTATTTTTTATAACTCTATTTTTGGATTCAACAGGACTTGTTTTCTTCTGCTCTGAATGTGAATAAGGCAAAAGCTGTAGCTCCTCATTCCAGCAAACTCACCGCAAAGAAACCACTTTCTCTTTTTGATGATGATGATGAAGAGGTAAAATATTGATATCTTTACACTAAATAATAGGGAATATGGAATCTCATGAGGTGGGTGGAGCAGTACAAGCCTGATAGCTATTTTTAGGGAAATAGGAGTATTGATGTTTGAGGATGACGTAGCATGGACATTTCTGTGTCTATTTTAAGGAATCCTTGCTTCACTTTCCCTCGCTTCAAAAGAGGAAGTACTGCAAAATTCTTGGTCCAGTATGAGAATTAGACTACTTGATTGGATCTGTTAATGAATAGCCTCATCAACAGATGTTCTTATACAAGTGTGTGGATTGCTTGTTTTTGTTTTTGAGATTTTACACTAAAAATTCACATGTTGGAAAATGTACCTTTCTTCAAAGAATGTCTTTTTATTTATACTGGATGATTTATAGGATGTTTCAACAAAGTATTTCTTAAATTTATTAAATCTTTTTGACAGAGAAATTTAAAGGTCATTTTTTCCTTATCTTGGCCTCTGTCCATCTAAAGGATGAGCATTTTCCATACAGAGAAAGGGGGAAAACCTTTACTTTGGCCCTGTCCTACTTTTTCTCTTACTTAGATTTAAACCTGAGAGAATGGGAAAGGAGCTAGCTGTCCCTGAAAGCCACATTCTCAGCTCTGTAGTACCTGCTGGAGAGCCTTTATAGTTTTGAGCTATATGCAGTAAGAACTCCAAAGAAACACCAAAGTCATATTCTCTCTGCTGCTCCATTAATTGAGGGGACCATCTTTCTTCCCCATTGCCCATCCTGTGTTAGCTGTCCTTGCTTTGGTGGTAAAATTGAGCTCAGAGTATACTGTGGCAGAAATATGAGGGAGCAGCATTGTTGTAGTATGTAGTGATTTTTGAAAGGTGTCTGTTGTTCCCGATTATCACTAGGTTGACTTACATCTAACTCATTTCCTGACATTTTAGCAGAACATTGTCTTGATTTCTAACTCTTTGTGGTTTGGTTTTACTCAGCACTTTGGGGAATTTTTTTGTTTGTTTGTTTGTTTTAGGAAAATCTTTTTGGAGAAACACCTGCTAAGAAACAATTTTCTTCATCATCTTTGCCTAAGCAAACTCAAGAAAAGCCAATATCTTCTGAGCCGCACAAAAAAACACCCACCTTACTATTCAGCAGTGATGAGGAGGTACAGTTGCCACCATCTCAAATGAATGAAACACTTAAAAGCTTACTACATTCAAAGGGCTATGCTAAGTCCTGGGCATACAAATAGAGAAGTAAGACGCTTCCCTTTCTCACGGAGCTCACATTCTAATCAGAGAGACAACATAACTCTTCTTAAAGAAAGAAGTTAGTTTGACAAAATCAATATCAGATTGTCACAGTGCCCTAAGTATTTTTTCCCCAGTTCAGATGCATATGTTTCAGTTCTTAGTGCTGCTGGAGTTTGGCAAGTGAGAATGTCCAAAACTCTTGAGAACCGCGTGATATATGCAAAATGCATTATTTGAAGATTTTAAGGTTCTCTTACCCCAATACTTCCAAAGCTAATAAACATGTATCAAGTAGAATAACAGCATGATTTATATACTATATGTTTGACCTTCGTTTTGATCTCACTGAATAATTAGCTTCTAAGCATTATTCAGTAAGAACTTTTCCTTTGACCCAGATGTGGCAGCAGAAAATGCAAGTTTGTCAGTCTTATTATTCAGGACACTCAGAATTGTTTTCTTTGTGCATTGAGGCAATCTAGCAAAAACTGGCTATGAGTATAGGTAAACTTCCATTTCAGTCTCCTAACTTTGCAGAAAAATACATGTTATAGTAACTCAGGTATCCTGGATACTATTTTCCATAAAGTAAGCATTTTCTTCTCTCTACCTGTGTTATAAGAATGAATTCAACATAAGCATACGCACGAACACACAGATGTAGACAGATAAATGTCAAAGCAAATATTACAATAGAAAGTTGTTATACACATCCTAGGTATACTAGCATTATTTCTAGAAGCCACTTAGATTTAAAGGGTTCAACATAATTGCCTTTCTCTCCTCTTTATTTGACTGAACCTATCTCTGCATCCATTTTCATTGGATTTCTTCAACAACCTTAATGCTGTCTTCTTTCTGAGCCTCTGTACCAGAAGTCTTCAAGAGAAGCACCATTCTCCCAAACAGCCTTGCAACCTTGGTGTAATGCGGAATAACACCAGATTACTTCCGTGACTTAAGAGACATGAAGGAAAAAGACTTTAGTGAAGGTGCAACTAATAACTAGTTTTATTTTGCTTCCTATATACCTTCACTTGAATTGCCTTTGACAGGGAGAAGTGGACAAAAGTTTCTTTCTGAAGTTCCTTTGATTGACAAAATACTGTTTTAATTTCTTTTTTAGGACCAGTGGAGCATGGGTGATTCACAGACCAGTAAGGTGCCTGACAACAATATAAAGGAACTTAAGAAGCCTGGCCCAATGCAGGATCACGTGGAGAAAGATGTGAAAAAGATAAGTCTGTTTGAGGAAGATGATGAAGAGGATTTATTTGCTATTGCTAAAGACAGGTAATGGCATTGCTGCAGCAAAACAACTGTATAGAGAATAGCACAGACATTGACTGTGGATAGTAATGAACTTCAGGGATCAAGTTAAGAGCATCTCTCTCAGTAATATGAAGGCCGCTGAGGTTTTTTATTTTTTGTATCCAAAGAAGCAATACTTCTTCTGCTATCACCACCACCACCCCAAACTAGTTCACATTGTTATGGGTGAGCATCACAGTTACAGGGAAAACACATTGTTTGTAGATATGCAAAGTCAAGTCGGCAAGAATTTATTAAGCACCTACTGTATGCTTGACACTGTACTAACTGGAAGGTTTTCCCAGTTCATTGTCTTCAGAATCCAAATAGACTTTTTACAATAAAACAATAATCATATTAAGAACAATGAATTGACCAGAATTCATATTTTTCACTACATGAATATTAATTGTTAGTACTCCAAATATGAAGCCTTTGTTCATTGACCAAGGAGTTGTGAAGAGCTTTAAATGCCAAATGGAGCATTTTAATTTTGACCCTGATAAGGAGCCACTGGCGCTCACCAAGGGGGTGGCATGGTCAGATTTACACTTTAGAGAAATCACTTTGGCCGCTGATGCATCAGCTTCCTATTTTTTGTAGCAGGTGTTTCCCTTTAACAGGGTGAACTAGTTGGGGGCAGGGGGCCAGAGATGATAGCGAAAGTGGTGTATTCATGTCACCTTTGTCAGAGATGTGGCAATTGCAGTGTGTAAGTGAGACATTATGAGGACTTTAATTGGCGTGGTAGCCATGTGAACAAAAAGAAGGGGTCAGATGCAAGAGATGACGTGGACATAGAAAGGCAAGATTTGGCAGCCAGTAGGGGGTGTAGGGTGAGAGTGAGGAGTCATGGATGGCACTAAGGTTGGGATCCTAGCTGAGTATGTAGAAGATGCTAGATATCTATGACCAAAATAGGATGGCTTAGAAGAGGGGTTGGTTTGAGGAGGAAAGACTAGTAAGTGCTTTGTTTTTGTTTTTGTTTTTTTGTTTTTTTTTTTTTGTTTTTTTTTTGTTACATGTTGAGGTCGACATGCCTAAAGGACGTCCAGATCTAAATGTCCAATAAACTGTTAGTAACATGGTCTGGGAGCTCAGGAGAAACTAAAGTTGCATCAAAATGATAAGTGGATCCCAAGGAAGCTGAGGAGATGACCAAGAGGTGAAGTCCTGTGATGAGGGAGGGGCTAGCAATGTCAGATGCTAGAGAGAGGGAGAAGAAGAGGAGCATTGAGGATAAGTCCATTGCATCTGGCAGTGGGGGCAGTGGTAGAGACTTCAGGAGTACGTATCAGTTGAAAGAGTGGTGAAGTTGGTAGCCAGAGGGAGTGGGAGATAACCTTGGGAATTCGCCTGTATAAAGAAGGCGAGATAGAAGACAAGAATTTGAGGGAATGGTGGGGTCAAGTGGAGGACTAATTATAGATTGGGGCAAAGGGAAGGAAGGAGCCAGTAGATGGGCAGAGTCTAAAGATTAGAGAGGGAGACGAAGGAAATAGGAGGAAGGATGGTCTTGATAAGAAGCGTCACCTCTTCTTAGAGACCAGAACAAAAGGGGAGAGAGCAGGAAATGATGTAGAGGTTACACAGCATGAGGGAAAGGAGGGGGCTTAACCCACAGTTATCCTTGTCTGCCTAAGCCAAGCTACTCCTTCAATGTATTTTTAAATATTTTTCTTTTTTATTATGAACCTAATAAATATAAACAAACATACCTTTCAATATGCAAATAACAAAAAATGATATTGTATATGAAACTGCAAACTCTTGTTCTGTTTTGTCTTTTCTACTCTGTACTGCTTGATTTGTCTTTGATAATACAGATTTAACATGGAAATATCTGTCCTGCCCTTCTGTGTCCATCCCCTTCACTGGTTCTTAATAACTTTGACACCTTTCTGACTTGTATTTGCTCTATCTTACTTTCCTGAAACACTCTTTTTTTTTATTGTTTTCCCTTTCTTCTTTCATTTAACTTCTGATTGCTTTGTATTTCTTATTAAGGTTTTGTTGCCAATATTTTAATTTTTATGAATTTGATCTCAGGAAGGTACCAAGTGCAGTTGTTCTTTATCTTCCCAAAAATTTCTGCCTATTTTTTCTGGTTTATTATGATTAGACTTTAATACTCAAGGGATTTTGTTGTTGTTTATTTTGTAGCCAGAAAAAGGCTCCTCCTAAAGCTTCCCTCCTTTTCGAAGAAGATGCTGATAGTGGTGGGTCTCTATTTGGCTCTCCTCCTCCATCTGTTCTTCCTGCAAAAATGGTAACTTTAATCAGCTAAGAGATGACTTTGTTTCCATACTATGCTAATTAAAATTCTGCATTATGATTAGCACTCAAAATCAGACTTTGTGGACAGAACCTCAAACTGGCATTTGTCATGCCCATTTGGAGCTAATACATTTCCAAGCCCATAATGTTACCTTACAATTAGTGAAACAGGCTTATAGACTGATTAAAATGACTCACTTATACATAGTCCATGGGGTAGCAGATTTGAATAGTAGAGCCCAAATCTCTAGACTTGTACGCAGTGGTTCTTTTCCTTGGGCTCCACTGCCACCCTTCTAATTTAAGCAGTTTGGGATGTTACCATTGTCACCTGCTTATATTCATTAGGCATTCTCATTTGCATAGTATTATGATAACAGAAAATAGAGATATAGGTACAGTTTGTACCATTTTTAGGACCTTATCCCAAAGGATAAAATTCAGATCTGGAATATTGTTATTAAATAGATTATGATATACAGAAGATAAAAGATCAGATTCATCTTTGCGGAAGTAACTATAATCTTAGGGACAGTAATTCCCTTTCTGAATATGTTTTTTTCCAAGGACGCCATGCCCCAGTATTGTAGTCGCCATGTTTTTACAAGTGTTACAAAGTTTTTACAAACTTTCTTCTTTGGTGCAGGGCTATTACACTGAGAAAGTTGAAAAAAGTTATTTTAGTTCACAAAAATGACAGAGTTTGCAATAAAACTGTAAAGATTCATAGTTTTATGAATGATTTATGAATGTTTTATGGTGAGTGTCTTAACATTTTCACTGATGCCTGTGGACTTCAATTTCTCCCATTTGTAAATGACAAATAAAAAATATCAAGCTATGTTGATAAGGTTTAATTTAATATACTTTTGAAATTTTTAAGATCAAAGAAATTGTGAGAGATAACTGAACAGTTGCATGTCATTCTGCAAGCATCCATGATTTTTTTTGGAAGCTTGTAGGCTCTAAATATTAAATAAGAGATAAAATTAACTAAATAGCCTGTATATATTTAACTTTCCCCACATGGAAAATGTAGGCACTTCTGGACACCAAAAGATCCTTTACTGTTTCAGACTGTGAAGAGTTCAAAGTTTTTTTCACACGTAAACTTTTCAGAAAAGAAGCATCGTGAAAAGTGTTCTCCTTATATTTGAGACTTTCATAATTAGATTCATATTTTACAATATTTAAATCACTGTAATTATGAGTAGAATAAACAAGTTGCCTGAAAACACAAATCTTTTGCCTAAGTTCACAACTGGGTTATATATAAAGCTAATCACTTTAGCATTTACACATCCCTCTTTAGAGTCTTTCATGACCTCATTTCCCTCTATCTCAAGTTCAAATTATATTGAGTTTCAGTGTCCTCCTAATCATAATTTCCTGTATCACTCATTTCTTTTCCTTATCCCTTTGTCCTTACTCCTTTTGCTTCAGTGAAGTGAAACTGTGTTTTTACTTCTTTTATTTGACCATCATGTTTGAAAGAACATTCCCAGGTTAGCTAACCAGGTCTCATTCCAGAATACTTTCCAAAGTCTATGTCCTTCATAGATTCCAGTCCATTTACAACATCAAGGCTACTTGCCTACCTAGTCTGTTCATTGATAAGGCCAGCAACTCCTTCCAGCTGTCCTGGCCCCGTGGGACTTATCTCCACCCACTTATCTCATTTCCAACAAAACTGAAGTCAAATCCATAAAAAATACAATACTGAAGGAAATGTTCTCCAATGTCCTATTAGAATGTACATCCTAAAGAACTGGATGATTTGTATTTCTATTTGTGATTTATGTATGCTCTCCCCCTTCCAAAAAAGGATTTGAGGTGCTGTCTGCACACTCAGGAGATTGTTTGCATAAACGGATTGAATGTGCCTGTCACTTAGACACCATTCATACTTTTTGTGGGAATTTCATGGGTTTTTCTCCTTTTTTGGTAGGGAAAAGAGAAAATCCCTCCAGCGATGCCCTCGTTATTTAGTGATGAGGAAGAAGAAGCAGCAGCTCCATTTGGAACTGCGAAACCAGTAGACAAGCAGGCTGAGTCGGCCTCTTCTGGGAGTACTCTTGTGGTCAAGCAGGAAGAAAAGGTGAGATGTTACTTTCTTAAGTGTAAAATGATAATGTTTCCTATGTTTAATCTTAGTCTTGTCTTTTATTTGTGTGTGTGTGTGTGTGTGTGTGTGTGTAATGCTAAGATTAATTTCCAGTATTTATTTGAACAATGTGAGTCACATACCTGTTATTCCTTATCAAACAAGTTTTCGTACATCTAGAGTAGTTTTAATTACATTCATAGTTTTGGAATGTTGGGGCTTGTGCGATTGAGATTTTTTTTAGTCTTGTCTTTTTAATCTGAAGTCTGGGAACCTGCGTTTTAATCTTTTGATAACTTCATTTCAATGTAGTTAGTTTCTTTTGCAATCCTTAGTACTTTCTCTTAGGCATTTATAAACATTATTCTGGTAAGCAGGGGTCTATGGGCTTCAACAGACTGTCAGAGAGGTCCATATCACAGAAATGTTAAGAACTCCCACCTCACAGGCTCTTTATTTTTCCTTGTTTTCTGCTAGTCCCATACTGTACCTCATTTGAAATATCAGTTAGAAGGGGATTGAATTTTCCATTGTAATACAGTTTTGTTCATGTTGAATGTGTCTCCAGAGCATAATAGAATTAGTGGGTTGTTGAGTTTGTTTGTTTTTTTTTTAATTTAGCTTTCTTCTTGTGAAACACCTGTGAACCAGTATCTATGGCCTAAACACTATTGTCGTCTAGCAAAGAGAAGTAAATGATTTCCTCTTAGCATCTATGGGCTGTCCTGTTTTGGTCCCTGCAACTCGAAACTATTCCTGCCATCCCTTCATTACTAAAGAATACATAAAGTTGTCATGGCTTGTAAAATACCTCCAGGTTCTGATGCCTTAACCTTGTATTTGTGCTCAAATGAGGGACTGGCTCACTCTTCACTGGGATTGGCACCATTTCAAATCCATATGTTCCAAGATCTTAATAGGGAATCTTGTAACTCCAGTGAATGATATACTGCGGTGTCACATACAGGCACTCATTCAACACTTAGAATACCTATGATATCCTAGCAAAGTTTTAGAATATATAACTTTATAAATTAGACTGCTTCTTTGGATGTTTAGTACTTATAAGCTTTAGGATACCGAAAACAGTTCAGCAGACTGTGGCAAAAGTATTAGAATAAAAGCAAATAGACTGGGACTAGTTCCCAGCTGTGCCACTAATTTTCTGTATCACTTTGGGAAAGTAAGTTAACATCCTTAAACTTTAGTTTTTTCATCTGTGGAAAAAAAAAAGACAGCCCTTGCCCTCAAAAAGCTTACATTCTAAGGGGGGAAGACAGTATCCAAAGAGGAACTGGGAAGCAAGGGGCCTCGGGGTTCAAGATAATCTCTCTTGTCCCTTCTAGCCATGTTAACTGTCTAAATAATCAATTCCCAGTTAACCACATTTGTATTATATGTATGTATTAGAAACTGTTTCCACCTATCTGTTATTCCTTCTGAGTAGGAGAACTCATTGAATGGGGGCCATAGTCCCAGTGTGGTTTTAGATTTTATATTTCAGTGATCCCTTTCTTTAGTTCAGATAACCAAAAGCTCACTGTGGTACTGTGTAGAGATTTGATTATAATAATACCTACAGATTCAGTTGACAGCACAACGATAGACACTGTGTTTGATTTCTAGTTGCCACGTCTGCAGCTTCAAATTGAGCGCTGTCTCTTATTCTTTCCTCAATTTAAAGGAATTCACCAAAGAGTAAGCCTACACAAGCTGGTATTGAGGAGAACGCATTCGGTATTCATACCTGAGGTTCTGCCTTTCTCAACTTTACTTTTTACTTTTCTGCCCTGATTTTTTTGGAGGTCTTGATCTCTGATGTACCCTTAGCCCAGAATAGCCAGGTCTGAGTATTCATTCAGATGAATACCTATCATAGAAGCTTCTAAAATTTTTGAGGGGATTACATCTTTTCCAGGATGGAGGCAAAGAGTCTGTGGTTCAGCATTCCCAGACCCTTTCTTTGCCACCTTAGACCTGTGGTCATGCTCCACATTGGGGGCATGACACACTAACTGTAGTCCAAATAATGTGGGATTCCTTGTCTTAGTAGTCTGAACTGATGCCCAAAAAAATGGACCAGAACTAGGCCATTCTCTGGAGATGTCCCTTCTCTATACCTGCTATGGGATGATCACAATACTTGAATTGTTTCTTTCTGGCTGCTTGCCGTATTTTCTCCTTGACCTGAGAACTCTGGAAATTGGCTCCAGTATTTCTGAGAGTTTTCCTCTGGGGATCTCTTTCAGGAGGTGATCGTTGGATTCTTTCCATTTCTATTTTGCCCTCTGGTTCTAAAACACTAGGGCAGTTTTCCTTGATAATTTCTTGAAAGATGATGTCTAGGTTCTTTTTTTAATCATGGCTTTCCAATAGTCCAATAATTTTTAAATTCTCTCTCCTAGATCTATTTTCCAGGTCAGTTGTTTTTCCAGTGAGATATTTCACATTGTTTTCTATTTTTTCATTCTTTTGAATTTGTTTTACAGAGTCTTAATTTCTCATAAAGTCACTAGCTTCCAGTTGTTCCATTTTAATTTTTAAGAAAGTATTTTCTTCAGTAAGCTTTTGGACTTCCTTTTCCATTTGCCAATTTTGCTTTTTAAGGCATCCTTCTCCTCATTGGCTTTTTGGACCTCTTTTGCCATTTGGGTTAGGCTATTTTTTAAGGTGTTATTTTCTTCAGTATTTTTGGGGGTCTCCTTCAGCAATCTGTTGACTTACTTTTCGTGATTTTCTTGCATCACTCTCAGTTTTTCCTCTACTTCTCTTACTTGCTTCTCCAGATCCTTTTTGAGCTTTTCCATGGCCTGGAACTGATTCATATTTTTCTTGGAGGCTTTGGATATAGGAGCTTTGGGTTCGTTCTCTTCTTCTGGTTGTATGTTTTGATCTTCTTTGTCACCAAAGTAAGATTCTAGGGTCTGACTCTTTTTGCGCTGCTTGCTCATGATCCCAGCCAATTACTTGAGTTATAAACTCTTTGTTAAGGTAGGAGTCTGCTTCCAGTGTGGAGAATGTACTGTCCCAAGCTTCGGGGGTTTTGTGCAGCTGTTTTCAGAGATACTTACAGGGACTTGTAAATTTTCAGTTCTTCCAAGGTGCTGTGATCAAGGGCAAGGTGTTTGCTCCTTTCCTGGCCTGTGCTGTGGTCTATGAGTGACCACAAGCACTGTTTTCTGTCTTGGAACTATAAGGAGGATTTCCTCTCCACCGCTACTACAGACTCCACCACATCAGCACTCCTCCTCACCCCAGGAGCACCACCCAGAACTGTGACCTATATCCAAACACAGGCAAAGCAGTAGAACCCTGCAGCAGCAAAGAGATCCCTGCAATCCCTCTCTGATCAGCCACTCGATTCCCCCTCAGTCTGTGGGCCAGAAGCTCCGGAGGCAGCCTCCACCCTGGGGCCGCACTCAGGGACTGGGGCTAGGACCGCACTTCTCTCACTGCAGACACAGACTTTTCCTACTGACATTCTAAGTTGTCTTTGGTGTTCATGGGTTGAGAAGTCTGGAAACCTCCACGGCTGCCCATGATTCAGTCCTCTGGGGCCTGCTTCAGGTTTGCTGAGACCTGCACACTCATGCTGAACTGCGTTCCTCTCCCAGCCCAGCGCGATATACCTTTCTGATCAACCATTCAGGTTGTCTTGGACTGGAAATTTGTTTCACTCTGTCTTTTTGTGGGTTCTGCTGCTTTCAAATTTGTTTAGAGCCATTTTTTACAGGTATTTGGAAGGGTTTGGGAGAGAGCACAAGCAAGTCACTGCTTTTACTCTGCCATCTTGGCTCCACCTTCCTTTTTCTTAGGGATGATCAAGAATTCAATTTATTTTCCCCATTGTCTCCACTGGAGAGAGAGAGAGAGAGAGGCAAAGGGCAAAATCAAATATATGAAGTTTTATATATTATATATTATTTATATAATATGAAGTTTTATATATTATATACCTTGGGCCGCATCACTGATTTCACTGATGCAGGTACAGCTCCTTCTAACCATTCAGTTACCCTCAGCCCCTACCCCATATGCCTTCCCATACTGCACAACTCTTGTCTGTATGTTCTAGTGGGCCCTCTACATCAGGCCCCTCAACATGCAAGGGGCTTTTCTCTGGTGTTTTAGTATTATGTGGCTGCCAGTTGAATACTTCTTTTCTCCATCACTTATCCTTGGTTCCTGCTTGATGGACATCTCATCTTTTTTTCTAGTGATACATCTTCTTGGTGACCTCTATTATACCATTTCTCATTTTTAGCTCTTAGATTGCTAATGGGTTGTGGCCTTTTGCAGTGGTTAGCACTATCCCCAGCACAAAGTAGACTGCTTAATAAATGTTTATTGACCGACTGACTATTCATGTCCACCACCTGACTCTCCATGTGGATAATGTTCAACTTTAATTCTTCAGATGCTGTGGTCTTTGGTGACTCACAGCCATACAGCATCACTTTCCCAGAACACTATTCTAATGCCCCATTCATCATGGTGTAGAGGTTACATAGAATTCATGGAGCTTTTGCCAGAAGAACATATGGTGGGATAGATTCTACTGTACAGGAAAGGCTTGGAGAATGGTCCTGGCACCAAACTGTGGTGCTTTCCAAGAACCAGCCTACCTAAGTCCAATGGGATTCATCTCCAGTAGGAAGCCTACTTGGTGATTAACTCTTTGGTTATGGCAACCCATGAAACAGAACATAAATAAACCAATAATTAACCTACCTATTTGGCCCATACCTGAAATTGGATTTCTTTTAACAGAAGAAAATGTTTTTCATATGGTAATTAGAAATAAAAGACCTAAAATGCAAATGCAGTCTTTATGGTAACACTAACCGAAATTCATTCATACTTAAACGTATTCATGTCAGCCATCAGTTATAATTGATGTCAGATCCTTCCCTTTATTGATAGAAGAGAGTTGGAGAAAAGGAAATAGCAGATATTGAAGGTAGAAGAGGACAGCTAGGTATCAGTGTCACTGAACACGATTTCACGAAGAGCTGGCCTTTCTTTCAGCTTCATGTCACATTAACAGAGGAAGCTGTGCAGGGATTTTTGCTGGGAAGCCACATGGCACTAGACTTTACACGGATGTTGATTTGAGCTGGAGCATCTACTGTAGTGATTTATAAAGATGAATGGTCTTTTTAATGAGGCAGTTTAATTCTCAGGAAGCATATTAATTGAGATAGCATGATATTTAATTTTATGTCCAAACCTGCTCTTCTCCTTAAAATGTCTGGCTTCCTCATTCCTGGGCTGCTTGAAGCAAACAGCTCTTAAGGTGCTCAGCTGACCTCCCTTCTCCTTCTCTATTCCTAGCCTTCCAGTCCTGGTACCCATTTCAAGACTACTCCTGGTGTCTTTCAGGATGAAGAGCTCCTTTTCAGCCGTAAGCTCCAGCAGGACAACGATGCTGACGTCGACCTCTTTGCCAAGGTCAGAGGAGATCTTAGACTTAGCAGCACAGGCTCTTCTCCCCTTTGCTTTCTCACATGGGGAATTTGTCCTTTTCTTTTAGTCATCAGAACAGCGGGCTGGTCCCCCACCCAAAGAGGCTCTTTTTGGGGATGAAGAAGATGATGATGATGATTTCTTCACTTCTGTTCAACCACAGCCGCCGGTACCAGCATTTTTTTTATTATGAAGACTAAGGAGTAGAGAAAAACTTCTTGGGAAGGAAATGGTTGCTTAAAGTCTTCAACTTTCAGTGTGTTTAGGGAAAAGATCCCAGAAGATATGAGTAATGCTTGCCTACTAGTAAATGAATACTAAGATCCCTTATTTTTCCCAAACCAAATAGTTTTTATTTTTTTGAATGCTCAAATATCTCAAGTTAATCGAATTTTTAGTATATTATTGCTTGGCTGTTTCAATGGTTTATTGAAGGATGAATTCACTATAGTAACAAAAATAGACGTGTATAAGAAGGTTTCAACTCTTGAATGTAGGCCTGGATGTTTAGTACCATTTTCTTCCTGTCACAGCAGAATGCTAAACTAGTGTGTTCTTAAATCTTACATATCAGAAAGGCGCAAATACAACTTTAGATTTGGAATAATTTGAGAATGTTTATCTTTTAATTCGCCAACCCACTGAAGTCAGGATATTATTTCACTTAAGAGGAAAAAAACCTTAGATCCCTTTGTTACATTGTGATTCCTTAGGATGGTTGATTTCTATATCTAATTGTGAATTTTGGCCCTATTTTTCTCTTAGAAGGTAGCCCAAAAGAAAACAGTAGTGAAAAAAGATAATTTTGGTCCTCCTCTTGAAAGCCATAAATTTCCCGAATCATCTCCAAGTATCAAACACGAAACAGACATGTGGAAATCGGAAACAGCCCAGGTTAGTACAAATAGACTTTTCAGGTTCACTATTGGCATAGCTAAAAAGTTATATATGCAGATGCACAAGTTGATGAAGAATGTACCCTTCTAGAATGTTTCTTTGTTGAAAATTCCCATATTTAAATTAGGGAAGGAAGAAATGGAATGATGTTAAGCCACAATAATTGTTTTTCCTTTTCACATTTTGTTGCTGAAACTATAGTCAGTTTAGAGGAGAAAACGCTGGTTTTATCTGTTTGGAATTTAACACTCCACTATGGCATGCTGAGTGGCTTCATACACTTTGTAGATTTCTTGGGTGTTTTCACAAATATTGATGGCTGCCTTTATTTTTTTTTTCTTTTTTGAGGCAGTTGGGGTTAAGTGATTTGCCCAGGGTCACACAGTTAGTGTCTGAGGCCAGTTTTGAGCTCGGGTCCTCCTGACTCCAGGGCTGATGCTCTATCCACTGTGCCACCTAGCTGACCTGATGGTTGCTTTTAGATAGAAGACTCTTGGGGGTAATTTTAAAAACATGGAGTTCCCCAAAGAGTACTTCTGAGTAAGGTGATACTGAAGAATACATTGAGTATTCTTAACTTCACTTTTTACATTTCCTCCCTGGCTTTTTGGAGGCCTTGATCTCTGATGTACCTTTAGACCTAAACAGCTATTCCTGGATAGCCGTTCAAATGAATACCTATTATAGAAACTTCTAAAATTTTCTTTGGGATTACATCTTTTCCAGGATGGAGGCAAAGTCTGGTTCAGTATTTCCAGACCCTTTCTGTTCCACCTCGGACCTGTGGTCATGCTCCATGGTGGGGGCATGACATACTAACTATAGTCCAAATAATATGGAATTCCTTGTGTTAGTAGTCTGAACTCATGCCCAGAAAAGTGAACCAGAGTTGGGCCATTCTCTGGAGATGTCCCTGGCTTTCCCTCTGTGCCTAGACATGTGCCTAGGAGACCAAAAAGATGTTTGTTCAGTTCGGCCCTGCTTGACTTTTCATGGCCTGATGACACTGTTAGTTCATTGGCCACTTCATTTGGGAGGTGCACGAGGGTGCGTTCCCCCAGCTAGGAGGGGATGATAAAGCCCCTGGAGAAAGTCTCTGACACCCCTAACATATCCTCAAAAGCAGTTCTCATTTTAGGAATTTTAGGAAAAGGAAAAAGGAATGATGTGTGTCACACATGAATGTTTGATTAGTGTTGCAGTTTGGGGACCTTTCCCATCCCTTTTATCCCTGCTGGTTTTTAATACAGTGTCATTTCACACAGGACTCTGCAGGCCTCCCTCCACATAAAACCAAAGAGCCTTCCTCTCGGATCGGGAAACTACAAGTAATTCTTGCCACACTTTGGGAGCCTTCACTGCCAACTGTGGGGCCTCCTTAATCTTTGAATATCTTGTCTCTTCTTCAGCTCTTCCCCTGGCATTTCCCCCCATTGTTGCTTCCCACATGATGCTAGGCCTGTCTCACCTTTCCTCTTTTTCCTGTGGCAATGATTGTGGGCACGGCTGCATATCCTCTGTCTGAATCTGGCGGCTCTGTGGAACCTTCCGTTGCATCTATTTTTCCTTGCCCTTCTAGCGCCCTGCCCTCGTTAAGTGTTTTCAGTCACTTGTCATCTCGCCTGGAGTGATCTGGATACAGTTAAGCAACAGCAAATTTCATTTTCATTCCCCAGGCAGACTTGGCTATTAATCCAGCTACCTTGCTGCCCGGGACAGCTCCCAAAATCTCCGGGATGAAGACTGCTGCGCCAGGGTTTGCCTTTACGGCATCTGAGCCCGATGGAGTCAGGGGTGTGGAGACGGCCTCTGCTGGTGAGACAGGTGTGAGCTTTGAGGACCCAGCCCGAGCAGATACCTTACGTAGTGTAAACAAGGTGATGAATTGCTTTATTCTCTTTTGAAGTATTTCTGATACCTCTCTAGGGCATCGAAGATGCTTCTCAGCCACATTCAGCTATCCAGGGGATCATCAGACTTGCCTTACAAACACATTATCTGTCCTTCCTTGTCTGCCCATTCCTCCAGCCCTGCCCCTTCCAGGCACAGCCCACCTGCCCTGTAGTGAGCAATCAGAAACACAGGATCCATTCTCTTCATTTACTACTCCAGAGAACCATAAAGGTGTAGACCCACAAGGGGTCTCAGAGGTAGCCATCCAGTCTAGCAGTTCAGAACATGCATGAAGACAAAAACCTATAATGACTTCAGGAACACTTTTAAATGCACTTTATCAATCACATCATGAAGTGTGTGAGACATTTTTCAGTCTACAGAAATTGTTACCTGTTTAGTGAGTCATTTAACTAGGTCTCTTGTAGTCAGTCACCTTGCATTGCTCCTAGGGTCTGGAGCCTTTGGGCTGGGAAGCCTTGATTTCATTCAGTCCTCTTACTGCCCACTTACCAGAAGAACCCAAAGGAGGACCCAGGTCTCTTGGTGCCCTTTCCCACTGCCCCACACCACTTACTTTCTTTGGGCAGACACCCAGCAGCACCTTGCCCTTTGGGTGAAATAGATAAACTATGAGTTTTTAGTAAGAAAATGAATTCTGTACCCTCTACCTTCTCTACCTCCAAGTTTAATTCATTTTAAGCAGCACCTTTTTCTATTTTGGAAAATATATGATAATGGCTCCTTTTTAATCTAAACTGATACTAATAATTCTGGTTTCTTAGCTATTAACATTTTTAATGTATATATCTTTACATAAAAGTAATTGAGAATTTTATTCTTAAAAAAAAGAATTTGATTCTTATATAATTTGGCTAATATTACCAACATGGTATACAGAACACATAGTTATTATCACCCTCAGTTTTGCAGAGTTATCAGATCAAGGCATTTTTGTGTAATTGAAGTCAAAGGGACACCTTTTATATAGTGTTGTGTTTCAATTGTAGTGGGCGGTCAGAATTTTAAGAGATTAGAACATAAAAGAGAAAAAGACAAGATTTAGACTTATTTAATGTGAGAAGACTAGGAGTCTTTTTCCTTGGCCATATTTAATAGGAGAAGCATCAATTGACCTTCAAGATAATACTGCCTTTGTTGTTCAGTCTGCTTTTTTTTCCAGTCATGTCTGATATTTTATGACCTCTTTGGGGGTTTTCTTGGCAAGGGTACTGGAGTGATTTGCCATTTCCTTCTCTAGCTCATTTTACAGATGAGAAAACTGAGGCAAACAGGGTGAAGTGACTTGTTCCAGGATCACCCAGCTAGTAAGTGTCTGAGGCCAGATTTGAACTCAGGAAGATGAGTCTTCCTGACTTCCAGGCCTGGAGCTCTATCCACTGTGCCACCTAGTTGTCATTAATACTGTCTTACTTGGAGATAAGAGAGAGCTTACTGATTCTTTGATTTGCCTCAAATATTTGTATAGAGTAGAAGTTCTTAACCTGCAATGCATGGACTTAATTTTCTAATTTATCAACTGTATTTCAATGTAATTGACTTTCTTTGTGATTCCCTATGTATTTAATTTTATATATTTAAAAATACTCTTCTGTGAAGAGCTCTGTAGATTTCCACAGACCACCAAAGGAGGTCCATGACACCAAAAAAAGGTTAAGCCCCTTGATATAAAGTAACCTGGTCTGCTTGGACCAAATTTCAGGTTGTGGTCTGAGAACATTCCTTTGTCACTGCAGAACCGAATCAAAATGAAAGGCAAAAGAAGGCCTCAAACCAGAGCTGCCCGGAGGCTGGCTGCCCAGGAATCCAGCGAGGCTGAGGATATAAATGATGCTGAAGGACCTCAGTTGGGCAGAGAGCATGTTATCTCCCCACCTGTCAAACAGCAACATACCAGAGAAGCAGACAAGAACAAGAGCTTTGAAAAGACTGTTGCAGCTCCTTCTCCCTTTTTGGAAGATGCCCTAGTCCCCGGAGGGGAGAGAAGTCCTTCGACTAAATCTGCGGACCTGACTGCTGAGGATAGCCTTTTTGATTCTGGTGACATCTTTGCAAAGGTTTCTGGATCAAAGACGATGGCAAAGAGAGCAAAGGACAAGGAGAAGGCCTCAGAGGACCTGACCAGCCAGCCCCCAGGCAAAGAAGAAAAGCAGTCTTTGCTTCCAGTGCTGGACGAGCCAGAGATTGAGGAGGATCTCTTTCAATCTGTGAAGCAGAAACCATCCAAGAAAAAAAGTACTCTTCCTCTTCTAAAGGAAGAAGATGATCTCTTCACAAACCAGAAAGCCAAGAAAAAGACATCAGAACCTCTCTGGCAGCAAGATGTTGTCTCAAAAAAACAAGACATTTTTGAGGTAATTAGATAGTCTTTAAGTTGGTGCATTGTTCTTTAAGAGTTTGGATGGAGAAATAACCCATTGATTCATTTGGGTCTTACTCATTTCTGATGGGTAGCTGACGTCTGCCTGCATAAATTAGGTTATTGATTGGCCCATGAAATTTACTCAGAAAAACCAGAGGCAATTCCTGTTCTTTAAGAGTTGCATCAACCTTGGTTTGGTCACAAAAAATGGAAAAGATCTTGGTTTTTAGATTATTCTTAAAATAATATTATGGCTAGCTCCCTGGAATGCTTTCACATTATGTGCAGAGTTGACCTCACTGCTAAGATTTTCATCCGTGAATTCTAGAGAAGCTTAAATTTCCCAAAGCATATCCAGTTTATATGGAAAAACTCAATTTTCTACTTTAACAAAATGAAGACCCTCCTAGTTAGGTAAACATTTTTTAACCTTCTACTATATACAAATCACTGCACTAGGGGCAGGGGAGATTTAAAATTTATAGAAGGCAGAGTACATGTTATAATTCTCCCAGTGGAATTTCAGATTTTGAAGGCAAAGATTGTGTCATTGTTCCTGTAGGATGAAAGTATTGGTAGAAAGATATATGCTCACAAACCAAATTATTAAAAGCGTATGATAAGCAAAGTGTTCTGTGCCATCTGAAGAGTAGAGATGTCATTACCAACTAGGAGACGAAGTCAGTACTTCACATGAAGAAAGTGATACTTGAATTGAGATTTAAAGGATAAGGACCTGAATGTCCAGTAGGCAGCTGAGATTCACTGTAGCCAAACTGAACTCCATATCCCCTCCTCAGTCTGCTCTTCCATAGGACATCTTTGGAGGGCATGCCATCCTCTCACTGTCCCCTGTTTATAACCCCGTAGTAATCCTAGACTATTTCTGTTCCCTTACCTCCCATACCTAATCATTTGTGATATCCTGCCAGTTTTATTTCCATGACACTTTTTACTTCTTTCCCCTTCCTTCTACCTTCATTTAAAGGTCCTTAAAATGTTTCCTGTAGACTATTATAATAGCCTCTTAATTGAGTTCCATGCCCTTCCCCTTTTCTCACCAATCTACCCAACTGCCAAAGTAATTTTCCTAAAATGCTAACCTCTGACGATTTCATTCCCCTGCTTAAAAATGTTCTTCGGCTCCCTGTTTTCTGCCCTCTATAAAATACAGATGCCTTAACCTGGCATTTAAGACCCTTCATAATGGAGTTGTATCTCCATCCTGTTTCCTAGTTATTCTCCTCTCCATTCCTGCCCAGCTGGGCTACCAGCTCCTCTCTAAACCTGGAGAAACTGAAACTGAAAGGTCTTGACTTGCCCAGGGTCACATGTTAGTGGCTGAAGATTTGAACTCGGGATTTCCTGACTCTAAGTCTGTTGCTCTTTGTACTGTGTCCCATAGCCCACCAAGGGCCATTGGTCACAATGAAAATGAAGAATAAATTTAATGTGCGTGAGAAAATTAGATGTTTAGAAACAAGCAGTTTGGAAGATTAGAATTTTAGAAACATGGTTTTGTGAGCTGGTGAGGTCTTAAGGAATGAACTTGTCCCTCTGTCTCTAACACAGATATTAGAATCTCCCAGGGGGAGGCAGGGAAGGTAAGGAGAAAAAACAAACCAAGTTCTAAAGTTGTAGTATACAATATTTCTAGGTGCTGTAGGAGTTCAGAAATTAAATAATAATATATTCATGACAAGTCTAAATATCAATCAATTTGAGCAGCTATACAGTCTAAGTATTTGTTATGTTTACTTAAAAGGAGAAAAACATCTTAATTTAAAATTGTCTTTTTCTTTCTTTTGTGGTGGGATACAAGGATGACATATTTGCTACAGAAGCAATTAAACCAGCACAGAAAACAAAAGAAAAGGAAAAAGCCTTGGAATCCAACCTTTTTGATGATAACATTGACATCTTTGCTGACCTAACTGTAAAACCCAAAGAGAAGAAGTCAAAAAAGAAGGTGGAGCCAAAGTCCATATTTGATGATGAGATGGGTGAGTGTGGTTTTCTGTAGCTGAACAAATTCCATTACACGTGACACGTGGAGAATTTTTGCCATCCACTCAATTCTGCTGTCCCTCTTTTTGGCTGAAATGTTTGTGTATGAGGAGTGCATTTGTCTCTGGGCGTTTTGTAATTACACTACGACTTCTGCTTTTATAACATTCCATTCAGAAGTCTGAAAATCCAAGGCTAGTGAAAGAACTAGCCTGAAAAGGAGAAGACTAAGTAAGAGCATGCATGATCGTGGTCAGATCAGTGACGAGATTTTTGTAAAATAACAAGTATTTGGTGCCACAGGAGGCAGGAGGAGAGAACCAATCCAGAGAAGGTACCAGGAGAAAGATATCCATGAAGTCTAAGAGACATGGCAGACTTCTGGCCAGCAAGAAAGGAGCCAAATCTGCTTCCCACATTTGCTTCTTAACAATAAGAGACGTTTTGGCTGCTGAGTGTTAAGCTAGACTTCCAGCAATTGTTGTGTTTCTCATATAACCAAAACTGAGGTCCAGAGTGGAAGGTCACATAGCTAGGTAGGCCTAGAACCAGTGCTAGAAGCTGGGTGTCAAGACTCTTAGCTTGGGACTCTTTCCCCTGTTTCATATGGTTTTCAGGAATTTGGCCCTGGGGAGGGCGGTTGGTTTCTGTGTGGGATAAGTTTTACTTAACGTCTCTTCCTTTTCTTTTATTCAAGATGATATTTTCTCATCTAGCGGCAGCCTAACCAAGATGCCCAAGCCAAAAAGCCAGTCCACTCAGTCAGCACCTGAAACACAATTGGAAACCAAGGTGTCCAGTACGTTTGATGATCCTCTGAATGCTTTGGGAGGCCAGTAGAGGACACATACATGCATAAGACCGGGGCAGAAGTGGGGGTTTCATCGTTGTTGAATCTCTTATTGGTTTATTATCATACCCTTATATTCTAACAACTGTAGCAAGAGAAGCAGATCCTGGAAAAGGCTCTTTTCTTGTTCAATGTAAACAGTATTATTTTTTGCACTGATTTTAATCATGCTTAATTAATATTAAAGGAAGAAACAGATGTTCTAAAATACTTTTGGTTATGTGCAGTTCAACTTTAATTATACTGTGCAATACATGCAATCATGTACTCTATTATGTAGAACATTGTTTCTTTTATTGAACAGAGGTGAAAATTGCTGGTAGAGTTAAAATGGTGAAATATAAATTGTTAAAAACTTTTTGCGTGATTATTATGTCTATTTAAGTTATCGCAGTCAGAATTTATCAGGAGCTACTCTGAGAAATACAGCCTGAAAAGTAGGAGATTTTGCATTATTGCCTCCCACCATCATGTTCATTGTTATAAGGGGTCACTGAGTTTAAAGGAAAGTCCTTTTTTTTGAATCTGCTTTGGTGCAGGCCAGCATTAGAACTGTTCCTTTGACTGCCACCCTGTTCCTGTGTTCAGGGCCTGCTGGGTATTAACCAGACATCCCATGTGAAGCACTGGCTGCATCAGGTTCAATGAGGCTGCATCAAGGTACTCGAAAAGCAGAGCAATTTGATGAAGGCCAAGAACGTTCTCCATAAATCCAGACTATTGACCAGTTAATTTGTAGTACTATAGCACAGAGAATTAATGCACTATTGGTCTCGGTATTAACAATTTATAATGGTATTTTACAGTTAAGTGCTTTTAAATAACACTCGAGGCAATGAGGTCTTACATGGATGGAGTGCTGGACTTGGAGGAAGCCCTGAGCTGAAATCCAGCCTGACACAGTCTTGGTTGGGTAGCCCTCGCCAAGGCACTCCCCTTCTCTCAGCCTCAGTTTCTTCTTCTAATAAGTAAAACGGGAGGTAATAATAGAACCTACCGTCTAGGATTATGTGAGGAACCTCAAAGTGCTCTCTAAACGTAGCTAATTTTCACTCCTGATCAAAAACAGCACAAACCAACCAGGGTTCTGAATGGTGAAGCAAACGCTTGGTCTCAGGCACGCCATTATGCATGGCTCTGAGTTTTCTTTTCTTTAACGCATATACCAATAGAAAAGCTCCCTGGTGGCCCCTTCTCTCTCCAGGATCATCTAATAGAGACACTGAATACATAACCTGTTCCTGTTAACTGCTGCTACTTCGCCAAATTTGATCTTCAGTTGGCAGTTTCCTAGTAACACTGAAATGCTAACATAACTTCAGGTCTTCCACAGCAGAAGCATAGGCTGCCAGCCACATGTGGCCCACAATACTCCTAAGGGAGGCCCAAACCAGATTAAAATGTAACTGGGAAATATTTAACAAAATAAAAATATGATAAAACATAGATAATATGAGATTTTAAAACTAAGTCAGTGTGCAGGCTGCAAGGATGCTGTCATATGGATTTTCCCCCAAACCCCTGTTTTCATTTGAGTTTGATACCACTTTTCTAAAGAAATGAAATTTCTGGCTACTTTTTCTCTCTTCAGGACTAATGTTCTTCAATTTCACCTTTTTGTTATTGTTCAGTCATGTCTGACTCTTCATGACCCCATTTGGTGCTTTCTTTGCAAAGATACTAAAGTGGTTTGCCATTTCCTTCTCCAGCTTATTTTACAGATGAGGAAACTGAGGCAAGCATGGTGAAGTGACTTGCCCACAGTCACACAGGTAGGAAGTGTCTGAGGCCAAATTTGAACTCAGAAAGATGAGTCTCCCTGACTTCAGGCCTGGAGCTCTATCCACTGCACCACCTAGCTGCACACCTTATTTGTTCATTGTGTTACTGTTCTTTCCCTTCAAGACTATAAAGGCTTTCCTAGTAGCAAGCTTCCCCATTTTGTTTTGAGGAAAGGGGCCAGTTTCTGGCATAAAGTGGAAATCCTTTCTAGTGCACCTATGACAAATGCTTAGTCATCCTCAGCTTGAACAATTCCCTTTGCCACTAGATCACAACTTGGAAAACACCTATATCATTATTGGATAATTACCGTTAGAACCTTCTTTATGCTGATCTAAAATCTGATTACCTGTAACTTTGACCTGTTAGTCCTGGTTGTGCCCTCAGGAGCAAAGCAGAGCAAGTCTGCACACCAGACCTTGAGTTATTTGCAGTCTATGTCATGTTTCTGGCTGGTCTGCTCTTCTCGAGGATAAATTTCCCTAGTTTCTTCAATCATACTTCATATTGCGTGGTTTCCAGACCTGTTACCATCCTTAGGAATCATTCTAATCTTTCATTGTCCTTAAACTGTAGCACTTAATATTAACCACAGTGCTCCCAATGTGGCTTGACCTGTGCTGTGGAATTGGCCACCTGTCATATGTACACAAGAACTTTATTGGTTTGGCATAATAGTCATTAGATTGTTTAGCAGCTGCATTACACTGCTTATACTCAACTTTAACTCGCATTTCTTTCACATGTACCATTGCTATGCCAATTATTCCTAGCCGTGTGTGTGTGTGTGTGTGTGTGTGTGTGTGTACCTAAAGGAGGGATCTTACCTTTATCTCTATTTTCATCTTGTGATTTGGGCCTTGCATTCCAGATTGTATTCATTATGCTTCCTAGCTTTTGTTATCTTCAAATTGAATAAACATCCTTTCTAAGTCACTGAATTTCAGAGCTGAAAAATGGAGTTCATAGGATTCAACATCTTCATTTTATAGATGAAGAAACTGAGACCCCAAAAAGACTAAGGACTTGCTTGACCAAAAAGCTGTGTGGGACTCTACCAGAAACTTCCCACAAATAGGCTTTCATTTTGATGAAAGAAATCACCAATCCAAGTTGAAACTCGTCTGCTCAGTACTAACAGTGAGTACAGAAGAAAAATGGAAATGGTCAAATGGATGGATCTTGACCTGTGTTTCCCTGCCTCAAAGAGAAATGATATATGTTTGGTCCTACACATTTTTCACTTAACCTGAAGTGACAAAGTATGTCAACATAGTGATGACAGTGGAGAATTTCATATATTGCTTGACATTTTTTTTGTTTTACTCAAGACTGTTGATGTTTTCCTAAATTACAGTAGTTGCAGGAAGGGTGGGGGAGGTGAGGTGGGAGATACCTTTTGGCTACTTAGGCCAGTCGGGGGATGAATGTTATTTGGCCAGCTCCTTACTTCTTGTAATATTTATGGACCCCAGTTAAGAACCTGTGCTGAATTTAGTTGTCAGGAGAGGAACTTGGCACAGAAACAATATCTTTATGGCACTGGATACCTTGGACCTGTGGGAACAGACCAAATCTTCCTGGCTAGAATGTAATTTAGGACAGATATCTCTAGGTACTTCCTAGACCTAAATGTTGCACAGTGAATGAATGTCAAAGGTTAAGCAGAATGGGTAAGAGTAACTATCCTGAGCAGATAGTTACAAGATGAGTTTCAGAGAGGAAAAGTTAACAAGCTCTTTTTTTTTGAGGGGGGGTTTCCCATTACTGATAAGTCTGAGGGCCAGGTCCATGCTGGTGGGGGGGGGGGGGACGACACACAGCGTGGAGATCCCTCAGGCTAAATGAAGCACTTATGTTCAATTCTGTGACCTGCTGTGGCTTGCTCAACCCCACACCAATGGCACTGATCTAGTGCGTCGGCCTGCCATGGTCATTTTCTTGGCATCAGAACATTTTAAATTAATTTTTTTAAAAAGCTGAAGGAAATAGGACAATTTTATTTTTTGTATACAGTAGTAGATTTTGAGGAAGCTCAAGCCTCATTTGCATGTCTCCTCTGGGATGCAGGGAAAATGAGGCACAAAAGGTTTAAGTCCAGTGCTGCAAGCAATGTTCTGTGGGAAGTATTTAACAAAATAAAAAATACAATAAAAACAGACATTTTAAAACTAAATCAGTATGCACTGTTTGTCCTTACCAGTTCAGTGTACTCTTTCAATGGAAAAGTTCCAGCCTGAGCCACTAATTGAGCTGAGCCTTTCATTTTGGCAAAAAGAGTTCTCGTTATCTGGATTTCTCTCACCTGGAGCAGTATATGGTTCAGTGGTGTCTGCCAAAGCCCCTTCAGAAGCTTCTATATCTCTGTTAAATATTGGGCTCTGAAATTTCATTAGACATACTTCTTTACCTACACATTTTCTATGATTGTAGTAGGTCTCCCAGAGTTGCTGCAATGAGAATTTCTTCACCTTTCAGCTGATCCCAAAGATGAGCTCCAAACAGTCTAAACTGGTCATCAGATAACAGTCCATTACTGGGACCATGTGCAAAGCCTTTCCTTCTAGACCTTGTACATAACTGGTATAGCCCTCAAGAACCCATGGGTGACAATGTCATAATGATAAATTAAATGGGTCTTGAGAAGATTATTGCAAGCCTGTGTTACAACACCTTTCATTACAGAATCCCTCCATTGGAAGGAATCTCAAAGGTCTAAGATGCATATTTGAACAGGAATCCTCTCCACAATATCCCTGACTGCCTACACCACCCTCCACTTGAAGACTTCCAGCTATACACAAGGAACTCACTACTTCTGGAAACAAACTGTCCATTACTGGACAGCTCTGATGGTTGGGTAGTTTTTCCTTACATCAAGCTTCATTCTACTTCTCTAAAACCTCCCCACTTCTGCCATCTGGAGTAGAATATATCAAATCCCTTTTCCATATATGATAGTCTTTCAAATATTTGTAGACAGCAATAATGGCCTCCTAAGCCTTTTCCATTTCCTATGATTGATCCTTGTGTGTCATGATTTCTAGTCCTCTTTCCATGCTGGTTGTCTCCCTGAGGTATTTATTATTATGTCATTCCCAAAACAGGAGCTCCCAGCACTGAACACAATATTTTAGATGTGAGCAAAGTGTGGCAGAACTATCCTCGTTATTCTGGACACTGCCTTCATTCATTAGATTTTAGGCATTCTAAATATTAAATGATAATATTGATGACACAGAATGTTATTGTATGAAAGATAACTAAATGCTATGCACACCACCCTAGCAACAAGTCCTTATAGTTTGTACAAGAATTTTTTTATCAAGTAAAGCAATGTAGTGCAGCAGGAAGGACCTTGAGGAGTGGATTTGAAGTGGTGTTCTGCTGCTGCTATTTACCATTTGTGTGACTTCAGACATGCAAGTCATAGGGATACTGGAGGCAAAATTAGAAGGAATGACAGACATCATCTGGTCTAGCTCCCTCACTTTACAAATGGCCAGTGCCTTGTCCAAGGTTGGGGAGGTGAAGTGAGGGGTGGTAAGTCACAGCTCCAGGATTTAAGCCCAGGACCTCTCACTGCAAATCTAGGGCTCTTTCTACCACTACCACCCTTCCCCCTCCCATTTAGCCTTACACATCTCTGGGATTGTTAATGTTAAACTGCTTTGCAAACTATAAAGCACAATGAAAATACAAAGGAGTATTACTTAAGTAAAAAAGCTTAAAACCTTAAAAAAGAGGGGCAGCTAGGTGGCATAGTGGATAGAGCACCAGCCCTGGATTCAGGAGGACCTGAGTTCAAATCTGGCCTCAGACACATAACACTTACTAGCTGTGTGACCCTAGGCAAGTCACTTAACCCCATTGCCTAGCCAAAAAAAAAAAACCTTAAAAAAGAGAAACTAATTATCAGGCACCTAGGTGAAGTAGTGGATAGAGTGCCCAGGCCTAGAGTCAGGGAGACCTGAGTTCAAATCCAGCCTCAGACACTTAGACCCAGACTTCTGGGCAAGTCACTTAACCCTGCTTGCCTCATTTTCCTCATCTGTAAATTGAGCTGGAGAAAGAAATGGCAAACTACTCCAGGATCTTTGCCAAGAAAACCCCAAATGGGGTCACAGAAGAATCGGACCAACTGTTCAACAACAGTTACACTTTGAATGATTATCTTACATCAAACTTCCCAATTCAATTTACTTTTCAATTAAGTCCATAGAAGAAGACACATAAAAAAGACTTTACAGTTTTTCTGGAACTTTTGAATAGAGAAGATAGCCTGGATTTGGTGTGAGTTAGGGAGTAGGGGAAGGGGGAAATGAGGTGCTCAAAAGGTAAAGTGATTATTAGCCCAGTACCTGACACATAGTAGGCACTTCATGTTTACTGGTTGATTAAATTAGCACTTGTGGTGGAGCAGGATCAGACAAAGCACTTGGCTATTAGAATTTATCAAAAATGTGCTGCAGACTTGTTTTCAAACTGCAGGAGCACAGACATGGAAGTAGAGGGGATTTCTGGGGCCTTCCCTTTAGTCCAATCCCTTTCTTTGAAACCTTAAGGGTCTTCCCATTCCAGACTGATTTTTTTTTTTTTTTGACTAGGTAAAGAAGCCATTCTCTGCCTCATTTCTTACCTAGCCTTAATCACTGAATGGTCGCTGCTTCAGTCAGATGGGAAACCTTTAAAGACCTTATCTTAAAAAGGCCCTGGCCTCCAATTGCATCCAGGGCCATCTCCAGTTGTCCTGATCTATATCTGGCCGCTGGACCCAGATGGCTCCGGAGGAGAGAGTGAGGTTGGTGACTTTGCACAGCCCTCCCACACTTAACTCCAATTTATTTGCCTGCATCAATTCCCTGATGTCAGGGTCCTCTTTCAGTATGACAAGAATGAAGGACAAACAACAGCAATCTCCTTCTTTGATGGGTGAGGAAACTGAAACCCAACAGATTTTGTTCATGTTTAATCTGTTTATCTTGTTCCTACAAGTTTTTTCTTTAAATATTATGTAACTGAACTGATCTATTTTTACATTTACAATCACTTCTCCTTTAATAAAATTCCCCTGCCTAGCCATAATGGTACAAGGTATTGCCTATTTCCCCATTTAAAATAAAATTGTGACTCTTTCTACATATGTGGAATTACCTTCAAGATGTTGGATTTAGCCCAATTTCTGACAATGATGTTTCCAATTTTCCATAGTAGTTTTTGTCAAATGGAGAATTCTTACCCTAGTAGTTTGGGTTTTTTTTAGGATTTACCAACCTAGGAGTACTCTCTTCAATTGTTTCTGGGTCTTGCTTACCTATCTGATCCATTGATCAACTCTTCTATTTAGCTAGCACCTAAGAGTTTTGATTATTATTCACTTTTTAAATGTTTGCCCAATAAGGTAGAGTAGCCAATTCATAGAGTAGCTAATTAACTCTACAATGAAAGTGTATTTGATCTAGCTTGGATATTAGGCCATTTTCATTATATTTTATTTAAATGTGTTTTGTTTTGAAAGAGATGAGAGGAAATGAGTCTCCATCATCTTGCTATGAAATGCTAAAAAAAAAAACAAAACAAACAAAAAAAAACTTTGGCACACTCTTTAAGACTTGTTTTGACCATGATGGGTTTTTTGTTTTATTTTGCCAGCATGTTGGTTTTCTTTGTGGTTTCCAGTGAGTCATTTCTTTAACTTCCTGTTTGAGCAAGTGCTTTGCAACAAGTCATTACAGCGTTTGCATATCTTGCTTTTCAAGTCCTTAAAAGAGTTTTTTCCCTTCTTGGGATGAGGGAGGTGTAGATTTCCTGGGTTCATGGGTCTGAAACCCAAAGAGACAGCTAGCTGGCCAATGCTTAAAGCCAGTCGTGTGATAGGATCCTGATAGACTGGGCAAGTCACGCTGGGCCTCAGTTTCCTCCTCAGTAAAACAAGGATCACTATCACCCACCTCCCGGGGTTGTTGTGAGGAACAAATGAGATCATATTTGTAAAGCGCTTTGGGAACGCAAAGCAACCTTGGAACTCATCTAGCAAAATTCAAAGTAAGTTTTGCAAGCCTTCCCGGGTGTCCAGTGTGATACTGCGGGCCTTTGCAATGGGTGGGGGAGGGGCTGGACGAAAGGAGGGAATTTGGAACTTAAAATTTTAAAAAACTGAATGTTTTAAAAAAAAAAAAAAGAGTCCCTCAATTTCAGGTATGAAGTAACGGAGACCACAGAAGGGTGTGCGACCCCAAGGTCAAAGGTTGTTTCTGGTGCAGCTAACTGCTCCAGGAGGCCCCGGCCACGACAGCTTCTTCGGCCGCTGCTTTGGCCCTCTCTGCCTCCCCAGCTTGGAAAGTGAGGGTCCCCGAGTACAAGCCGAGGTCACCAACCCGCAGGGGGATCAGCTCCGACCAGAAGCGAAGTCGGAAGGCCCACTCCCTGCGTTACAACCACCTGCCTTCAACACCCACGGCCTTTGACCTCAGGGCGAGCGACGCCCGGTCATGTGCCCTCTGTTGTTAGCAATGGAGGGTCAACATCCGGGCCTCTCGTAACCGACAACAGCCGCCGAGGTAGTACTCGAGCAACCGCCCGCTCTGGTCACCGAAGCCCCTCCCCAGCCCGGTGCTGATTGGACGATTTTGTGAGCGCGGGCCCGCGATTGGTAAGGGATGTCACAAACGGGGTAGGTGGGAGCGGGGAGTGGGCTGGAGAGTTGGCCTGGCCGGTGCCCCCCTCCTGCTCCGCTCCGGGAGCGAAACCGAGAGCTGAGTGTCCGAAGGGCTGCTTCCGCCGGGGGGCCGGGCTGGATGGGGCCGGCGACTAAACCCGGGGAGCAGGTGGCCCCAGGCTGTCTCGCCGCCTCTCCCTTCTGAGGAGGAGACGAGTCCTGAGCGCCGCGGCGGGTCTGCGCAGGTGAGCGCCCCTTCCCCCTCTCCCTCCGCCCTGGTTCGGCTCCGTCCTCCCCGGGGCGCCCCGCCCCCCCCCCCCCGCCGACCGGGCGCCGCCCGGGGCGCGCCAGGGAGCCCCCCCCCCCCCCGCCGCCCCCGCCCCCGGCCGCGCAGGCGCGCGCCACCCCCCCCCCCCCCCTCCCCGAGCCCTCCCGCTGCGCTCCTCGCCTCTGGCCCGGGAGGGAGGGAGCCGCCTGCCCCATTCTACCGATTGGCCAACTGAGGCCGTACGGGGCCTATATTTGAACCCAGATGCCAGCCCAGCATTGTCTCCCCGGCAGAAACTCGTCATTTGACGGTTATGGTGGGGAAACTGAGGCTCGCACCTCCGTGTGGACCTTAAAGTTTGGTTAAAAGAGGCAAACAAGTTAGGGGATGTACATTCATATTGCTTATTCCCTGGAGCTTGCAGAGTTCACGTACATGGAGTCTAATTCTGACCGACAAGCGGGATGGGGAGACCTTTTGTCCATTTAGAACAATCCCAACCAGGACGCCTGTGTCACTCAAAAGTTGTAGTCTCCATTCACTTGTTTAAGCCGAGCGTGAGAAAGGACTCTGCTTTACGCCGTTGGGTACATACAGTACATACCTGCATACAGTAGGAGAAGTGTCAGTGCCCGTGAAGTCACAGGCCCTGCCCTGCATCTGCCCATAACGTACCCGGGTAAGAAAAGCCCCTCCATTGCGGACGGGCCGGTCCTCGGCGTCGCGGCGCAGGAGGGGGCGCAGCCCTGCAAATGATCTGAAATGACTGTCACCCGCGGTTGCTTTCCAGCAGCCCCTCCCTCGGCGCTCCCGCCTTGAGTCGGTGGGATCGCGACCCTGCCCAGGCTCAGCCCCCGCAGGCTCGAAGATTCAGGGCCTGTCCTCGGGGTGCGCTCCCCAAACCAAGCATACACCCACCCCCGACCCCGCTGTGTTCTCTGTGTCCCTTCCCCGCGGCGAATGTAAGCCCCCTGAGGGCGGGGCAACTCGGCCCATTTCCCGAGAGGGTGCCCGGGGAGCATCAGGCCGAAGCCCTGAGGCCTGGGCTCTTCCCACCACGTTGGGCTTCTTGCCCTCGGGCACTTCCACTCTGTTGCGTTCCTAGCGAGTTTCTGGGGAACCTCAGGAATTTGAAATTTACCTGGAGCCCTTCTCCTCAGCCCCTTACCCGGTATTTGCTTCCCGCACCCCTTCTGGAGTGCAGGTCTCTTGAGGGCGAGGGCAGAGGCTCTCACTGGGCCCCAATCACCGGTGTCTAGAGCAGTGATGGCTTTGCACTGTGGTCCCGCCTGTGTTTGCAGCTGTTCGGGAGGCACCCAGTGTGGAGACGCCCTCCAGAGAGGGTAAGGTCGGTGCATTCCCTTCACACAAAGCATGGGACTGTCAGAGCCAGCACAGAGCCCCAGCTGGTGCATTCTGATGCTTCTGGAGCCTTGCACTTAGGAGGCACTTAATAAAGATTTCTTGAGTAATTGAGAGCTAGAAAGGACCCCAGAGGGGATCTAGCTCAACCACCTCTTTTTACCTCAGAAGCCACTGAAGAGGTGATCTGCCTGGTTATTCAGAGCAGGCTGCCCTGGACCTTCTTTGTCGAAAAGGTCCAAGAGGATGGCCTGGATGCCTGGACTCCTTTACTTGCCTCTGTAGAATGCCCTGCTTCTGCGATGTACGACATCTGAGCGGGTAGAGCAAACCATAACACTCCATTTTCCAGGGCATTAGGGTTCCAACCCTGTGAGGTACATGGTGCAGTTATCCCCCATTTTACAAATGAGGAAACTGCCCCCCCCAGGTCCTACAGCCACATCGGAGGTAGTATTGAAACCAGTTCTGATTCTGAATGGAATCCTCTTTCTGTTATGGCAGGCTTGTTCTCTCTATCCCCAGTGCCTAGCACAAAGCCTTCCTTGCTCTTAGGAGATGCTGAATGTGCAATTCGGTTGAATGATCTCACCCCTGTTCCCTAGCAGTTCTACTGTGACTTAACGGGTTTGCTCTGGGCTATACAAAGGACTTCATTGGCCTCTTTATAAAGAAAGTAAGACTGAAAGTAGTCCTGAATAAGAAGAATAAAAACCACCTCTCCTGAGATTTCCAGTGCAGCAGGGATATTTTAAACTAACTGTAAAATGTCCAGTTTGGAGATTTGGAGAACTTAGGGTTCTCCTGAGGTCTTTAAAGGTAGCAGGGAAAAGTCTAGGGTTATTAAGCTGAAACAGTGGGGACCAGCAGAAGTTCTTCCAGTATTCTGATGAAAATCATTAACAGAAAAACTTGACGTGGAGGATAATGGTTGGTTACTTTCCATCCTGCTGAAATGTTGGCTTAAGACTTAGAATCTTGGGTTCATAGAATTAGAAGGACACCCAGAGACCATATGATCCCAAAACTATGACTTTCCAGAAGAGGAAACTGAGGCTTATTCAAGACCTACTGGAAGTGGGATTTGAACCAGCTCCATCCTCCCAGCTCCACTCCCAAGTTCTTTCCACTGTACCTGGCTGTCTTATTTTGCTGGTTCTGATTATTGTTTTGACAATTAGAATGGGGAAAGGTGAGAAAATTTTCTTTGGGAGTATTTACAGATAAGATAGATTCTGCCTTTTTTTAGTTGGAGATGGAGAAAAGTAATGAATAGTTACTAAAGTGTGTAATTCTGTGATACCAGTGTTCTTGATATCCACTTTCATTCAGATTCTCCTACTGCTGAGTCTCATTTTCCCCATCTGTAAGATGCATCTATTAATAGCAGTAGGAACTACTTCACAAGGTTATTGGGAGCTTCTGGATTTTGCAGATTTTAAAATGGTCCATGTTGTCTGTTGTAATTAATTATTACCTCCATTTTATAAATGAGGCACCTGAAGCTCTAGGGTTGTGACCTGTGCATTGCCCCAAGCTTGTGGGTTTTAGAGCCAGGATCTGAATCCAGATGTCTCCTGACATGTCCATTCAGTGCTCATAGAGGTGGCTAGATGGCACAGTGGATAGGTCTCTGGGCCAGAAGTCAAATCTAGTCTCACACAGTAGCAGTGTGACCCTGGGCAAGTCACGTCACCTTCTTTTCCTCAGTTTCCTCCTCTGTAAAAACGGGCTGGAGAAGAAAATGGCAAACCTCTCAGTATTTTTGCCAAGAAAATTCCAAGTGGGGTCTGGAAGAGTCTGAAACGACGAACAACAACAGTGCCCATAAATTATTTAAGTGTAGGTAAAGCCTCTCAATATGAAGGGATGTTCCACAATGCACATTTACTGAAAGAGCCAAACAAGTAATACAAATTCTGAAAGAATTTAGTGGCGAGAGAGTACATTCTTGGCTGCCATGATCAGGGAAGGTTTCACAGACTACTGAGACTTGTTGGATAGGTGGAATTCATACAACCAACCAGTGAAAAGGCTGAAGGGCATTTCAGACAGTGAATGACTTAGGGTTGGGTTCAGTTTCAGTTTGTTAGAAATGGTAGCCAAGCTTCTAGATCAATCTCAAAGAACCTGTTTTACCCAGTAGTACTATAGACCCCAGTTGCCATTTATAACCTTGCTTGCATGAGAAAGTATGTTTTCTGCTCCTTGGGGCTGGGGTCATGGGTTCTGTCAGGGCCATCAGCCGCTTGAGCCTTACAGGATCTCCACCCTTCTGGATCATTTTGCTGATTTTACTATAATAAAGTGTTCAAATTTAAACTTTTGAGGTTGGGGGATATAGGGTTCTCAAGTATTCAAGCTCCATTTATAAACAGTTTGATGCTTTGGGGTTCTAGTCAGCTTTGGGATTATTTAGGCCCAGGGCTTCTCCCTCCCCTTTCCTTATTTTATGTTTTGTTCAGCTGTTACAGTCGTCTCAGTCCTCAAGTGAGTATGATCGGTCCCTCTAGATTTGCTAGGAAGAGAAATCTGGAGACCAAGACAGTTGGGTAATCATTAGTTTCTTGCTGCTGCACACTACCCAGGCTAGGGGAGGTCTGCCTGTTACACTCATCTGTCCTGACCTCCAGCAGAATCTCCTGTTAGACATTCTTTCCATAACCCTCTCAAAGCCCATGATGAATGCAGGGACTCACAGCCAAGTTGTTGCCATGCATCATGGATAGCTCAGAGTACTTGGATGTCAAGCCACCCTAGGGATCAAGTCACCAGGTAATCGTTAAGGAGGAAGCTGGTAACTTGAGCCACATCTTCTTTCTTTAAGAAGTTTTTTTAAGTTCAAGTTTAGGTAAAGAAAGCTTTTCACTTTCTTTATGCAGTTTTTAATTGCTAAGTCATGCATTATTACCTGGATAGGAGGAAGCTGGTTATATACACTCAGACTTTCTGCGTAAATCTAACCAGCTACTTTTCACTGAATTTTCTATCCACCAACCCCCAAACCTTCCCAACAAATGCTTCTGTCAGAAGGCACAAAGGATAAACAGCAAACCTGAGTTGTTTATTTCAGGTAATTATCTGAAACCTGGGAGTTGCTTCAGCATGGCATCTGCTTGGTGCAGCACGGCCTGCAGAATGCAGACACCCCTTGGGAGGCTTGTTTTTCCTCAGCTTGCCTTCTACATTGCCGCTCCCTTCCCTTGTCCTTTGTGTCTGCGCCCCCTTTTACTCACCACTTTATGCATCTTCCTTATGAACCTTCATCTTTAGTGCTGCACATGGGAGCATTCCCAGGCACTTTTGCATTTCTTTCGCTGCTCTGCCTCTTTTTCTTCTTGACCCTCCTTCTGTTCTTCCAACCCCTGCCCATCTGGTATGTGTTTTCACTACCATCGAGTCAGTGTAACCAGCCTTGATTTAGTGCCCACCACGTGCACAACATTAAGCTGAGTATTGAGGGGGTCACAGAGAAGTGTGAGAAGCAAGGCCATCAAGAGCAGATGAAATAAATACATGCATAAACAACTGGAATACTTGCTTAGGAAGGACAAAAAGTATACTAATGGCCCTGAGTAATACATCTTTGAATCAGACTCAGGTAGATATTTAGTAATAGGGAGATGGATTAAAGAAGCAAGTTTCATGGTGATGATGGCAGGACATCTCTGAAAACCCCATCATTTTGTTTCTTTAAAGGGTCCTCTCCCTCTCCCCCCCCCCATTTGGTTGATCAGAAGTCGGGTTGCATATCTTTTAATAGCACAAAAAAAAAAAAACTTTGCCTAAAATAAAAATGAAATTGAAAGACCCGGCAAAACTCTACAGGCTCATACTGTAATTCCTAGACCAGAATCTAGCAGGACACAATCCACAGTGTTCCTATTTTCCTTGCTAAGTTATAGTCCTTAATAATACTTTTATAATGGTGCTGTGTCTACTTAATGAATTGGCATATTCTGAAAAGAAACAAATATACTTTGTGAACTAGTGAACATTTGAGTCATTGGGTACAGTCGATCCCATGTTCACAAGATTATTAAAACATCAAAGAAGCACACATCCATGGTAGAAATAACCCTAATGATATGATACTGATAGAGCAAGCGTTCTTAGGCTGGGCCTATGAACTTTTTTTTTCCTCAATATTTTGGTAACCATGATTCCATATGACTTTTTTTTTTTTTTTTGCTTTTTTGGTGAGGCAATTGGGGTTAAGTGATTTGCCCAGGGTCACACAGCTAGTAAATGTCAAGTGTCTGGGGCCGTCCATATAATTTTTTAAAGTAATCCTATGTATTTTATTGTATGCATTTTAAAGTACAGTAATATTCCCAGAAGAGGTCCGTGGGCTTCACCAGATTGCTAAAGGTGCCAAAGGTCCGTGATACAAAAAGAGGTTGAGAATCCTTGTGATAAAGGATGTTGGCATAGATTTAAACTTAGAGACGAATCTCACTAACCGTAATTCAGTTTGTCTGGACCACGGAGCATAAAGTAAGGAGTAAAATGAAAATGCTGGAGCAAAGTGGGGCCACATTGGAGGGCCTGTAGGACATCAACACAACTGTTCGTTCAGAAGATTGATATGGCAGTACTGTAGAGAGGATTGAACTGGGTGATCTCGTTGGCAGATTTCATTTTTTTGTATTTGTATCTTTAGTGTTTGGCACATCATAGGTGCTTAATTAATGCTCATTCATTAAAGACAGGTAGGTGTTGCAGTAGATAGAGTGCTGAGTCTAGAATCTGGAAGACCTGAGTTCAAATCCAGCCTCAGAGATTTCTTAGCTCTGTGACCCTGGGTAAGTCACTTAACTGCTGGCTGCCTCAGTTTCCTTAACGTAAAAAAGGGGATGATATCAATAGCACCTACCTCCCAAGGTTGTTGTGAGGATAAAATGAGATAATATTTGTAAAGCACTTAGCACAGTGTAGTAGTAGGCGGTTACTAAATGTTACCTTCTAGTCCTTCCTTCACTGTGTACATGTATTAGATTTTAGGCTCCTTAAGGGTAGGCATTTTTGTTTTAAATCTTTGTTTCTCCAGCACAGCATCTACCAGTGGTGTCTTGGATATAGTATGCTTTCAATAAATTGCTTCTAATTGAATTGAATTAAGAGCGAACTAGGATTTTGGCAGTAGGAAGGGAAAAGGAAGAAGTTTTCAAATGTGTAGTCAAAGACTTGGCTACTAGTGAGAATCGCAAGAGAGAGTTGACAGTCAATGAATCACAAAATATCCAGGTTGGCCATTTGATCCACCAGATAATTAAAAACCCTTTCTTTAACGTATCTAAGAAAGGGTCACCTGGCCTTTGCTTGAAGGCCTCAGTCAAGGGGCCTACTGCCTCTTGAGCAATCCTTCCTACTTTGGAGCCTGCTGGTGGCTCTCAAGGTAGCCCCTCCTTTGAAGCATTTCCTCACATCCAGCCTTATTTTCTTCATTGAACCTTCTTTCATGCTCCTAGTTCCGCCCTCGGAAGTCAGAAAGAATAGATCTAATCCTCCTACACATCAGCCCTCAAATATTTGAAGACAGCTACCATGTTCTCCATCAAGCCTTCTCTTATCCAGGTTAAACATGCTCCATTTCTTTAATGGATCCTCCTATGACAGGGGTGGGAAACCTTTGTCCTCTAGGTCCTCAAGTGCCAGTCAAAGGGCCACACTTGAGGACCTGGAGGGCCTCTTGTGGCCTCATGGTCACAGGTTCCCCACCCCTGTCCTATGGTATATACTCTGTTCCTTTCTCTTGTGCTTCCTGAAATGTGATGTCAGGAACAGAACACAGGGTGACTGAAGCTGACTGCAGAGAGTGGTTTTGGCACAGGATTCAGAAAGCCAGAGGAGGAGCCCATTTTAAGGGAAAATGTTGACTTTGAACATTCATTTAGTAATATGGCGGAAGTTGTACCTCCCCTTAATGCTGCTGCCTGTGCTTGGGATTAGGTACTCTCCATGACCTCTTTTCTGCATTCTTGTCAGTGGACTGATACCTCTTAGTTCTTGACATACATAAGTACTTGTCCTTTATTATTTCATTGGTTGAAGCTCCCTCATCCTGGCTGCTTTAGTACGGCCTAGGTTCTCTGTTTGGACCACTGCTCTTCTCCCTCTGGACCCATTTCATTGGTGAGTTCTTCCATTCCTGGATTTTTTCTTGCTAATTAGAGATTACAGATGTCTTTGGTGTCCTTCCTTTTCTGTGGCAGATTACTGGTTGTGGTCATTGTATGTAGAATTTAACATCCTGCCAAAAAGTCAAGCTTAAAGCAGTGTGGTAACAATAGGTCTTCCCCTTCCTAGTTCCTGAGGAAAGGGGCTTAAGGGTTTTAGAGCTGGGACATTCTCATTTTACAGATGTAGAAATAGGCTCAGCAAGGTTAGTGACCTGCCAGAGTTCGCAAAGGTCCTAATAGTAGGACCAGGATTCAGATGCAGTTGTTCTGACTCCAAATCCTGCACTCTTCCCACTAGATCCTTTTTTTCCCCTTGATATTGCTTGAATTTTATAGAATTCAACTCAAGAAGCATTTAGTAAGTACCTGCTTTTTGTAAGGTGCTGACAATACAAAAACAAAAATGAAAGCTTCCCGACCCTCAGAGATTCCGGAGGAATCATTGAATCAGGATCAAAAACCTTAAAGCTGGAAGAGACCTCAGGTCCAGTCTAGTCCTGCTCTTTCATTTTACAGATGAGGAAACTGCAGCTGTGAAGAGACTTACAAAGGTCTCAGAGCCATTGTCTTGATTCCTGTCTTTTGACCTGAAAACCCAGTGTTCTCTCCCTTGCATTGTGCTAATTCCAGTGTCCCTCTGTGCCCCCCAAATCCTGATCATGGATTTTGAGAACCTTGTTGGCTTCCTTAAACTCCAGCCCCCTCAGTTTTGGATTAAAAAAAAGCCATCCGATTTGTGAACATTTAGCTTAGAAATGACTTGGGCACATAAATAACCTGTACCCCCAGTGCCTCTCCCTCTCCTCCTGCTGCTGTGGCAGTCATTCCCCTTCTGCCACAGCCCTAGCTAGCTGTCTGACTTCCCAGGGTTCTCACCCATTCTTTGAGCCTCTCTGTAGCTCTCTCTCTGCCTCCTGTCCACAGTATCCAGAGAAACCAGGGCTCCTATTCTTGCATAGTTCTGGAAACCAGCCTACTCATCATTTCTGCAGGAAGGTTCATTCTGAATGTAAAGTGGTACAGCCAGTGGGTTTAGGGGTGTCTAAAAAGTGAGTGTAAGCCGCAGGCTCAGGAGTTCTGGAAGGAGGGGCTTGGCTTGAGATAGGACTGATACCATTATTCTTATGTTTTAGGTGCAGCACTCAAAACATGACCAACAAGATACATAGCCAATGTTCAGAGCTAATTTGGCTAGAACTGGAATACAATTGTCTACAGCATATCCACAAGGAATCGGGAAAGTCAATCTAATGGCTAACAAGAAAGAACCTCCGTTCTTTAATGAAGATAACGTAGGACCATTTTACTACAAGCTTCCTTTCTACGAGACTATGGAGCTCTTCATTGAGACATTGACGGGGACATGCTTTGAGTTGAGGGTTTCACCTTTTGAAACTGTCATCTCTGTGAAAGCTAAAATTCAAAGATTAGAAGGTAGTTGTATTCTTAATTCTTATTACTGAGAGTGATGGAAATTCATTTCATGCCATCAATGTAGGTTAATGCTTTTGACGTGTAATGTGGTAGCTGGATGGGGTAGAGGAGTATTCCAGAGGGGAGGCTCCTTCTACCAACACAGGTCAGCAGATTTTCTGTAGTGGCAGAGTTGCCTGGAGTCCTGAGAGGTTACATGCCTTGCCCAGGGTCTCAGGGACACAACTTGGACCCGGGTGTTTCTTGCTGCAAGGCCATTCTGTCCTCTCTGCCTTTCATCTCTGAAATTACCCCATAATAAAGAATTTATTTCCTCATCTTATTACCCCATAATAAATATCTTGGTTTTGATTTTTTTTAAAATGTATTGCTTTGACACCCAGTTCAGTTGTTGGGTCATTTTTAATGCGGGTATGTTGTGGCTTTCTGAAACTTTTTGCCAATATTCTGTTGCCATTTACAACTGCTGATTTTTACATTTTTTGTAAAAAAATGGTACAGTCATTAGGCCCTGACTTTCTCTTCTCCCTCCCTCTGCCCCCAATTTCTAGCTTTTGTATATGCCTTTTAAGTTCCTGAAACATTTCTCCGGACTCTACATACTACTGAAAAGGACATAAGAATCCATGTTTTTTCCATCAGATTAAATGGTATCAGCTTCATCAGTGGCCTCCTTGGCTCTCTCCTTCAATGTGTGTGCAGCTGGCTGTGCTCCACAGTGGAGGAGTAATGGAGTCTCCGTCCAGCTGTTAGAGGTCAGGGGCTCACAGGGAAGGAACTTCAGTCACCTTTTCCCATGAGAACTCTGACACCTGAGCAGAGAAAGGTAGAGGGAATCTGGGCTTCCTCTAGGCAATAGAATCTGTTGCTAGTTGCAACATGACAAACTTTCTTTTTTGTTTGTTTAGCTATCAAGATCTAATGACATAATTCTATAATAATCCTATTTTGCTTTTAGCCTGTGATGAACTTAATGGTCTAGGTGATCAAGCTACATGTAATCTTCTCCGGAGGTAGTATTTTTTTAGAAATTTTTCTTGAATCCACACTTGTAAACTCACAGCTAGGTTTAGAGGATTCAGAATTGGAAGATATGTCCTTCAAGATTCAGCTTACATTGGGACAGCTAGGTGGCAAAGTGGATAGATCACCAGTCCTAGAGTCAGGAGGACCTGAGTTCAGATCTGGCCTCTGACACTTGCTAGTTGTGTGACCCTGGGCAAGTCACTTAGTCTTGATTACCTTCAAAAAGTAAAGAGGAAAAAAAAGATTCCACTTACATTTTACTTTCTGCTTTTCCTTTTCCTTGCCTCCACTTTACCCCATATACATATCTTGTATGTATGTACATAGTTGTGTGCATGTTTTCTCTCCCATTTCTTCCCCCATTTGCTAAGCCCCTTGAGGGCAGGGACTGTGTATATGCCTTTCTTTGTGTTCCCAATGATTGCCACAGTGTCTGGTTTGTAGCAAGCCCTTAATTAACTCTTGTTGACTGTGGGAAAGCCATTTGTACTACTTGTCTCCACTTCCTCTCCTCTTATGCTCTTTTTAACTCTCTGAGACTGTGCTTTCAAACTTACCATTGATCTCTTAATTGCCTTTTCTAAGTCTTCATCTGTCTTGTCCTCCAAAGCATTTGATGCTATTGATCACCTAACCTGGATCCCCTCTCCTCTCCGGTTTTTATGACAGTATTCTCTCCTGGTTCTACCTATCAGACCACTCCTTCTCAGTGTCCTTTTCTAGATCTTCATTTATGTGACACCCACTCACCATGGGAGTGCCCCAGCATGCTGTCCTGGGTTCTCTTCTCTTTAGTCCGTACCATCTGATCTGGTGATTTCATCAGCTCCCTTGCTTTCACTTATCTGTGCACGTAATTAACAGAGATACTGATTCAGCCCCTAGACTCTCTCCTGTGTTCCAGTACCACATCATTTGCTGCCTTTTAGAATCTGGAATTTTATGTCCCTTAGACAGCTCAAGCTCACATGTTCAGAGTGGATAGAAGTCATTGTCTTTCCCTCCAAACCCACCCTTTCCTGAACTCTTCTTATTGTTGAGGACACTTCCATCCTCTCAGTCACCCAGGTTTACAGTATCAGAGTCATCCTCAACTCCTGACTCTAATTCATTCCCACATATAATAATAGCTAGCATTTATATAGTGTTTTAAGGTTTGCAAAGTACTTCACAGATATCTCATTTTATCCTCACAGCTACCCTGGGAGGCAAGTACTATTATTATCCCTGTTTTACAGATGAAGAATCTGAATCTGACCGAGGTTAAATGCCAGATCTTGTCATGTCTACCTACTCTAGCTCTCTTATGTCTCCCCTTCATTTACACAGACAGTTCAGGCCCTCTTCACCTCTTGCTTAGACTGTTGCCATAGGCTTCTAATTCCTTTCCCTGCCTCATGTCTCTTCCTAATCCAGTCCATTAATAAATGATTGTTTCCTTTCTTCCTTCTGTCCTTTCTATCCTTCCTCCATTTATCCATCCATCCGTCTTCCATCACCTGCTAAAATTCTTTTTCTAAAGTACAGGTCTAACCATACCACAGTAAATTCTGTGGTTTCCTCTTGTTTCTAGGGTCAACCATAAAATCCTCTATCTTGCACTTAAATCTCTTAGTAACGTGGCCCTTTCCTACCTTTCTAGTCTCCTTACATTTTACTCCTCTTCGTGAGCTCGGCAGTCTAGGCCGGTGTCCTGTTCCTCACACACAGTGCTTCATCCCCCATCTCTTTGCCTTCGCTTGGAATGCTCTCCCTTCTCACTTCTGCCTCTTGGTTCTCCTGACTTTTCCTTCAAGACTCACCTCTGATCCCACTTTCTTCAGGGACAGTTAGGTGGCCCAGTGGATAGAGCACTGTCCCTAGAGTCAAGAATTCCTGAATTCCAGTCCTGCCTCAGATATTTGTGAGCTATGTGACTCTGGCCCAGTCACTTAATTTCCATTTGCCTCAGTTTTCTTAATTATAAAATGGTAATTAAAAAATAGCACCTACCTCCCCCCAGGGCTGTTGTGAGGATCATATGAAATTATATTCATAAAGTGCTTAGCACAGTGTCTGGCACATGGAAAGCACTATATAAATGTTAGTTATTATTATTAAATGAGATAATATTTGTGAAGCTCTTAGCTTAATAAATGCTTGTTTCCTTCCTTTTCTAGTACCGCAGCTGCTATTGCTTTCTGTTCTTGAGATTATCTTCCATCTTCTCACTGTGTGTCTTGTACATAACCAGTCGAATGTGAGCCCCTTGAGGACAGGAGCTGTTTGCCTTTCTTTGTTTTTCCAGTACCCAGCACAGTGCCTGGCATACCGTGAACATTTAATAAATCCCTGTTGACTTACTAACTATGCTTGTGCCTCATAGAAGTAGAAACAGACCAGTTTACAAGATAAATTACATGTAAACAAAGTGTGGCTTACAATCATCAGACAGCTATACATATAACTCTGGGGGACTTTGTAAATGTGAGACCAGGTTTGTTTGAGTATACAGAAACTCCACACAACAAACTTTCAAAGCAACTGGCAGATTTACTAATTGGCCTCATCTCCATTGTTCAGGCAATATGGCTAATGGGCTGTCATCTCCAGCTCACTTTGTTCATGGGCATTTGTCCTGGGCTACCCTATTCCCTACTCCATTGTTCACAGTGGCCCTGTACCTGCTAGATAATGCTCACTCCCTCCATTTCTCACCCCCCCCCCCCTCCCCCCCCCAGATATGGCATGGTCAAGGACAGTAGAAATTATGTTGGGGCCATTTTTAGTGCTGGTATGATGAGGAAGATGCAGTGATGCATGGAAAAGGAGAAGGGTTAACAGGTACTTCACATCATTCATGCCTCTGAATTGTTGAAGGACTTCTCTTGCCTCATCGTTTCTGGGGCTGTTGATGAGGACAGCAGTGGTATGAACAGTTCTCTAGCTGACGAAGGCTTTGGGTGTCATTTGGGATTAGAGAACTAGTCAGTACTTGACCAGGCTTACTACTCACACGAACCTGTGTGTGGCAAGTTAACATTCTTATTTCTTGTCTAGCCCAACCCCGCCCCTCTCTTCTAAACTCTTGGACCCTAAACTTTGTCTGTGCTTCTCATCAGCCCCCCTCTTGGATCTTCTTATAATACCTGGTTTTGACCCTTATTCCATCCCTGATTTCACTGCCCTCAGTTTGGTCCTTACTAACTAATCATCTAGTCAACCAGTTTTTGGTATTCATATTTTGCCCTCTGTCCCTGAACTAATGTGTACATGGAATATTAAATCCCTATCCTGCTTCCAATGCTGAAAAGAGTTCAGATTGAACCCTGGACCTTCATCTCCTGTGGTAATTTTTATCTGACCTTGATGGATTTGGAATAGGTGACCTTGAAGGCCCTTTCCTGCCCTATCATCCCATGAACTATATTGCTACTGAACCCCTTTATAATTAATGTAACACATTATATCTTCTTTATTTTCTTCCAACCAGTTTTATAGCTGTGGAAGCTGTTAGGAAACACCCACTGAAGTTCTTATTTTCAAAATATCAAATTATTTGATCATTTTTAGATGAAGTACCGAGGTCTCTTTTTGGTTTCATGTGTGATGGATTTAGTGTGTGCAGTTATATTTCTCTGGGTTAATTCTATATAGCTGTGAGTGGGGAATTAATTTCTATTTAGGATTTTGGGGAAAGCTAATGAGAGTATTCTGTGACCTTCATGGGTGAGGAGATTTTAAAGGACCTGTGATGTGAAAGGCCACTAGTGTGTTGTACAGCCGGGGGCTCCAAAGTGGGGTGCAGGCAGAAAGTACTGGAACTTGGATGTCTATTTTTTATTTAAAAATAACAGAATCAAGCTCTCCTAACATCGAGCAAATGTTCTGTTACTGGCACATGCACACATGTGATACAGTCATGGGTCACATATAATATGGAAGGTTACCTGACAGAAGACTAGCAGGGAGTTCCACAGGGCAGGGGGCCCTCCTTCATTCACTTTTAACTTTTTGTATTGTCTTGTAGTTTACATGTTCCTGATTAAACAGATTCTGTCACATAGGTTCAGCTAAGCTAAACCTTGTAAGACAGAGTAGTTCACAGCCTCCTTGCTGTCCCTCAAACAAGACTCTCCATCTGTGGGCTCCAGGTATTTTCTCTGACTGCTCACCATGTCTAGAATGTGTCCCCTACCCCACCCCTCTACCCCCATCTCTGCCCTCTGGCTTCCCTGTCTTCCTGCAAGACCCAGCTGAAATCTCACCTTCTATGGGCAGCTTTTCTTATCTTTCTTAATACTAGTCCTTCCCTCTGTCGACTGTTTCCAATTCTATCCTGTCAGTGGCTTGTTTGTACAAAGTTGTTTGTGTGTTGTTTCCTCCATTAAACTGTGAGCTCTTTGGGGGCCTTTCTTTGTATCCCCAGCACTTAACACAGTACTTGGTACATAATAGGTGCTTAATAAATGTTTATCAACTGATTAAAAATGCCAATAATGCAAACATAAGAAATCAACAAAGGCAGGGCTGACCGATATTCTATTCCTAATGCAATTATAAGATAAAAATCTATGATCTAATTAGAGCTGAGAAGTCAAAACTATCTAGAATATTTCTTGAAATACTGATTTACATCCAATATGTCTAGTGATAAATCTCACCCTACTCTATGTTGTGTTATTAGATATTAATTAGTGATAGTATAAAGCCAAAATTATCAGGGCATCCAAAAAATAAGCTTTTGTTGCCAACGATGGTATACGACTATCACATTTGTACACTTTCACAAGTTTGAAACAGAATCCTTTGACCATCATTATAAAAATTTTCCAAATTTCAAGGAGTTTTGAACCCATTTGGTAAAAAATATAAACACGTAATGTCTTGCAGTTAGTTTTCAAGAATAATGGGTTGTCATAAAGGAAAATGGAAATTTACCAGTCACATTTCAATAAAAACCTTTGCATAATCTGTGGATGGTATTGAGAAATGAGTGTTATTATTTAGTAATTAAATTTAGCCAGAAATACAGTTCTCCCTTGTGGAGCTATGTGTCTTTTGGCAGAGTATCTTTTTCAATATGATGGCCATTAAAATCATGAATTGAAATAGAATGAGCCTAGCCCCTTCCCTTTAAATTACTGTTTCACACAGTATTCGGCCAGAATTTTTTAAAATAATCAAACTGATCAAATTGCTCTCACTAAAATATCATTTAGTAATAGTAATAATTCTGAGAGCAAAAAGGTGTTTTGTACCATTAATAAACAGAATACTTTTTGAAACTTATTTCATCTTTATCTCAGCCTTTTAAAATTTTTGTGTGTGTTTTATAATGAACATGACAATATATTGTAAATTTAGTATATTGTACAATTAATGAATATGTTTACATACATTGAGGGTGTTCAAACTTTTTTACTGTTAGGGGATTTTGATCAAAAAAGTTTGGAGACCATTGGCATGTAGAATGAGGACCTGCCTCAGAGTTGGTATAATTCAGCTAAACAAGCGTCAAGCATGGAGTATGTGCCAGGCACCATACCAAGCTCATCCCCCATCCCCAGTGATCTTAGTTTACTGGAAGGAAACAACAAGTGCATGGAAAATTAAATACGAAATGTATATAGCATAATGTAGTGGAGGAAAGCTGATCAGTACAGGCTTCTTATGGGAAGCAGGCAGCACGTGAGCTGTACCAAAATGACGAGGGCCACGGCAAGGCAGAGGCCAGGAGCACGTGCATTCCAGGCCAGATCATGGCACAGAGCTGGGTGATAGAGTCTCCTCTGTGAGGAACAGTAAAGAAGACCAATTAGGGGTGGGGGACTGATGTGCTGAAAATCTGAAGAGAGAGTCTGGAACCAGACTGTGAAGGGCTTTAAAAGCCAAACCAAGGACTTTGTATCATATCCTCCAACAGAGAGTGACGTGATCAGACCTCTCCTGTAGGGATCTCAGCAGGGTAGTTGTGTAGAGGATGGATTGGAGAAGAGAGGGACCAGATGCAGAGAAAATGAATTAGGAAGTCACAGAAGTAGTTTAGGCCAGAGATGCTGGAGGGCCTGGCCTAGGGTTGTGGCAGTGTGAATGGGGAGAAAATGACAAATGGGAAGTATTATGGACTTGGCAACTAATTAGATGTGAAAGGAGAAGAAAGATCATTCCCTTTTCTTTATTATACTTGTATAATGGTTTTCACATGGTTTTACAAACTTATCAGTTGCTAAACTTATTTCCTTATTTGTAAAAAAAAAAAAAATGAAGATAATATCTGCACTATCCTCACAGAATCAGGCATTTTTGAGGAAGAAGATCTTCATGTGCCATTGAGTTTTAACTCATTGTGAAAAGTAATTCCCCCTATAACTTAATCAACCTGCTCACTAGTGTTCATTCAGGCCATGCTTGAAGACCTCGAAGGAGAGGGAAACCCCCGTGTCCAGGGACAACCCATTTCATAGCCTGTGTCAGGTCCTGTTTCTGATATATACGGGCTTGTAACTGTGAGCAAGTGTCTCGGTGAGCTGGGCGGCTGTGTTCAGACTGGCATAAATGTTGCAGAACCATTGATGATCTGCTTTGTGATTTCTTGACACCAGTGAAATCATAGGTCTGAACAAAAAAAAAGTATTAAAAATGCTAACACATTGGTTCCAGTTCAACTGATCAGGTACTCGGTGGGTAATTCATATGCCTTTTATCCATTGTCTATTTCCCCAGATAATAAATGTGTAAGTAATAAGAAATGAATTTTTCTTTGCTAATAAACTGATTTTAATTCTTCATAATTTTGGGGGTTAGAGTTAGAAACACAATGGAACTTTACACAGAATTTAATTTAGCAAACAGTGGATTACATCTTAGATTTTCTTATAACTTACCTATCCAGTAATCTTACAGCTGATAAGTAGAACTCAAAGCAATATAGTCCTGTATAAGGTAGTCCCATAGACCCTAAATACTGAGACTTAAACCAAGTGAACTATTAGGCTGATTCAAGTTGAAGTTTGAGAATATTTTAACAGTATTTTTCCTATTAAATGATTTCACAAAATACTAGTTAACTTTGTGCACCTTTGAACCAAACAAAATTTTGATGTAGAACAAAAAGACAAAAACAAAAAAAAAAACAATATAATACTACCCCTACTTATCCAGAGGTTAGAGTTCCCATAATTCTCAAATGTCTGGAACGTAATCTCAAAATCTTTAAATAAGCCAAAAAGGTCTCTCTGAGTAGCTGAAATAGTTAAATCCAGGGTAAATCATAGGAGTAGAAAAATTCTGAACTTGGAGTCAGGAAACCTGGTTTTGAGTCCCCCCAACTAGTCTTAGTAACTCATGTGCCCTTGAGTAGCAGGTCATGAATCTTTTTGAGCCAGCTTAGTCATCTGTGAAGTACAGAGCAGACTACATCTACTACTTATCCCCCAGGATTGTCTTGAGGAAAATGCTTTATACACTGTGAAGCAGGATACAGATACATTTGTTGTTGTGGGACAGATGAGAGAACCTTTTGGCTTTCTTTACACATGGTTTTAAGGTTGGCAGTCTAGTTTTTCAGAAAGGGGCGAGGGAGTGTTGCCATAATACCTCATGTGAAAGAGGTAGGCAGTGTGAAAATAAAGAAAATACAAAGAGTTGTTTAAAATGTTGTCTATAGATAATGCTATAAATAAAATTGCTTTTTATCCTGTTTTGGAAATGGCACTGAATTATTTTTAACCCATTGTGGTTTTTCTCCTTTTAAGGCATTCCTATCTGTCAGCAACATTTAATTTGGAATAACATGGAGCTCGAAGATGATTATTGCTTGAATGATTACAAGTAAGTACATGTTTTTTAAAAATTCTGATGGTATTGAAAAGTAATCACACTGACGCTAGTTTGTTTTTTGTTTCTACTGCTTTAATAATGCTCCCCTTTCCTGCCCCCCACATTTTTGCACCTTTTGCACAATTCCTCTAGGCATCAAATCCAGATTTCTCACCCTAAGGTTCAAGTCCCTTTCTTGAGATACATCTCCTTTTATTCCTGTGTTCAGTTTGCATTTCACTTTTTTAAAAATAGTATTTTATTTCTTCCAGTTACATGTAAAGATAATTTTTAACATTTTTTTTTTTAAATTTGAGTTCTAAGTTTCCCCCTGACCATAAAAAAGGTAAGCAATTTGATATGGGTTATATATGTTGCAATCATTTGCATTTCACTTTTGTAAAACTATTTAGCCACTCTTTTTGCCAGCTTATCCTACCTTTATTAACCATGCATTCCCTCTAAATTTCTTTATCTGTAGAATAAGGGGATTGGAGTGGGTTGTGTATGAGGTCTCTTGTACCTCTAAATCTGTGATCCTTTTATTTTCTAGAAATTTGTCTGTAATGATTTCTTGCCCACAAATAGCCAAATTATTTCCCTTTTGTTGTAGTCAAAAGATAATTCCGTAAAACCTGTCAGTCTTCAGCATTTAATGCTGTTTCAAAGAAAAGACTCCCATTGGCTTTCTCCTTGCCGAAGCACTAACAATTGTTAAATAATACACATACTTAAAAGTGTGCATAGCATAATGGCTCTCAGTGTCAGTAAGATTGGGGGTCAGGTCCTGTCTCTTACATATGCTGGCTGTGACCCTGGCTACATCCCCCAACCTTTCAGTCACCCAGCCTACTTTCCAGTACCCTTAAGTTGCAGAACTGATACTGACTAACTTGCATTGATTGAAGAAGCTTCCTTATCAGGAGTTGCTATGCCACATGAAATCCCTGGTCCAGCGCAAATAAATACAAAAGACTTACAAAAATCATATTTGAGTTTTGATGTTCAAGCAGTTGGATACATAGCCTCTTCTTTTTCTACCTTGAAACATATTAGTTCAAATTTCTTGACGATAGATTCTGTGTCCAGCCAGCCAGCATAATATTATGTGTATTTTTGAGCTCTAAATACACTTTGGTGATGTGTTCTTATGTTTTTTATCCACAGCATTTCAGAAGGTTGTACCTTAAAACTGGTGTTAGCTATGCGCGGTGGACCAATAAATACTAGAAGAGGTAGGCACATAAAGTAAAACAATTTGAATATGAATTTTAAAAAATGTTTATTTTCACAGACTTTCCGCTTGGACGTGATCTGAATCTTTTTTGTTTAATTAATTAATTTATTTTTAGTGATCTGAGAGTCTTTCTAGTATAACCTGCACATGAGCAAGATTCCCTGGAGTCACATTCCGCCAGTGACCATTCATTCCTTGAGAAGTTCTTCATGAAGAATTCTAGTAAGGGGGAGCCCCGGGGGGAGCCCCCTGACTCCCAAGGAGTCTCACCCCACCCCACTTTGGGCATGACACTTGAATCTGCCTCTTTGTGTCTTCCACCTCTGAGGTCAAACAGAACAAGTCTCATTCCCCTTTCATATGACAGACCCTTGACTGTAACAGGGAAGTTAGAAAAATTGGAAGTTGCAGGGAGGAGAGAAAATCAGTTGTGTTTTAGACAAGCTGAGTTGAAGTTATACATGGTGCATCTCGTTCACGATACCTAATAAGAGGTTAGAGAGGTAAGACGGAAGTCAGGAAAGAGGTTATATGCAATTTTCCAGTGTGTATACACATATATGTATGTCTGTATGTATGTACGTGTATATGCATATTTATGTCATACATACATACAAATAGCAGCTAGGGTTGAGTTACTGGGCTTGGCATCAGAAAGACCTGAGTTCTAACATCTTCAGACATTTTCTTGTTGTGTGACTCTGGGTCAGTCACTTAACTTTTGTTTCCCTCAGTTTCCTCATCTGTAAAATGGAGATAATAATAGTAGCAGCTACTTTCCGGGGTCATTGTCAGGATCAAATGAGATCATAATTGTAAAGTGATTGGCACAGTGTAGGTACTTAATAAATGTTTGCTTCCTATATATCTTGTTTCTAGGTAGTTGTTTGCATTTTGTCTCCCCTCATGAATGTATAAGCTGCTTGAGATCATCTTTTTGCCTTTGACTGGTTTTTGTCTTTTTTGTATTCATAGCACTTAGCACAATGCCTGACACATAGTAAGCACTTAATAAATGCTTGTTGACTTGACTTGTTGACTTATCATCTCTTGCCTTCAATTTCCTTATCTTTAAAATGAGGGATTTTACTAGTTGACTTCTACAGTTCCTTCTAGCTCTAAATCTCTTACCCTGTAAACATGTTCTGAATTATTATCCTGTATTAACGTAAGAACAGAAAGTACTTTTTGAAACATCAAACTTTTATGCATATTCCCTACAGCTTCCTGTGACTTAATTAAGGATAGGTGTTTCAGCAAGCAGTTAGAGATTATTCATATGGAATATTTTTTGTGATTCTGAGTAAAAACTTGAATCTCCCACATAAACTGAATCAGAGCTTAATCCAGCCATACTTCAGTGTAAATCTGGCTGAGTGTAAAAGTTGTACATAGATACAAGAATTCTCCTTGATAAGCACTGAATCTTAGTACCAGTAAAAGATTACAGTTAAGAAATACCATTTTTAGTCTTGAATTCATCTTTGGTTTGAGTACACATGTGTTTCTATTCTTTGAATTCTGCTTATGGTTAAAATAATTCTCTGTCATTTCACTCATTATCTTAAAGAGTTTTCTTAAACAATTTTCATTTTAATCATCTGTGTCTGTCCCACCCAAATAAAAACCACCCTTGTAACAAATAAAAATATTTTTGCATTAAAGCAGTAAATGGATTTATGGGATACATACCAACTCAGAAATCCATGTAGTATCTTTAAAAGATAATTCTCTCTTCAATTACTGTACATTTGAAAGATTGCAACCAGAAGTCCATCCTGTTGGTTAATGGTGATGTTATCTATAGATGATGCTGAACCTAAACACTTGAATTTATTAAAACAATTATTTTATCTGTCAAGGTTTATTTGTTGTGTGAATATTGTATTTGATGGGGTTTTTCGGCACATGGGCCCCTTCAGAGAGTTGGACAAGGAGTCTCAAAATGGATATGCTCATATCTTTTTTCTTATTTTTTGGTTAGGTTTGGGTTTTTTGGAGACAATTGGGGTTAAATGACTTTCCCAGGGTCACACAGCTGTTAAGTGTCTGAGGTTGGCTTTGAACTCAAGTCCTCCTGACTTCAGGTCTGGTGCTCTATTGACTGCACCACCTATCTGCCCCTGTTTGCTTATTTAAAGAATTTAAAATAAAAGGATTTTTATTATTAGATTTTTCAGAGTATAAAATCTTCTTGCCAAAATTTGATTTATATATATATATATATAGACTACCGGGTAGAGCTACATATAAATTAGGCTTATGACAATAACTGTTATCCATGGTCCTAGAAGCCTGTGAGGGTTGCTGTCCAAGTGCTAGGAATTCAACATACCTATAATGTCCACATAGCTCCTTTAATGTTGCCTATGTGATCAGTCTCAGCCCTGTGTAGCCTTCTGTAAGGATTTCATCAGCATTGCAAATCTTACTAGCATGGCTTCCAGATAGAAGAACCTTCCAAGAGGATGATAATAGCTAGCAAAGATACATTACAAATGAGTTCTCAAAGGGATCATATGTGCAGGAAATCATAGTACCCCCCCATTGACTAACCAGAATTTATTCAACCTTGCATGCATGAATCCTTACTTATCCTGTGCCATGTTGAGAAGCTCTGTGCCTTTTGAGGTTTTTGTGCTATTGCTATATTGCAATATATGAATCCATTTGTCTTCTGTCTTTATTAAGGCTGGGGAAGCAGTTTCTAAGGAGGCCAGTAGTGCCAAGCAGCAGTATGTTAATTAATCCCTGCCCTCATGCATGAGAATTAGACTTCTGATGTTAGAATTAGAGTAATCCCCAGGAAAAGGAATAGAGCACACAGCAGCATCTTTGGAAATTGTATTGATTCTTTTGAAATGAAATCAAAACCACCCAGGTGAAATTTAGTCATTGAACACTTTCTGCTGCACCATGAGAGTCAGAGTTACAACACTGGTCCTTTTGCTGCATGATGCACAAAATATCCATGGTAGTAATGTGCTTTGGGGGATCATCTTTCCAAGATCCTCACATAAAATCCCAAACCCTAGAATTTTAAGCTGGAAGGCCTTTAGACTATAAACAAAAGCTCTCCTCAGTTCTACTGCAAATCTAGCTTTTAGGTTATAGAATTCATAGAAATAATCTTTTATAAGACTTGGGGAGGGCAGTACAGCCTATGACTTCTCTTAACCAGTTTGAAACCTCCAATGGCTGAACACCTTGGGAACAGATTCCCTTTGTTTTGCTCTGGTGTTGAGAGAATCTTTAAGACTGCCCTACACCAAAAGCAATCCAATAAACATCGCTTTGTACAACTACAACTTGTGGTAGCCTCCATCCCCTTCCTGCAACCCCTCCCCAGCCAATGTCTGTTTTGCCTCATGCATCCAAAGACCTTATATTCACTATTTACTAGGACATTGGATACTCTCTGAAAATACTTTGAAGAACTAGGATATTAACTAATTATTACATTTCAGCTTCATTTGTATTAAACAGGACCCTAATATGATTAATACATCTTCTCATTTGTATCACTTTCTGCCAGGCTGTCTAAGAAAGTAAGCCAAGGTTGTGGATTCATTGCTTCTTTTAATTCCATATATCTGCACCCTAGCATAATGTACAGGGTGTGTTACTTGTTGCTTTTTACAGTGACAGAGAAGGGGCAAGATGATTATTAAAATTATCATCTGTACTGACCTATCAGGCACTCTGTAATAAATAGACCTGCACTGACATAATGAAACTTGTGTGTGAAGATGCTACAATGGAACCTGAGAACTAGAAATTATAACTTTATGTTTCTAATTATGAAACGTAGAGGATATTATATTAAGGTCCCAAATGCCATAAACTTGCTTAGAGATATGTAGTAAGTACAAGAAGTCATTATTTCAATAGATCTTCTTATCAGGTCCTGTGAGTATATTGAGATGCTTTAAACCAAAGATAAATTGAGAGCCTGTTTATCATTCTTTTTTCCCCTTGTAGTTCCAGTGGAAGACCCTCTTAGGGAAATGGCTGAATACACGGACTCCAGTCGTGATGAGGTCTGGGAGAAGTCCTCATGCAACAAACAAGTCACCTTTTTGGTGTACCGAGAAGGAGATCAGTTGAATTTCTTCCGTGTAGTAGATAGGGGATATGGCACTTTAACACCATTATCTGAATCCTTAAGGTAAAATGGGCTTGGATCCCTCTGCCTGCTTCAGAAAGGGGAAAGTTAATAGAACACTAAATATATGATAAATCTTTTAAAGTTACTGAAATTTGTCCAGATAATTTCATTATATGAATAGATATTTTTGTTTGCTTTTGCCCAAGGGATAAAATTGCTTAAGAAATTCTAGACATACTGTCAGCTTGTTAATTCACATTATATTAATGTTGGTGCTGGCCTCTTTAATCTGAAGGTTTATAGTGGGCTCTTTGAAAGGTGCTTGAAAACCTAACCTGGAAATTTCTTTATTAAGTTTGATTCCCCTTCTTCTACCCCCTTAGAAAAACTATGAAAAGGTTGCATTTTTAAATAATTCAGATATGTTTTGGATCAGAGCATGTTACACTGGCGTGTAATTATTCAGTAAAAGCTAAATTCAGCATACTTCACAAAGAAAGAATTTCCTTTTCACTGGTCTTATAAAGGGGCTCTGTTATGATCATCATTTATTAAGTGCCCAGTAAATACTCAGTGACCAGTTGATTTCTATAACAAAAAAACCTTCACTACCCAGAAGAGGTAAGACATTTGTAGGAGAACGATATTATGGAAAGAGGGTTAGTGTTGGAGTTAGAGTGCTGGCTTCAAGTCCCAGCCTTAACACTTTCCCATGTGATCAAAAGAAAATTAATTAACCTTTTGTGCCTCTGTTTCCTTAACCATAAAGTAGAATCAATAATACACTGCCTTCCTTAAAGGATTGTTGTAAAGAAAGTTCTTTGGAAAACAGAATTGTGAGAAGTTATTATCTTGGTCAGATGTTAAGGTAAAATAAACTCTCTGGTTCATAGGGTTGAGAGTTAGAGTGGCCCTTCAGGATCATCTGCTCCAAGCTTTTATAGATGCATCCCTTGACAAGGCTCAGAGGGATGACGTTTGCCCAAGGTTATCCATCTATTATTTGGAAGAACCAGAATTCCGAGGATAAAACCTTGTAGTTTCAAACCTAATTGCTGAAGCCTTTCCAAAATTAGTATATGTTAATTCCTCAGCAATTCCAGTATGTGGAACATAATTGAATTTTTCTTTGATGATTTGAGGACCTTGTGTTTCTGGGTTATAAATATGAACATTAGTTATCTTCATGGTGTGTGTAAGTGTAAAAGAAGCTGGGGTGAATGTTCTGGCCACAGGATGTACAAGAAGTACATGTAACAATGTAGAAAGCAATATGTTAGACAATGGAAAAGATATATTTTCCCAGGTCGCTAAAAAATGAAATAGACTGTAAATACACAGAAGGACATGAAGAAGGTGCTCTGAGAGTTACTAGGAGGCAGAGATTGATTCCAGTTAGGGTGGCCAGAGAAGATGTCATGGAGAGGATGACATTTGAGTTCAGCCTTGAAGGATAGATAAAATTGTTTCAGGAGGGAGAAAATCTGGATGTAAGAAAAGTATAAGCAAAAGTTCAAAGATGGGAGCTTACAAAATGTATTTGTTGAGGGAGTCACAAGTAGGCTATTTTGGTCAAAAGGACGTAAGAGTGTGTGCATAAAGGCTGGAAGTGTGAGATCTATAGGAACTCTGATGCCAAGCTAATGAATCTTGACTTTTGTTCATGTAGCCTTGTGGGGAATGGTTGAAGAGTTTTGAGGAAATGAAATGGCATGGTCAGGCTTGGATATTAGCCAGAGCTGTTCTGACAGTAGTGTGTAGGATGGCTTAGAAAGACAAAGTCTTCATGACAGGGACTGTTGCATTAGTGCAAGGTGAGAAGTAATGAGGAAGTTACTGTTTTGTTTTGTTTTGTTTTGTTTTTTTCCAAGTAAGTCCTGGATATGAGCTTATTTTCTTACCATTTCCCTCCTTAGCCTGAAACTGGAGTTTTCTTCTTGGCATCATTTTGTTTCTCAAAGCTTTCCTCTCCTTCCTTACTCTTCCCAATTAAAATGCCCAAGTGGGTTGAAAGCATGTCAGTTGCTGCATTGACAGGACAAGGGTTGAATAAGCAGCAAGGCTATGGGGACAGGCTGCAAACCACTTGCAGAGCCTGATCGTTCTCACAGGACACTTGGCAGGCCCTTTGTCTGCAGGGAACCAACGTCACATGAGAAGGAGAGAGCACCTGCACCTCTTTATGTAGTCTGTGCAGTGTGACGGTGACTGTGGCGGTTTGGATCTATGTTGGCTCATGTGGACATCTTGACTTGGGCACTGGCACGGCTTTGGCCATGTGCTGATGGAAATGTGCTGTTGTTGGAAATAAGACCATATGTTGTTGGTGCACTTAGCCTAGGGATGTCACAAGGCTAGTGGTGAACTAGAAAGCTTATTACCTAAAGGCTTTTGAAAATAATTGTGACTAGATTTACTAAACTACTTTGTGTTGAATAAATTCTGTCTGTTTAAATGTCAGCCTCCCATCATGAGTCTTACTCAATTTCCATGAAAGCATGGAAATGATCTTCAAATAAGTCTTTAAAAGCCACAGCAGCAAAGTAACAAGCTCTGATCTGCAGCCTGATCAGACACAGCAGGTTCTACGTGGATGCCCAGCCATCTCCTGTTTGTACTCTATGGCTCAGTAATTGTCCATAGCCACTCGCTAAGGCACTGAAGGCTTGAAAGCTGCATCTCCTTGGAGCGAGCAACTCCATCAGGAAAGTCCCAAAGGTTTTCAAATATTGACATTTCTTAAAATTGCTATTTGCCCTAAAACACTAATGTAAAGTACTGTATTCAGCCTAAAATGGATAATAATTTTGTTAAATTATAGCTGTTTATCACTTTAAAGGAAATTTCACTATGACCTCATAATGAAACTTAGTGGTGAATCCTGTTTTGGATAAAGATTCATCTACTTTGAATAGCCAGTTTTTTCTCTTGTGGAAATAATTGAATTTTAATATTTAAAATTTTTTGTATGTGTTTTCTAATCACCAGTAAGCATTTATCAAGTTTCTGCTATATCAAAGTCACTTTACAAAAGGATTCACCATGATTCCTTGAAACTGAGCCCTCCTGATACACATTAGAATTATTTGATTGACAGAACTTAAATTTACACCATGAGGCCTGTAGCCAGAGGGCCAAATTGGGATTGCCACCTATTTTTGTATGGCCTTGAGCTAATGATGTTTTTTTTTTTACATTTTTAAATACAATAAAACTTTATTTTAAAATATAAAAGTCATTCTTAGCTCAAAGTAGGCAGTAGCTGTATTTACCCCAGGCCATGGGTAGCTAACCCCTGATTTACACAGGTCATATAAATTAAGTCTACCTGTAATCATTAGACTCTTAGTCACCTACGGGTTTTCTTTGTATAACTTCCTTCAGGAAGACATATTCTTGCTATACTTAGGATAGTGGGGATCATGTGTGAATGTGAATGCCATCATAGCTACCTGGTCACAGCACAACTTGCTGCTTGGAGTAGGAAAGATGTGTCATTCTCACCCAGTGCCCATTGACTTCTTTGTGTTTACAAGATGACTTCCCAGAAATGCTGCAGTCCCGTGGAGGTTGTGGCCCTAATCTCTAATATGCATCCTTTGGCCTTTTTGAAATTAGCACAGATTAAAGAGCTGCAAGGGGCCTTAGAAGTCATGTGATTCAGTATCTTAATTCTGTAGATAAGGCAGAATGATGCCCAGAATTAAGAGACTTACTCAAGGGGCAGAGCCCAGAGGCAGGATTTGAGGCCAGGCCTGAATATATGCCCAGCAAGTGCTCTGTGCTGCCCTTGGTATCTCAGGTATTACCAAGTGGAGACGACAGTGTCTGTCATCTGGGTCATTTTATTGCAATTCATGCGGATTGCATTTTATTACAAATAACAGCCAGGGGGCATAACTGTTTTCCACAAACAGAGGCTGCTATCTCCAGGATCAGATTCTGAGGCTTTTCTCTGCTTTGATCTTTTTCTGAAGCTATAGGATCTTAGTCGAACAGAACTTCAGCTGTGGGTGGTCAGCCTAGAACATAGATGTTTGTGTCAAAGTCAGCTCAACGAGCTATTTGTTAAATTTTCATTGGGAGCATTTATACCTCAGAAATCAGCAAATTCTGTAAATCCAAGCTTGATTTGATGTTTTGTTGATTGTTTGAACTTAGGAAAATAATGGAGAAAATATTTATAATGCAAATTAAGCTTAAAAATATGTTCAGGGCACTTTTTTCCCCGAGGAGAGCCAATTGTTAAATATTTGCCAGGGCACCTCTGGACATAGATGTCCACAGGCATGATTTGGCCATATTTTCTCATGACAGAGTACCAATAGTAGTAACATCCTTTCCTCTTCACACAACTTCCTGTGAAGACAACATAATGAGGCTCTACTATCTGGTCATATACCTTACAGGGTGCCAGGGCCATTTTGTTAGTGACAATACCAGCCATGATCATGACATCTGACTAGCATAGACTGGCCCAGAAAAAGTGGTTCACTACCAGAATTGGTTGGTGTTGTATTGGGGAACTGCCATATGCATCAGTTTCTCAGAACAACAATGCAACCCAAAGGTCATGAGCCCCAGGGAACTCCATCGGGCCTATGTCATCTAGTCTGATTATTAAATACTCCTTCTTGCTGCTTGGAAGTGAGAAAGATTTGGGAAAGATTATTTGCATTCTTCTTTTCCACTAGGACAGAGCTGCTAGTTTCTGTAGCTGGATTCTAATGGAACAGTTGCACCTAAACAGGGATGTCACTGTTTTCTGTTCTCATAATTGAACTTACCTTTAATCTTTATCTGATCATTTTACAGAAGTTACCCATTCACCCCAAGGAGTTTTTCCTTGTATTATCTTCCTAGAAAGAAGTATTAAAGATAAGACAGGAGAGAAATATTTGTTGATAGCTTTAAACTTGCTCATGCACTCAATGTGTGTTTTGTGTTATAGTTATTTATGAACATGTCTTGTCTTCCTACTAAATTGTGAGCTCTTAAGGGCTGGGACCGCGTATAATTTAATTTGTGTGTCTTCCCCTAATGACCAGAACAGTGCTTTGCCCGTGGTAGGAGTTTAATAAATGTTTGATGAATAAAAGAATCTATGTTCCTGGGTTAACAGAGCTATTCATCTGCTTCTAAACGAGCTCTTCTACCCTGAAGATCTAATGGTTTTCCTATTTGCTATCATTAGATATGAAATAAAATCAAATATATATTTGCAAATAATATTCCTACAGTTTGCCTTTATAAATATGTAGTTCATACCAGGTTTTAGACTAAGATTGTATTGTTGTTCCTTGAATTTTAATACTACTTGACCTTTTTTTCTTCTTTTCCCCCCTTCTTTCATTTATAAGAATTGACCCAGATCCACAGGATCAGAAGTACATAACAAAAAAGGGGAAAGACATAGAAGTAAGGGGAGTCAGAGAACCTTGGTTCAAATCCCTTTTCCTGCTACTCATTATTTGTGTGACCTTGACCGAGTCACTTAATCTGTTGGGGTTTTGATTTCCTCATCTGTAAAATGAAGTGTTTCGATTATGTAATCACAAAAGATTCTTTTATCTACAAAGTCTATGACTGTCTGAGCTGGCAGGAACATCTTAAAAAGTACTTTTTTATCTGGTCACAACCTAGAAAACATTCATGTTCTAGTCAAATGGGTGTTGGTGATTTTGCATTTCTTAGAAAAATCTGGAAGAACTAGATGCTTATTAAAAGGCAGCATGGTATTGTACAGGACCTCTGAATCCTACCTCTGATACTTATTGACTCTGTGCTGTAGGCAATTCACTAATTTTACTTCCTCATATTTATTCTAATGCATTGATTTTGAACTCTTAAGGTTCCTTCTGGCCTTAAATCTATGAATTTTGATCCTAAGAGATTAGTGATCTTTATTTTGCCACTTAACATGACTTTACATCACTTCACAAGATCTCTGTTTCTTCTTTCATTTAATTAAAATATTGAGCTAGATGCTCTTCATCTCTTCAGACTGAGAAATTTCTGTTATTCTGCTCTGCCTGATTAAGTTTGTATAAAATTTGTCCCAAATCAGTCACTTTTATTTTTCTGAGAAGGTACTTAATTAGCTGCATCAAAATGTTAATGATTTCATTACTTAAGTGGAGGGAGAAAAAAAATCCTAAGTTTCTTGGCCATAAGAACCGTGTTGAAAGACCATCTGACATAGTGAAAAGAAGGTCCTGTATGAAATAGTAGTGTTGCAAAACTTTCTGGGCCATGTAAATTTAATAATTAGATCTTTGCAGTTCATTGAGACTGTATGTCCTTTATTTCCATTCTTTTTGTCCTATTTTCAGATACAGGTTTTTTTAAAAATTAAGTTTGGTAGGCAGAAAAAAATTTCTTAGCATCTGATTATTTACCAGTGTGTCACAATAAACTAGCAACATTCCTCTATTTAAAAGAATTTTATGCTATTCACAACTGCTAAGGATCTCAGAAATCATGCTGTTTCCAAAAGAAGCAAATTTGTGGAAATGTTGCTAATATTCTGGCATACTGTAGAGTTTCGTGTTGGAGTGATGCAGTTTCCTTCTCCATATGCATCTATACAGTATATATCCCCATATCTCCTTTTCTAGGGGCAACAAAACAACCTGGATTTCATCAGCAAAGATGAAACTCTTAACAGATTTTGAACTTAAATACATACTTCTAAATGGTGATTAAAAACATCTCCTTTCTGACACCACAGAATGAATCTGAACTACATAGGGGAGAAAAAATCTTTCCCCAACCCCATTCCCAGATATAGCTGAAACTGAAATGAAGTACATGCTACAAGCCCTGTGCCTTTACTGAAATACACAAAAGTGACAAAGTGGAGGCTTAGAGACCAATGTCTAGTTCATCCTTGGTCAAGGCCATTTAGCCTGCAAGAGCGTTGCAATAGTTAAAGGGTACAGTACCAAATAAGCAGTAACAGCCATGATTCAGAAAACCATTCTAGTCAGAAAGAGCTGCTAAAATCACTTCCTTCAAAATTGAAAGCCATATCACCTCCACTCCCTGGAAGTGAGTGGTTCAACCATTTTGTGCCCCTTTCCTACCACTTCTACATTTGTACTGATAGGGCAGTCCTCTTTCCTTTCATCTTCTCTGGGAAATTAATGAACACATCCTCTTTAGAGGTGGCATTATCACTTTGATTAATTGGAAATAAGGGAAGTGGGCTGCCCAATCACCTCCCTTGGGTAGAAGTGAATGCTTCAGAAATATTGATATTGCCAAATGTGCCCTTAGTGGCCAGTGGTCACTCTCCTAGTATATTCAGCCATGGGTGGTAATGAAATTTGCATTTGCAAACTTTTCTTGCACAGATGTATACTCTTAAGTAGTCCTTCTAAACAAGAAAAGCATCCAACCTTGCTGCCTACTCAGTTCCATTCTGGTATATTTAAAATTTAGCTATTCCTTAGAAATTTGAACTCTCATATCTCTTTGCAAGTTTCCTTGTTAAATCAAACTTTATGGGTTTTCCTCTTTTCTTCTTTCTGTCCTCAGTACTGAAAAATCCAAATGAAGTTTCCCCCAGCTTAATAGTTAAGTTGGGCTTGGAAGCAAACTCCTGCACAGTGAGTTTTAACCAAAGTGAAGTTTTTGGAAAATTACAAATAAGGATTATGATGATTTTTCTTTCAAAGCTTATGCAAAACCATGACTTCATCATCATGGGCACTCATACTATTGTTGCAGACAGTACAGTCTCCATACCTTAGTAAAGAAGATGGTGTCTTTATGAGCTGTTATGCACTCCCCCCGCCCCCCAATAAATAAAATCAGTTGGTGGTCAGCTTTCAGTGGATGAGGCTTTCTGAACTTAGCTGGTCCTTAAATTATTTAGACGTGTTCTGTTGCCATGTCCATACTCCAAGGCTTTCTATCTTGGCAGAATGGGCCAGAGTTTACAGTCTGATAGCATAATAAGGCACTGGAGTAATACTTTATTCCATCCTCTATTTTCAGAGATCGTATCATTTAATATGTTCTTAGAGTCAGTATGTGATAATATTTCAGATTAGTCTTAGTCCCTTATGGTTTACAAGCACTTTTCCTCAGCAGTCCTGTGAGGAAGGTCCATGTATTGTCCTTATTTTACAGATGAGGAGAATGGTGATCAGAGAGGTCAAGTGACTTGGCCATGGTCACACAACTTGTAAGTATTTGGGTCAGGACTCAAACCCAGGTCTTCAAACTCTTTGAATCTAGTGCTCTTTCCACTGTTGAATACTTTCCCTCCATCAAAGCATTAAAAAAAAAAAGTTTCACATTATTCAAGTTATGAATTTGCTAGGGTTGAGTTTTTTCATGCTTTAAGATCCTGGGTATATGGGTGGTTGGTTACATATCCAAGTAACACTTAGGAAAGCCTTAAATTGTCCATGTTTTTGTTTTTTGTTTTGTTTTATTCTTAAGAGCAGAAATAGAATGTCATTTCCATATGGGTGGTGTCAGTTCCTATATGGCGTGAGGCCCCTCGGGATGGATAGAAATTTGGACTTCCCTTCTATACCATTGTCTGTTTATTGGAAAACTGGTCAGCCTGTGGTCTGGGTTACACAGTTAACAGATTTGGCCATGCCAGCAGGAGACCCTTGTGGAACTGGATTTGCATCTGTGGGAATACTACAGTGAGTGCAAAAAAAAAAAAAAAAGTCACAGTGTAATAGATTCCCAGAAGCTCAATTAACCCTATATTTTTAGCATCTCCACTTCATGGTCGCTATCATTTTAATTTTTTTTTCTCCTCCCAAAACTTGCTTTTAAAAATATTCCTCTTGTTTACACAATGCTGACAGATGAATTTATCATTTTGTCTGTAGTTACAACTGTGCATTGGATAACAGGATGTTTTTGTTTTTGTTTTTGCAGTGCTGGTTCAGTTTATAATTTATATACAGATGATGATGAAGAAATTGAGCCTTCTCCCTCTGGGCAACAGATAATTGAAAATTCTATCACTATGAATAAAATGAAGCTACTGAAGGCAAAAATGGAGACCATGAACCTCAGTAAAAAGGTGAAGCAGTCACCACATGGCCAGGCTTTTCCATTGTTTACCATAGCAAAATTTAAAAGATACATCCTATTGTTTGTATTCTTTTGTATATTTTTATTTCTGTTTATATTACACATATACATTTATTTATATATAATTGTTTTAGATTGTTGGCTTTGCTCATTGAAATATTAAAAGTAGTATGTTTGTAAACAGTGCTATTTTAATGTGAATATATGCTCCATTTGTCATTTAAGTTACTGAATGATTTGCATGTATATATGTAGGTTATAGAATTATATCTCTAAATCTAGCCCAGACCTAAAATAATTTTTTTCTTAAGTGCCATCCTAAAACACGTTTGTAATGGATCCTAAATTCTACATTTTAAATGGGATGCTTGCTTTCCTCTGCCTAGGGCAACTTTGCCCTACCTTCTTTCCTTCCTGTTTGGACCAGGCTGGTCTCTAGGATCCTGTTTAAGGGAATAAGGTGAGAACAGAAAGACTCTCATATTCTTTGTGCTTCCCTCTCTGAGGATCCCTAAATTTTAAGGCCTCCAACTTGGAACTAGACAAAGCTGCTTGACCCCAACTCCCATATTGATATCTTTGAAGCTATCATAGCACTCTACGTCAGGTAGAAAATCTCAGCAACATGAGGAAGTGGCTTTTTCTCCAAAGAGAATAGTAAGTTACTTAACATGGCTAAAGTAGATCTTCCTCCGTATCTAATGTGACCACGTTTTTAAGAAAAATAAGAGTCAAGACCTTTAAGCCTCTCCATGTGACTCAGTAGAATACCTGATGAATTGGCCTCCTAGAGGTCACCTGATTCATCCCTTAGCCAACCCAAGTATGATTTTTAGGCACTTAAAATAGGTAAAATGACTATCTGACCCAGTCCATCTACTTCCTATCAATCAAAACAGCATCAAAATGGTTTAAAAGAAAAATGCCATTTTCTCTACTGATTTTTAAAATAGGAGATTCCATGTCTTTTTGACATAATCCAAACTGCAGTAGGTTGGAATATTAACATCTTTAAACGTTAATTTGAGGGATCAACTAATACAAGCTGGTAAAGCACTTCTTTCTTCTTGAATTATTCTTGTTAACTGGACAGGGTTAATAACCGTGCATATACATTATTATATAATAATGATATTATATTATTCGATATATTATATTGATATTATAATTTGAATCTTTTCTTTTAGCCTAAGAAAACTGTCAAGGTAAAATCTCGTCCACCTTTGGCTCCTCGACCTTCAAGTGGTTCAATGGCAGCTGCTCGCCACAGATTGTTGAGAGTACTCCCCCACATTGGACAGTGTTGCCTGCCTCCACCTGGGAATTCATATCCTGCTGAGCCTTCACAGAATGCACTTTCAGCCTTGGCTACTTTGGCCACTACTGGTAGACCTATACCATCTCTCACTACTGATTTCCTTAAGGAAGATGATAATTGGGAGAGCACCACACTCTCCCAATCAATCAGTAGCATTAAACTACCAGCTAAAGTATCTCATGTTGAATTAGAAAGCACCAAACAGTCCATCCCCGATGCTGTCCTTCCTCTAGTGTCATCTCTGTCCACACAGACAGAAACGTTTTCAGAAAATTTAATATCTAAAACAGAGGAAGACACTGTTATATTTCCAAGTGTGGAGTTGTGTGCCACTGAAGAATCTCTTTTACCTGAAATGGATGCGTTTGCTTTGTTAGCAGAAGAAAATGTGGTGGAACAATACAGTGATCTGGATGGCACAGAGAAGGTAAACCAGGACCTTGTACTGACCGATGGGGATAAAAATATTAAAACTCCAGAGCAGCATCATAAGCCTGTTGCGAGAATGTTGAACTCTGAGGCCATGGAAACTTCAATTCTGAACCCTCGTGAATTAAGCCCACAGAAGAACAGGCTTTTGTCACCTCTTCGGTATTCTGCACCAATAACACATCACGGCTCTTTAGTGAAACCACAGAGACAGTCCAAATGCTTTGAGACTGGTAGCCTCAGGTCCCCTGCCTCACAAAATGTGTTTCGATCGTTGGATGTCCGAAATATAGCTGATCCTTCCTTTCCTAGGACTACTAGATTTCGTGGTGTTAAAGTTGACTCACCTGGTAAAAGATCCAATATTATTTCCAAAGGCGAGGCTCGGGACATCACAGAAATGGCTAACAGGGCATCCAAAGAGCCTGTAGGTTCTGTAAACAACATAGGTTTTCTTGCTTCGCTGGCACGAAGTGCAAGCAGAGACGGTTTACAGAGCTCGTGTGGGGCCAGCAGGCTTTGGACTTCTGCCATTGCACTGTCTACAAATCTCCAGCATTTTCAGGAAGAAAGCCTTAGGAAAAGCTCTACCCAGATTGAACCTGCTGACTTTTTTCTAGTAAGTATTGACCTTCCAAGTGTTTTCCCTCCCTCCTTAATTTGCATAAAAGAGTTGGGGAAATATATTAATATTATAATTGAATGAAGAGGCTTATGGTTAAATTCCAATTCAATAATATCAAGCTATGTTTCTTTATGAAGTTATTATATTTCATTCTGTTTATCAAATTTATCATTATATAATTCAATATAAAAGAATTCATTTACTTTTATTCCACTTCAGGAACCTCCTTTTAGGTCATCACATTTCAATATATTATCTAGTTATTAAGTGTTTTAAAAAATAAAATATAAGTGCATTCATAGATTTGTTCTTGGTTAATTTAAATTAAATACATTTGGAACCTTAGGGATAGTTTGGCTACATTTACCTTTCATGGGTATTGTTTTGTTTTTTAAAAACTGACAATATTGTAAATATTAAATATTTACATAAAATATTGCTACTTAATGTTCTTTCCTCTTACCATTGATTCACTTTTGTAGATGTTGTTTTGTTCTTTAATTGTAGTCTACCCATGGGCTTGGAATGAATGGAAATAATACATCAGCAGGGAAAAGAGTAGGTAAGCAACTTAAAGAGAATTTAGAGGAAATTATAAGGGTATAATTCTGTCATATAATTGAATGAGCCAAGTAGGAAGAAAACATCTCATAGCATAGAAGGCTAAAATTATATATTTGTTTGTATTCTTCACCTACCCACAGTCTCAAGAAGGAGCAGGGGGGAGTGTGGGTACAATACAAAATAAATAAGCCCCTGTCTTCAAGGTGCTTTTAATCTATTTAAAAAGATAATACAAAGGAGCAATGTGAGTGTTGGTTCCTAAACTCAAATCAAGAAGCAAACTAGGGATGCCTTAGAATACGAGACCTCCCCCACTCTCAAAAAATTCACACACTGCCTGCCCCCCACTCCCACATCCTACCCCTCTACCCCCCTGGTCCCCCTGGTCTGCCTAATCCAACACAGAAGTAAGTAGGAAAGCTGTTTGGGTTTCAAGGACAATGTAGTCACAGCAAACCACAGCAGTGGTGGTGGTAGTGACTGGCAACAGTAATGTTGAGAAAGTGGTTTGACCAGTCATCAATCACGTCCTGCCTGCTTGGGAATTCTAGGGAGCACAGGCTGAGTGGTCACAGGGGGACGCAAGTGACTTGTGATACACCATACTGTAAGCCACGTGTTGCCTCAAGGCCACAGTTTCCCCCAAGGCCACAGGTTCCCCACCCCTGCAAGCTGCAAGCTAATTTTGTTATTGTGATCATCATTTTTGTTACATGTCAGTGTTGCTACTTTGTGTGTGTGTGTGTGTGTGTGTGTGTGTGTGTGTGAGGCAATTGGGGTTAAGTGACTTGCGCAGAGTCACATAGCTAGGAAGTAACAAATCTGAGGTTAGATTTGAACTCAGGTCCTCCTGACTCCAGAGCTGGTACTCTATCCACTATGCCACCTAGCTGCCCCGGTGTTGCTACTTCTAAAGAAGATCTGTTTTAGTTTCCTTTTTAAGAAACTTAGAGACACAAAAAGCTTTGATAAATACCTAGCCTTATTGTCTCAGAAAAAAAAAAAGTGAGATCCATGGAACTAGAGATTCTAAGCTAGCTACAAAGACTCTGGTCAAAACTGTGTCACTGTTAACTGCTGAGATGTCTACTGTTTTAAGATTGATCACTTAACCAGTCAAATAGATCTGAGAACTTTAGGACAATTGTTTGATACTCCAATGAGGAATAATTCAAGAAATGTTTCTTAAGGGCTTTCTTTGTATAACACTGTGCTGGGGCAGTTACAGAGGTTGTTTGAGTCACAGTCTCTTCCTTCAGAGCTTACAGTCTGGTGGAGGGGTAAGACATGAACACATACAACTTATAATACACAAAAATGTTAGAAGTGTATTGGATTTGAAACAGTACAACATGAAGTCAAGAGGGAGAATGGTTAGCAACAGCTTTTCAGGCAAGACTTTAGGAAAAAGGTGATATTTGAATTACTTTTAAAACTGGTAGGAATCTGACATGGGACTAGAGGGAAGGATGACATTTTAAGTCATAAGAATAGAGGCAGAAAAAGTCCAGGGTGTGTTTGGAAAACAGAGAAGAGTCTTCTTTGGCTGGAGTATAGATCACATGGATGAGGGAAGCATATGAAATATGACAAAAAAGGTGGGTGGTGGTCGCCAACTGCTCAGCAAAGGAGTTTGACCATTTGAAACAACAAAGAGCTAATGAAGGTTTTTGAGCAAAGGAGTGAACATGAACGGTTCTATACAAAGTCTTTTTATTCATGACTGAAAAATTGGATAATTAGGCCTTAGTTTATACATTTAGTATTTGTAAATAAAATTTTTAATGTTTTGGATATTTTATGTATCTCAATAACACTTTCTAAATTTGAAGTAGATAAGTTAGAATGGTCATATGTTGTTCAATATTGTTGTCTCTCTATAAAAATCCTGTTAGGACGTAATTCAGGTTATGCTCATTGTGATAGTAAGATGGATTAAATGAAGCTGCTTTGTTTCATGTTTGATAAATCCTTGTTTCCGTCAAAGTAATTTACTACTTAAAGTAATACATTTGTATTGTTTATTTTAGAAACACTTAAAGTTAGGGCATTATTTTATTATAAATGGAATTATACATCTTTATAATTTATTACCAGCCCTGTCTTCTCCCAACCTCCTCTCTCAACCCTCCTACTCCCTCCTTTAGCTCTAAAGTCAAAGAACTTGATTCAAATCCAACCTCTAGCATCTATTGTGGACCTTGGCAAATTCCTTAACCTTCCTAAGCCTCAGTTTCTTCATTTGTAAAGTGAGGAGATTGGACTAGGTGGCTTCTGAGATTCTTTCAGCTCTGAATTTATAATTGTATTTTCCCTATCATATTTCCAAAAATGGTTATTCCATACTTTCCCCTCACTGCTCAAGCCCCAACTTCATCCTTACCACTTCCCTCCCAGCTTCTTCCCAAGTCTCTTGCTGCAGTAGAATGTAAGTTCTTTGAGAGCTGAGACTAGGTTTTTTGCTTGTGGTTGTGGTGGTAGTGTTGTTTCTGGTCTGGGTACCTTGCACCTCGGTGCTTGCAAAGTTCCCTTACAGGGGATAATGATGCCATTTCATCCTGCTCCCTCGCCAGTCTCCTGGTTTCTGCATGTATGGATGAAGCGAAACATCATTCCATCATGCTCCTTTTACTGGTCTCCTGGCCAAGCTTGGCCTGATCTACCTGCAGTGAAAAGAGAAAACCCCCATTCCATTGGCTTCCCCCACTATTCCCTTTGCTTAACCTGCCTGATACTTTGAGAGGACTCCATGCTGAGGCCAGACCCCCTAAGGATGTTGATAACCCATCTGAACTCTTTTGTCAAAGATTGACAAACTTCCACCTAGTCGTACTCTTTCCATTCCAGAAATTCTGAACCCCTGCCCTGGCTGTATTAGTCAAACCCTGTTCTTTGTCCCCCACTGCTTTGTTTCAACCTAAATGTCATCTTCGACTCATCACTCTGACTCCCCCATATTCAGTTTGTTACCAAGTCCTATTGATTTTATGTCATTAATATCTTTCACATCAATTAATATCTTTGTGCCTTCTTCTTTCCTCCGACACTGCCACAAATCTGGTACAGCCCTCATCACCTCATGCCTGTACAATTGCAATAGCCTGCTGTTTTGGTATCTCTAGTGCATTTTCCATTAAAGTACAGGCCTGAACATGTCACTTCTCTGTTCAATACATTCCAGTGCCTCCCTGTCACTTCCAGGATCAAAATATAAAATTTGGCATTCACAGCCTTTCATAACCTGGCACACTCCTGTCTTTCTTGTCTTTTTACACCACCTGCCCACCGTACTCTTTGATCCAGTGACTCATGCCTCCTTGCTGTTCCTCCATGTCCTGATTGCATGAATTTTCCCTGACTGTCTGTTCTCCATGCCCAGAATTCTCTCCTTCCTCATCTCCACCTCTGGCTTCCATATGGGAAACCTTTCCCAACCACCCCACACATACACACACACATAATGCCAGTGCATTCTTTCTGTTGATTAACTCCAATTTATCCTATGTCTTATTTGTACATAGTTGTTTGCATGTTGCTTCCCCCATTAGACTGTGAACTCCTTGAGGGGAGGGGCTATCTTTAGCTTTGTACCCGAGTACTTAGCATAGTGCCTGGAACAGAGTAAGTAGGCACTTAATAAATGCTTATTGACTGATCGAGGAATGAATATTTAAATTACTGAGAAAGCTGAAGCCATCTGTAGGGCTCTTGTTTTGCTCGTGTTAGTCCAATGATTTCTTAAATTCTTTCTCCTTGATGTTTTCCAAGTCAGTTGCTTTTGATATGATACTTCACATTTTCTTTTATTTTTCAGTCTTCTGACTTTATCATTTCTTGTTGTATCATGGAGTTATTAACTTTATTTCTCTATCTTTCCTCCATAGTCTCATTTATTTTCCAATTCTTTACTCGTTTCATTTATAAAACCATTTTTAAACTCTTGATTTATTTATTCCAGGAATTTTAATTGAACTTATACCTAATCTGGGTTTTTCTTTGAGGTTTTGCTTGTTGATGTTTTAGGGTCCTTCCTCTCATCATCATAGCTCTTTATAGAGGAATTTTTGATTTGTTTATGCCTTCTTCCCACCTTAGCCGCTCTCTAACCCTTCTGGAGAGAATGGTTCAGTTGTGCTTGATCTTGTTTTGTATTCTTTTGGGTCCTGTTGCTGCTTTCTCTGAGTATCAAGTTCTGTGTTCTTGATGAATCTCAGGCAAGCTTTCATTGCACCCACAGCTTTCTGATAAAGGACAAAGGACAAAGTCTAATCGCTGTCTTCCTGGTTTGTGCTTTCTAAGCTCCTGACCAGGGTTAGGTCTGAGTAACACAACTGAGGGCTTGCCCCTGGCTGGAGCTGCAGTCGACTGCTACTGGAGCCAACCACTGTAAGCAAATTCTCCACGTTACCCTTTTGTCTGGTCATTTGGTTACAGGCTTCAGACTGGGCTAGGGGCTGTAGTTGAAACCTTGCTTCATTCTCAGGTTCAGAACCCCACAGATATTCTTTGTCCAGTTCCCACCCTCAGGCCCTGACCATTCCTTGCCCTGGACTATGACTTTCTGCTCAGGTCCCAGCAACTGGTTCTCCACCCCTGGGGGCAGATACCCTCTTCATTCTACGCTGGATTGGTGACCCTGCTCTGGTGAATCTATGACAGAGCTGCTGATTGCTCTAATTCCTGCTCTCTGCACAGCATGCAGGCCTCTCTGTGCTACATCTGGGACCTCTTCTTGCCCTAGTACACAGTGGCAGGTCCCAGTTCGGTCCTAAGGGAAGGCTCATATCTCCCTAGATAGACCCCATCCTCAGTCTGCACAGAGCTTTGTCTCCCTGTACCCTGAGCTGTAAAAATGACTCACTGTGGTTTTTCCTTAGGATTTCTTAGTTGGTACTTGGTCTTGTGTGTTTTGTAGCTCTTTGTGGATTAGGTGTGAGGGAGATCAGGACTATACTGCTTCCTCCCTCTCCGCCATCTTGACTGGCCTCTTTCCCGGTT